TTAGTGAGGTTAGGGTGCGAGGGGTTCGAGATATGCAGTTATTGTGTATTTATTTAAGTAATTCAATATAATGTGAATGTTTATAGATTTGTGAAATTTTTAAATATAATTTTAATGAGAAAATTATTATTGTATATACAATGCCAACAGAATTTTCTCATTAAAATTATATTTAAAAATTTCACAAATCTATAAACATTCACATTATATTGAATTACTTAAATAAATACACAATAACTGCATATCTCGAACCCCTCGCACCCTAACCTCACTAATGGTAAACACACGGCTCTGAGATATATCTCAGTTGACCGCCAGTGCTGATGAAGGAAAGTAGTATCTCTTTCCGAAACACGTGTCCAATATATCGCTAGTTATTGCGGTTAACTAAGTTTGGCCAACAAGTAAGTGATTAAATCACATAAATTTATTAAAAATGAGTGCCAACTACACAAAACTCAATGATTTAATTGTGAAACACATTAATGTGGACGGCCTTAGGAGGTACAGGTCATGGGAGAGAGATATGCTGAAAATAGTCAGGTATAGAGAACATATTACTTTTAATAAAAAATGTTATAATTATGATATAATTCCCAAAAGTTTAATTGTCAAATCAGTTGACAATATACCCGAGTCTATACAAGCTGCTAAAATATGCAGTCTAACTTTTCTTAAAAATAGATTGAATGCATGTTATAAAAAATTAAAATTTTTATATAAAATAAGTGATTTAAAATTCAAACAATTTAGTAAATATTTACCTGATAATATTATTAATGATATTAAATTTAGAATTTTAAAAGTTTCTAATAAAACAAAAATATATACAAGGTCAATTCATAAAAGAAAATTTAATGAATTACTTGAATATCATAATAAAACAAAAAATAATAAAATAAATAACATTAATAATCAATTAGTTAGTAATAACTGTGTTAATAATACCTGGGTGATAAATTTATCTAATAGAAGTTTTAATAATACAGAAATGTCTATTTTATGCTTAGATCCCAAATTTCAAGTAGTACCCAAAACTATAAAACCTGAGCAATTTATTGCAAATATTGAATCAAAAATTAGTTATTTAATTAATGATAAACCTAAAATTGAAAATATAAGAATTAATTTAATAAATATTTTTAAAAATATGAAACTAGTTAAACCTAATTTAACAAAACAGCAATTATTAACATTAAATAAAATTAAAACTTATAATGATATAACTATCACTAATGCAGATAAAGGAAATAAAACAGTAGTTATAAATAAAATAGATTACATTAATAAAGTTGAAAATATCTTATCCGATAAAATGATTTATAAAAATATAGATAATAATTGTATAGAATTAGTTGCAAATAAACTTAAAAATAAATTAAGATTATATAAAACACAAATTAATAAATATGAGTATAATAAAATATATCCAACTAATTATAATATGCCGATAGCATATGGTCTAATTAAAGTACACAAACCAAATAATCCAGCCAGATTAATTATACCATATAGTGATCATCCATGCTCTAAATTAGCTAAACAATTATCGACAATAATATCCCCTAGTTTAAGAAATAGTATATATTCACTTAAAAATTCAAAACAATTTGTTGATGATATTAAAAATTACAATATTACTAATTCAGAGATAATGATATCACTTGATATTATTAATTTATTTACTAATGTTCCACTTAATTATACATTAAATTTATTAAAAATTAAACTAATTAAAGACAATACATTGAAAACTAGAACATCACTATCATTAAATATAATATTAGATTTAATTAATTTTTGTATGTATAATAATTATTTTTCATTTAATGGTAAATTTTATTTACAAATAGCTGGTTCCCCAATGGGTTGCAATCTGAGCCCAATAATAGCTGAAACTTTAGTTTCTCATATTTTTGAAATATCATTAAATAATATACAATTTAAACCTAATTATATTAGATTTTATGTAGACGATAGTTTTTTAATAATTAACAAACGATATTATGTAAAATATTTTAATCATATTAATACTATTATTAAAAACATAGGAAATCTAAAATTTACAATAGAAATTGAGAATAATAATATATTAAATTTTTTAGATATTTTGTTAACTAGAGATAATAATAAATTAATTACATCTATATATCGCAAACCAACACATTCAAACAGATATTTAAATTATAACTCTCATCACCCAACACAACATAAAGCCACAGCAATGAAAACATTAGTAAATAGATGCTTATCACAAATTAATGATAAATATAATTTAAATAATGAATTAAATTTATTAAATAAAATATTTACAGAAAATAATTATCCTAAAAAATTTATAACAAATACTATTAATTCATGTAAAAACAAATATCACAAACAAAACAAAATAAATATTAATAAATTTGATATTACAAAAACAATTTGTATACCATATTATAAACACTTAAGTGAACAAATCAAACAGGAATTGTATAAACATGAAATAAATGTTATTTATAAAAAAGGAAAAAATATTAAAAATATTTTAAATAGTAATCCCAAACCCACTTTTTTAAAATCAAATATTGTTTATGAAATTAAATGCAATGAATGTGATTTTGTATATATTGGTACTTCTAATAGAAATTTAAAAAATAGAGTAAATGAGCATAAAAATGCTATAAAAAATAGTTATATAAATAAAAGTAACATTGCTTTTCATGCAATAAAATACAAACATAATATTAATTTTGATGATATTAAGATATCATATATTGAAAATAATTATAATGCTAGACTATTTTTAGAAAGTTGGAGAATTGAAACTTTAAAATCTAAAAAACAAAACCTAATGAATGATAAACAAAACTCCAAAACATGTATACCTAATTCATATTTATCTTTAATTAAATAATATTTATATTCATTGAATAATTATGTAATGCCTTTCAGATAACAGCCCTATATTGGGCTGTTTCTGTTGGCATTGTATATACAATAATAATTTTCTCATTAAAATTATATTTAAAAATTTCACAAATCTATAAACATTCACATTATATTGAATTACTTAAATAAATACACAATAACTGCATATCTCGAACCCCTCGCACCCTAACCTCACTAATGGTAAACACACGGCTCTGAGATATATCTCAGTTGACCGCCAGTGCTGATGAAGGAAAGTAGTATCTCTTTCCGAAACACGTGTCCAATATATCGCTAGTTATTGCGGTTAACTAAGTTTGGCCAACAAGTAAGTGATTAAATCACATAAATTTATTAAATATTTATCTGCCAAATAAAGATTCATATCATATAATAATAATGTGTTAACCGGTTTATTGATCTTTTCAAATTGATCATGTTCAATTTTTAGTTGACCATTACATTCTAAACTTATTGAATTGTTATATCCATTATCAACTTTTATTTTGAGTAAAAATTAATATTATAATTCAAATTAATTTATTAGCAATTAAATGATAAAATAATTTTTAAATGTTTTACCTTCAATAGCATCGAAGCAATTGCAACAATTAGGACATAAACTCTCATCAATTATCTTTTTATTAGTAAAACAACTGAATAAAATATGCAAATAATTGAATTAAATGCCATAATTGTTATAAATATAATGTTTATTAAATAAATTAATAAAAACACATTTTTTTCTATAAAAGTTTATTAGTATAAAAAATATCTACTTAAGTGCTTTTGACCACTTAATAATTTGTTAACACAATTTGATTAGTCATATTAATATGTTGTTAATTATAAGTATATCAAAATTGTTTGCAATATTGTCTGGACAACTATTACGATAATGTTTTAATATATATATTTATATCTGTATTAATTAAGTGGTATTGTCTATTTTATTAGTGACTTCTAAGTTATAATTTTCTATATATTAATATGTATTTAGTATTAAATATATAAATAGCAATTTATTTTATCCACTAATTACTTGAGTGACATTATATTGCATTGAACTTATATATTAAGACAACTTTAACTCAGGTTACATAGCCTAATACTCTCTCTCTCTCTCTCTCTCTCTCTCTCTCTCTCTCTCTCTCTCTCTCTCTCTCTCTCTCTCTCTCTCTCTCTCTCTCTCTCTCTCTCTCTCTCTCTCTCTCTCTCTCTCTCTCTCTCTCTCTCTCTCTCTCTCTCTCTCTCTCTCTCTCTCTCTCTCTCTCTCTCTCTCTCTCTCTCTCTCTTTGTAATTGTTGGCAATTACATGAGTTAGTTAGATATAACAATAAGTACAGTATATAGACTCTATATTATAGATTATTTGTAGTGTATATGGAAAATATTTTTTTTAATTTGTTAGTTATTGAAACCGCAAAATAAAGTTAATCAGTTGTCAACTTTAAGCTATAATATGACAAAACATTTACAAAATAAATTATGAAAATAATTCAAATTGATTTGTTATCAAAATGCAAATAAATTATTAAGTAAATACTGTAAATTTAGTGCATTTTATAATCAGATCTTTTTAGTAATAATTATATAATATATAAACTACATTATAAACTTTTTATCAATAATAAGTACAAATACATTTAATCAATGTATAATTTAGTACTTTATTTTAGAGAAAATAAACTAATATTTAATATGTTATTGTTTTAATTAAATTAAATTAAAATAAATAATTTATATTATAAATTGACAAAATTATTTTTTTTAAAAATGAACAATTAAAGTTTAATTTCTAAATTATACATTTAATTTTTTATTAAATATTCTACTTTTAAAATTAACATAGAAATTACTATAAATTATATTTAATATTAATAGTTATTTAACAAATTATTATTATTGCAGTTTAATGTTAATGCTCTAAAAAGTACTAAAAATACATAATATTTTGACGTTCACCTTGAAATGATCAAATTAATTAATCAGTTTATTAAATGTATATAATAGTATAATTATTAGCTAGTTTGCTAAGATAAAAAATTTTATTGTTTACAGTATATAAATACAAATAAAATTTTGAAATATATATTGTATTAAAAGTAATTGTTAAATTTTACTAATATTAATAAATCAATTATATGCTAAAATGAAAATAATTACATTAGTTTTCAGTTTAATTGCATTATCATATGTTCAAACTGATGGTAATACAATATTATTAGTTTAATAATAATAATATAAAATAAATAACATATTTTATTTTAATAGATGTTGACGAACTAAATAGAAAAATTGAAATATATCAAGGTACTCTATCTGATTTTATAAAAAATATTATTTAAATTTATTTATTTATTCAATTGTTTGAATAGGTGTTAAATCTTTTGTTTGTAAAGAAGATTTTATTGGCGGAGAGTTAATAAAAAAATGTTTTTATTTATTAAGTCAATTAAAAAATGAAGGAAACGCTAAAAACATTTGCAAACAATTGGATCCAAAGGCCGCACTCTTAACCATAAACTCTAAAGAAGAGCAACAGTTTATATCTTCAGCTTTGGTTTCAAATCCTAATATTAAAGACAACGTTTGGTTGGGTCTCGAGTATGGATGGGCTAACCTAACACACGACACTCCTCAACATTTAAGATGGCGTTGGGATAATAGTGTTGACAGTCCGTACTTCAATTGGTGTCCGGGACCTAACTGTGCTTTTGATGACGAAGACGCCCGCAATTGGGGTGACTGCGCCCGTATGTCTGTACAAAATATCTCATTGGGTTTGTGGTACAGTCATCCCTGTGAGGCCAACCTCAATGTTGTGTGTGAATTGAGCTCAAAAAAATAATTGTTATTAATACAATATCCAATTATTTGTAATATACTGTATAATAATTTAGTATTATTTAATATACCGTATTAATTATTATATTTATAAATAAATTAAATATACAGTATTTTATAAAATTTTCAATATTTATTGTAATTATATTAATAATTATTTGAAATAAAATATTTAAAAAATTTCTTAAATGTCGATAATTAATTTTATTATAATATAATATTTGAGTAAATACAATATATTTATATAATTTAGTAATTTAAAAATATTATAAAAATATTAATTAATATATATATCGAAAATTATTGATAAATTATCTGTTATAGTATACAATTAAATAAAAGTATTTAAAATTAAAAATGTATGTTTAGGGGAAAATATTATATTAATATATATAACACAATAAATTTTACTTATAATAAAATTGATGATTATATCAATCATTTGATTTATAAAATTTAAAGTTTACTTTCAAACACTTGACAAACGACGGACAACTGTTTTTTGCAGTCATGTTTATCCCAAACACCCAATGATTTAGTATTTGTAGACATTCTGATACAATCAGTTTTTTTCATTGTTTGATTGCTCTGACTTTTAGGCCAATTATAATACTTAGCCGGCAAACCACTGTCCCAAACGGCTTTCTTAAGTTTTGCATCAAATTGGAGTCCAATCCAAGCGCCGCCTTTCATATCTTTAATATTAATGGGTAGAGCAATGAGGACATACTCCTGTTCCTCCTTTGATTCAATGGACAACAATCGGGCGGTTGAATGCAATGTTCTGCACAATTGCTTGGCCTCAGCGAAAGTAGCGTTTTTAGTGAGCAGATAATAGCATCGGTCACCCGTTTCCACACTTTCTTCACAAATACTTGATTTAATCACTTTGTTGTTAAAACAAGTAATAAATAATCAATTGTCTCGTTATCTGAACAGTATTTATAACATTAATTAACTTTGAAAATACACTTACAATGGTTGCGATCAATGTTTCTTATGATGACTTCAAATGGTCTCTCTGTTTGAATTTGTGTTTGACTTTGTGTTTCATCAGTAGTTGTTGTGTCACTGTTTTCTATATATAATACATTATAATATTTTTTTATTAAAATATTAAATTTCATTAATTTTTTATAATAATAATTTTTAAAAAATACCTTCATTTGAATAAATCAAACTATTTAACGATGAAATTAATAATACTAAATATAATAATTTCATTGTTTAATTTATTTTTAATTATAAAAATAATAAAAATTATATGAATTTATTTATTATTTTATATTTAATTAAAATATGTACTGTATATGAAATAATTAACTTCATTTATATTAATTATTTTGTAATATTATATAATTATTAAAATTAAAAAAAATGAGTTATTATTTATTAGAATAAAGTATTATATATTTACCGGTACTTAGGTATAAATATTACAGTAAATTATACAGTATTTACACAACTATTTTCAAATAATACACAACTACTGACATATAGTAGTAAACATTGTTAATATAATGTACAAGTATTTACAAAAAAAAACTTAAATATTAATTAAAATCTTTGTAGTTATTGACACTTATATTATAATAAAATGCAAATTTTGCTAACTTTGTTAATTATATTTTTGTATCGGAAAACTAGCGGTATATTTGTGGACAATTGTTTCGATGATATCGACTTATCATCAGTAGTGGTCAACTGAGGACCAGATCTGACAATTGGTTGGACTTTAATGTTAGAGTTTGTTTAAAAATATGTCAATTTTATGTATTAAATCTAAATAAATAAATTGAATACATTTAAACTCTATCATTACAAGTGATAACAATTAATAACATTTTTATTTCTAATTTTTACTTAACTTTATAGATATTAAGTGTTAGATATGATCTTCAATTGACCAGAACTACTGATTTGCTGATACAATGTTGTGACCCATAAAATATGTTAAACACTTCAACTAAAAGTCTTTTTTTAATAAATAATAAGTCTATGAATTCGTTAATTTTTTAAATAAATTATAAAATATTGTTTCCAGATTTAAATAGACGATTAAATATAAGATATAAGGGATAGATATATAAATAAATTTATAATAAGATATAATACAGTATTATTAAATAATATCTAATTGTTTTATATTAAATTGTTTATAACATTAACATTATGATATTAAATAATCAATTTCATTTTATAATCAATTATAATCTAAATAAATACAAATAAAAATTTATAAAATTTTACAAAAATATTTAATGTTAATAATTTGATAAATTAATAAATATGTAATAGTAATATTTAAATATGTTTAATTTTTATGTATTATATTACATAAATTAATAATATTTAAGTACTTCTAGGTATTTAAGTATTGAGATCAATTCAATTAATAATTTTTAGACAGTCAATTAATAATGACAATTACTGGTATTTTTATAAATCACTATCAATAATGGTGTCGACCTTTGGGAGCCAGAAATATGTAATCAAAAATAATACACTAAAATTTGATTTGTCTAAAGTTGTTCACAAAATCATAGGACCCCCGGACTCAAGCAGGTTTGGCTAACGGCAGTAACTAATATTACCTGCGGTCCGAATCATCATTCAAAACATACAATCATCTAAACCGGATTAAGTCAAGAGTTGGATCCGGGAATGGCTTTGAGTTCATTCAAAGGTGTCATCTCTAGTGATGAAATGAGACCACAAAATGTTAAGATAGAGATATTGAAACGAAACAAATAATGGATATCTTTTAAATGATTTATAATATAATTCAATAAAAAGTGCAGTTTTGTTGTAAAACTAAATAAAATTATTTTTATATTCTGATTAAATTTAATCTCAAATTAAGTTTTTTTTAATGAATTAAATAAATAAATAACATGTTTATGAAATGCATATTATCGTTTTATGCTACAATATTACAATTATAGATTATGAAAAACTAACTAGAAACTTAAAATTAATAATAAATCAAGGTAACTTTTAATAAGTTTAATTAATGTTTACACAAAATTTTATATTTCTCACATATGCTATCAAAATTGCTATATTTTTATCATTAATTTAACTTGACACTATTATTAATTATGTGGGACACTACTCTTAAGTATTTATCTATAATTGAAGTTTACATTAAAAATATAAAATTTATCTATGACAAATGTTGAACTAAAATACATATTTTTTTATTAATACTCAAAATAAGACAATAATAATTAGTGATTATGACATAAATACAGCTTTAGTCGATAATTAAATAATATTATTTATTATACTGTATACTGTATACAGAGTTGCAAAAGGTTTTTCTATCTCAGGGGGTATATATATATATATATATGGGGGGGGGTAAGTTAGAAAAAACTCAAAAAATCTTGGGGATGGTATAAGATGGGTATACAATTTTTATTGCATTTTTAAACGATTATTTTTACTAAATTTTAGTAAATTCTCTATAAATTTTCTATTAATTTTCTATTAATTCTCTATTAATTCTCTATTAATTCTCTATTAATTCTCTATTAATTCTCTATTAATTCTCTATTAATTCTCTATTAATTCCTATTAATTCTCTATTAATTGTCTATAAATTCCCTATAAATTCCTCATATATTCCAGATTAATTTCTTATATATTCCACAATAAAAGAAAATATTTTCAATTTAATTCCTTTATATTCTCAGAATATTTATTTGAAACATATATTTACAAAAATTTAGAAAATATTTAATAGCTTTGCATAAAAATAACTTACCCCATACCCCTCTCTTTAGCAACCCTGACTTTATAATAATTTATTAATATAATTTAATATTAGGTAACTTTAGTTATAGTTTATAAATTTCGTAATTATAATATTAGAAAAAAATTATAATGTCTATAAGTATAAAGATTTATTAATATAAGCAATCGGAATACCGTAACTTAAAATTATTACCAAAACCTATATTATTTAAATATTAAGAATAATTCAAAAATAAAAATTATTATTTTTAATAAAATAATAAATTATTATTTAAAACATATTTTTCTGTGTAATTCTACAATTACAACTAAATTACAATGAAATGTTATAATTAATTATTTATAATTAATTGATTTTTACAGTTAAAACTGCATCTTTGTTTGTTTTCTCTAACTATTTAATGATAAATTTCAAGTATAAATTGATAACACAATTGTATTTAAATAGAATGTAAAATTTTTAAAACTATTTATTTTATAAATTTAATTGACAAAAATTTTCATTGTATTGTAAAAATGTTAGACACATTAAAGTTTATTATTTTATTTTTTATAGCTTTCAATGTTTCTTCAGGTTAAACATTTTATAACTTATTATTATATATATATATAATTTTAGCAAAATTTTTTAATAATTAAAAAATCCCTTTAATATAATTATCTAATTTAGTATTTAGTGCCATCACATGTCCGGACAGTTGGACAACAACGACAGACAAAACAGGAAAGGTCTCTAAATGTTACAAAGCATTGACTGATCAGTTGTCAGTGACTGACGGTGAGTCCCAGTGCTCTAAAGCCAACTCCAGTGCCACTTTGGTTTCGGCCGTAACAATGGTCGAAGAGAATGATATCGTTGTGGTTAACGGATTGAAAGACAAAGCTGTTGTCTGGATTGATGCCGAATGGGATAAGAGTACCAAACAGTTTCGATGGCACAGTTCGGGCGATCCGTTACATTACGCCAACTTCAATGCCGACGCTGTCATTGATGGCACCAATCCGTGTGTTTATTTAGAGGTCAGCGGTGCAGGCGATACCCTAACACACGACTGGATGACTGATAAATGTGACCAAAAGAAAACAGTAATTTGTCAGATTGGCGGCGCTTCCGATACCGATCTCAATACGAAAGTCAATAAAATTGTTAAACAAATGGCAGATTTGCAAAAAAATATGATTCCCATTGGCTTCATATATGTCCAGTTGTCGGGACAGTCAGATCCTAAAAAACTTTGGCCGAATTACACGTGGAGTAATGTGACCAATGACTACGCCGGACTGTTTTTTAGAGCTGCGAGTAATACCAGTGCACTGTTTGACGCCAAAAAAGTCAACATTCAAGAGGCCGGGGAGCGTATGATTACACACATCAATGCCGTTGGTCTAAATCAAGTGAGTCATACGGATAAGACTCAGGAACGAGACATACAGTTACCAGTCGACGGCAATACCACTGAGTTAGTCCCGGGAGAGGCTCTCAACTCTTTGAAGTTTACCGTTCAAAATGATGAACTCCGACCTCGAAATACAGCCATTTTGATTTGGAAACGAACCAAATAATACATTTATAATTATTATATAATATATTAATATATATGTGTATAAAACTATATTTTAAATAAAACTAATAAAACCTTAAAATGTTATTAATTTATTATAAATATTTATTTTGTTTATTGAATTAATTGAATCAAAATTGAATTGCTATTTGTATTAATACAGTACATAATTATAATACAGTTTATATTAAATATAAAAGTATTCATATTTTATTTTTAGTTTCTAAATTGTCTATAAATATACATTTTATAACATTACTTTTTATTAAACATTTTATTATGTTAGCCAAGCAAAATAAGTTTATAAATTTATGTCAATAATTTATTAAACTTTGGATTTATAATCTCAAATGTTTATAATAATAAACAATTATAATCTAATATTATACAGTATTATTAAAAGTTATAATATATATATAATGATAATGTTATAATACAATAATAATGATTATTTAATTGTATAAAATCAAAACGAAAACATCAAGGGATGATATTAATGTATTGAAATATTAGTATAGTGTTAAAAGTATTGATAATTAAATAAACTGTATTAATTAACTTAATTTAATATTTATAATATAATATTTACACTATAAATTATAAAATCAAATTTGTATAATTAATTTTAAAATAATATACATTTTTTATAGATTAATATTAAAGGATATTTTTAAGTGGAATCTTCAATGAGTTTATTTATCAAATTAAGATATCATATTAAAAAAATAATTAACTGTTAAGCGGTATTTTTTGATGTTTTCAATAGTGACAAACAATAGTTATTAAACATTAAACATGCAATAATATGATAAAAATTATAATATGTATATAATCAATTTTATATATAAATAGTAATATTTAATATAGTCATTACAATAATTTATACCAGTATAAACTACTTCAAATAAAATTAAAATGAGTAAAATAGATAAATTATTTTACACCATTAAATTAATATTTATATTCAACGTTTTAAATTATTATCAAATCTCAGGTTAAAAATTTTAAAAATTTTAAAAATATTCTAAAAATATTTTTTATAGGCACTGATGAAGGCAACTGTCCAAACGGTTGGTTGTATTTTTCAAACGGAAAATGTTATAAACATCTAAAGACTGTCGGTTTAGTCACAGAACATGAGGCCAAGGATTTATGTGCTAAAGAGAGTACCAGTGCTCAGTTGATTACGATTCACGATAAGGAAACTCAAGAGTTTGTTTTTAATAAAGTGTTTACCGATATTATCGGTAACGCATGGATTGGATTAGAGTTTAGAGATAATAGGTTTCAATGGGCAGACAACTCTCCTATGGATTTCCATCATTGGGACGATATGGCTATCATTGATGGTAGTCTTAAATGTGTGACAATTGAGTTAAATCAGTCAACGGGTGGCGACTGGAATACTACCGATTGTTCGGCTAAAGGACTGGTCGGTTGCCAAACAATAACTCATTCCTATAATGATTTATACAAAATGATTATAGATTTGACAAAAGTAGTGAACCAACAAATCATAACAATTAATATACTAATAACTAATACAAGTGAACAACAAAAGGTTATCGACAAACAAAAACTAGATCTCAAAGAATTAGAGATTTCAATGACTGAACAGAAATCCACGACTAAGTCATTACAAACTGAAATCATTAATCAAAAGACAGAAATACAAGGAATCGTCGGAAACTATTCTAAACATCAATCAGATGTCAATCAACTCAAGAGTCAAGTGACCAAACAGGACACTAGTATTAAGAAACTACAGACGGATTTCAGTTCACAAACAATTGATATAAAGACATTGAAAACAGATTTTTTAAAAGACGAGTCGCAACTTAAAGATTTGTTGACTAACTATACTAATCTCGACAAAGATTATAAGTTACTTAATAAGAAAGTAGATTCAATTCAAACGGGAGGCATACCTATCGGGTTTATATACATACAGTTACCCAATCAACACGAACCCAGTAGTTTGTTTAGTAATACCAAATGGCAAGAAGTGAGCAGTCAATATGCGGGTCTATTTTTCCGGGTATTGGGAGGTAACTCAGGTAAATGGCAAGTAAACCAAGATTTCAATACACCGGGTATTACTAAGGTTAATGCAGTGGGACTGTCAGGTCTTAAAAACATCAGTAAACATGACCCCAGTGTTGTCTATATCAATCGTGGTTGGTCTGAACAGTTGGTATCGGGTGATACCATCTCTCAACTTCAGTTTTATTTATCGGATGATGAAAATAGACCACAAAATACAGCCATTAAAATATGGAAACGTATAGAAAATTAGTTATATTATGTTAGGACTAAAAATGATTAAAATTCAATTTATCTTTTAAAAAATCAAACTATGTTTATATTTAGATGTCTGTAATAAAAATTTAAAGTATTTACAAAAATTATTATAATGAAAAAAGTTTCTGATATACCATGTATTTCAAGTACAGTATACCGTATAACAAAGTATTGAGTAAAGTCAAAGTAAATATAATAAAGTATTCAAGCATTAACTTATACAGTAAAGTATAATATATAATAAATACAGATATAATAATAATGTTTAACATTTTTATATAAAATTTAATTTTTTTTATGAGCATTTATAAAAATAATATTTACTAAAATAAAAGTGTAAATAATTATTTGTTAATAAACAAAAATTGTGTCTTTTTTAATTATAAATTATTATTATTTTCATGATTATAATGATGTTTTAAAAGAGCTTTGGATATATTTTTATATAATTAATTTTTTATAATATCTGCAATTTATTACTAAACACATAAATTATATAATTAAGTTAATTAAACTTAAATACATAATGTTTTATTAAATTAAAAATAATAACTATAAATATTTATACACAAAACTCAACTTTGCAGAGACAATACAGAAATATTGATTAACATAATTAAAATAATTAATTGTAATTTATCTTATTAAAAAATAAATGGATAACTGTGGTGTAAACTATTTTTGCAATTGTATTAATTATAATTTAATGTTATAAAATTGTATAATTAAAAAATGATAATTCGTTATCATCTATTATTTTATAAATCAAGTGTTTAATTAATGAAAAAATAAATTTCTAATCAGCGGTACTAATAAAGAGATTTATTAATTGTGTGATTTATAATAAAAATTAGCATGTATAAATAATAGGATATAATACAAATAATTCATTAATTTAACTTTTATAATAATATTATATAATAGTTTAAGACATTTATTTTAAAATAATTAAAATGATTAAAAATTATTTTTTAATTTTTGTTGTATTAACATCGTTAACAGCTATTACGACAATTGAAAACTTAGGTATTATATAAGTAATTATTAAATAATTTATAAAATAAATAAAACAAAAAAAATAATTAAAATATTAATTAATATTTTAACATTTTAAGAATATATTTAACTAATAAAAATTTCTATATAGATAATACATTGAATGATCCCGGCTGTCCATCTGAATGGGTATATCACTCAAATGGTAAGTGTTATAAATCTTTTGCAAATCTCGGGAATGTCAGTAAATTGGATGCGGAAGCCCTGTGCCTGAAGGAAGACCCGTTGGCCACTTTGATTATTATACACAATAAAGAAATACAAGATTTTGTCTACAAAAATGTTTTCACCGTCAATTCGGGAATGGCATGGATTGGTCTCGAGTATACCGGCACTAAATTTGAGTGGACAGATAACTCCCTAATGGACTACCATCACTGGGATGACAGGGCCATCATTGACGGCAATGTCAAATGTGTGGCCATGGAATTGACCAACGAATCAGGCGGTGTATGGAATACTACTGATTGCAGTCAAAAGTCAGCACTAGTAGGTTGCGAGACAACACCACTGTCCCTTAGAGACGTATTGGCAAGAGTTATCAAATTAGTAAAGTTGGTTAATAAACAACAAAATACTATCGCTGATCTCCAGAAAACATGTTGTAAATCAACAAAATTTAATGATTTGTTTTAATTATTAAATATTAGTTAATTAAAAAAAGTTAATTATTTTTATATATAATATTTTGATAAATTAACTTTTCAATAATATTTAAATTAAATTTTTATTTATAGAATGAAATAAAGATATATTATTTGTTTGTGACTACAGTTTTTTAAAATAACTATTAGTATGTTTTATTGAAATTGTTATAATCAAATTGCATTTTTAATGTTAATTTTTAAGATTTTGTTATTATCTATTTTATATATTTTTTTATAAGTTAATTTAGATTTAATATCATTTTAATAAGTATTCTTTGACTAATGATTAATAATAATAAGCAATTTATCATATTTATAATACTGTATTGTATTTTTATAATAGTCTAATATCTTTAGATAAGTTTTAATAATAGTTTTGTTGTAATTATTAAGTAAAAGTTTTTTTTTAATATTAAATAAGTATATTAAATACCGGTATTGTATTCTATAGTATTGATGTTTTAAATTAAAAATTTTTAATACTATAATTATTAATTGTATCAATAAGATTAAATAGCAATTAATGTTTTTTTTACACAATAATGTCAATAATATTTAAAGTATACTACACAATAATTAGTAAACTTTGTTTAATAATTTAACTGCACATTTGGTAGATTATGATTTATATAATATTTGATAATTATATTTTAATGTATAAAACAATGTGTTATTTTTATTTTAAAAATGTATTATAATTTATCAAAAACTTCAATAACAGCCGGGAAAGGGGTGGCAAACTTGGATCTCGTGAGCGCCTGTTTTGGCATTTTTTGGTTAACAGACTGACAGAGATCACTGTCCACATAATCGGCGCAAAAGATGTTCATCGGATCAATCATTGCTTTGTCATAGAAAGCATCCATTGTTTCGACGTCTTTGTTACTGCAATGTTGTGAACCATTCTTTTCCAATACAGTTATCCCACAGGCTTTCCAACTAATCATTGTACTAATAAAACATAATTATAGTCCAAAGTTTACATTTAACAATATATATATAATTTATATATAGTATAAATGTTTGTATGTGTGTGTGAAAGATAAAGTACATACCAACACATTAGAGGTATTTTCAGTTTACTTTCAGCTTTATTGGCAATTAGGGTCAAACTGTCAATCATATGATACCAACACTTTTTATTAGCCTTTTTGTCTTTATTCGTACATTTACTGAGTCTAACAAACTTTGATTTATCACTAGTCGTACGGCACATACTTTTATATATTTTTTCTATTGAGTGAACCGATACAGACATCAATGTTTTTGACGCATCTTTTGTGCAATTCTTGATGAATGACCGCGTATTGCGGATATCGGATGGATATTTGCTATCAATTATATTATAATTTGATAATAAATAACAATATTATTATAATATATATTATAAATACCGGCAATGGCTGTTAATTTTATTATCATTTTCTGGAAATTCAAGTTGAAAAGTCGCTATTTTCTCCATAATTTTGTCCAAATCACTAAAAAAATTATATAACTAATCAGTATATATAAATTGTATATATATATTGAATAAATAATATCAGATATTTTTTAGACAATTTAACTATAATAATAAATTTTAATAATTAAAAATTAGCATTTATTAAAATAATCTCACCTCATAGTACATCCTTTTTCAAGAGAAACACATATTTTAATTACACAAAAAATTAAACAAATTTTAAAAATACTAATAATCATTTTGTAACAAATAATTTATAGTTTGCAAAAATATCTTAAATGAATTTAAAAATTTTTATTAATGTTTTTTCACTTTTATATGCGGCTCATTTTAAAATCTATCATTGTCAAGGTCGGTTAAAAAACAAAAAATACTAAATAGTATTTAGTATTTAGTATTAATTTTAAAGACAATTTGACAGCTAATGGATTCAATAACAAAAAAAACAAGTATATGTTTGAATTAAAATCTATAGGTAATTGTTGAAACTTGTGATTTTTAATAATTTTAATAATATATTCAAAATACTAAATTATAGTCTGGAATATTTTTTAATGATATCATCACAAAAATAATTTTATAATTTGTAAATAAAAGTATTTATTAAAAATACTTTATTATAAAAWATTAAATAATATGATATACGTAATAATATGTTGTAATTAATGTGTACAGTATATAATATATATAGTATATTAAAGAATAAATTTTAAAAATTAAGTAATAAATAAATTAATGTATTGAATGAGTAATATCTACAACAGTAGGAAAATGTGTTGAATATTTTTGTCTACTATTACTACCACTTTTGCCTCTATTGCCTCTATTTTTTGGTATAAATTTGTTAACAATTTGGCAATTTTTAGGTATATGATCCTTACAATAAAATATTATATTTATTGGATCTATAGTTGACTGTTGGATATAGTTATTAAATCCTTCGACAGCTTTCTTTGAGCATATTTTTGAGCTAATATTGCGATAGATATCGTGCGAACATTTAGTCCAATCCTTTATTGAACTACAGTATTAATATGTAGATTAAAATTTTAATTACATTAAATAAAAGTTTTTTTTGAAAAATTTTAATGTCTACTATATTTTCAATTACCAGCAAAAGGCTTGCAATCGGTGTTCATCTTCAGTCACATTTCGGATGAGTGCCAACGCTTGTAACCATTTTGAGTAGCATCGGGTGATCAGTCGTTTAGCACTATTACCACATTTGGATCGGTCGATGAAACGGCTCATTTCGGCATCACTTTTGCACGACATCTTGACATTCATTTTCTCGATGCCTGCAATTGAAAACTTTAACAGTGAGGCCGATATTCYCCGATAGCATTGTTGAACGTGATTCTCGGCCTTTTGTACCGACACATACATATGACTATAATAAATATATCAATATTTCGATAATAATAGCATTTTTTAGTTAATAAAACCGCAATCAAGGTYAATGACTTACCGACAATAGCTTTGTTTTTGTTTTTYATTTTCTGGCCATTTAGTATTTTTGTCACTGATCATTTTTGTCAATGGCTTCATTACATTATCAAGGTTACTAAAGTTATTATAATTGATTATTATTAATTAATTCAATGATTTTTTAAATTTTATTATTTTWTCATATATTTGATTACCTTAATTTACAATTTTTACATTTGACTTTGATGATGATGTGTGCATTAAATATATATAATAGCATTGCTATCACACTTAAACAAATATTCATATTAAACTTAATTAAAAATGTGCATTTGAAAAATTATTGCTTAATTTGTGTAAATTTAAATAAATATTAACATTATTTATAATATCAAAATATTTATAGTTATAATATAGGTAATAATTATATTATGTTTAATATATGTTTGAATTAATAATAATCAATTAATAAAATTGTTAAATTAAACAATTTAAATGCAATAGTAAATGTATAAATGCAGCACTGTATATAAAATATAAATACTATAATACTAACTAATAATTAAATTAATTGGCAATTATTAAAGAAAAATCCCAAATTTGAAAATCACTGGAACTTAATAACTAATTATCCATATAATGATATTTTCATTATACAATAGAGACGGCATATATAATAATATAGTTGTGTAATATCATAAAATTAACAATTTACACTATTTTTAACTACAATAAAACTTAAAATTTATTATTTTATATGAAGTCAATATATTATTTCAATTTTTCGTGAAAATTAGCTGTTTATCAATAAAAATCTGTGAAAATGCATAAATATTGTATTTTTATAAAAATAACAATTAATACACTGCATTGCCTCAAGGTTAATTTATTGGAATTAATGAATATTTATTATTACTTTTTATTATTAAAAATGTGATTAAAATAAGAAAATTTTACTAATTAGTACAAAACTTGTAAATAAAATTATAAAACTTAACAATTTTACTTTTATTTATAAAATTATTTAATACTATTGTATTAAAATAATGTATTTTATAAAGAGTTTCTATAATCATAGCTATTATGCTTTGCATCTAATTATTTTTTAATTAATAAACTATTTAGTGGTAAAATTAAAAATATACATTAAGTAAAAATAACAGATAGTGGAAATAATCTTATGATATGATTTAATAAATCTATTTACTATTATTAATTTAATTTGATGTTGACAAATACTTGCTATTTAATATACTTATTCATACATTGTGTAGCAAAAGTTTCAAATACAAGTGCCTAAAAATTGATAATAAAACTTGAGAAACTATGAAAATTATTATATAGGTATAGTATTGTATAAATTAATCTTAATAATTATAATTATCTTAACAGTAAGATAAAAAAATTACAAATTAGTATAAATATTAAGTAAACAGAAAATTTATTTATTCATTAATAATAATTAATAAAATATTTAGTTATTCAATAATTAATAAAGGTCATAATATATATTTATTTATTAAATGATGGACAAATTTATTTTAACTTTTATTTTGTTTAATTGTTTGATTTTGAATAGTTTAGGTATTATTACTACTTTTTATTATAAAAATAATATTATTAACAAAAAAAAGTATTAATTATATATTATTGATTAAATAATTAATTTATAGCTAAATTTTCATTGGATTTTCAACAAACTTTTGATGTTCCCCAAGATTTTCCTAGAGTTGGCAACAAAACTGGTCTGTAATTTATAACAACAATAAAATACTAAATTGTAATTTTTATTTAAACTTAATTTTATAATTACTATTTTTTAGCAATAACTCCATATTTCAAGACACAAATGACTGTTTGGAAAAGTATTAAATGCAATGAAAAATCAGTGATTAGTGGCATTCAATTGAACGCAACGTTGGCGGGTGAGGCCACATGTAATGGCTATCACTCGTGGGAAACACCGTTTACATACACGGCTATAGTGAACGGCAAACCAGAGAATCTAACAATTGGCAAACTACTTGTCTATTACTCATATTTGAATGGTTTGTAATTTATATAATTATTGTAGTATATTATTTAATAATTACAGTACTTTAATACTATTAAAAGGCAATATGGTTGAAGTAAACACCGGTACCATAACAGAGGGCCGCTGTAAGGGTGACGTGTTTTTCTCGGCCAACTCTTATATAGCCGACGACCAGTTCGGTTGTTCCGGAAAAGGTATGAGCTCTGTGACTATGAAATGGATATCAGCGCAGGTGACCGGCAAAAATTGTTTGTCAAACTGTCAATTAGATAATGGATATATCAAATTAAATCCTGCTATTCATGATTAGACTAAATTGTAACCATACATATTATGATGCATATTATAAATAACATTATATATAATGTAAAATAAATTATAAATAATTTCACAATTAAAAATGTTTATGCAATTATTATTAGTAATTATAACAAAATTATACAATCCTTTTTTAATTAAATATTTATAATAAAAAAAAATAAAAAATAAATTTCTAACATTTTGATAGTTTTGAATCATAATTACTACAAAAGAGTATTAACTATTTTGTTGTTTAGTTTAACTCTACGTCAGGAAAACTGTCAAACAGTTTCATGATAGGCATGAATACACTTTTTGGGCGCTCATATGTTTTACTATCCATTTTGGGAATTTCTATCAATAGTTTAGCGCATTTGCCGGTTGACGACCAGTGCTCGGCACACATCATATCAATAGCCGGTTTCAGATTTTGCATTACTTGACTTTCAGCCCAAACAACTGTCTCTGTGTCGCAACCATTGGTTTTGTTCGTGGCGTTGAATATACATGTCCTGTATTTGTAAGCATTGCTATAAACAAAATAAACAATATTTTTTTGTAATTAATAGATTATAATTAATTAGTAATAAATTATAATATTAATAAATATAATAAAAGTAAATTGACCAGCATGACATTTTAATTCTGAAATTATCGGGCGCCTCCACAATACCCATCACACCATCAATAAAACTATTGGTACAATCAATCAGCTTATCCTCTGCAAGATTACCACATTTGGCTGCTTTAATATATTGTTGCATTTGAGCATTCGGTCGGTTCATATTATCGTAGCCTTTTGGAGAACAATACGGTTCAAAGTTATTAATACCCAAACTGGCCATCATTTTGACTAAAAATTTTCCAAAATCGCTTAAACAACTTTCCACATAACCGTAAACAAACGGTATATTACTAATAGCAGTATTGCACCACTGTTTCAATTGGGCCCCATTTTCAGGTATGAGATCCGGTGTTCCCAATGTAAACAATCTCTGAACTAACTTATCTAACCTTTCATTTGCTTTTTTAGTACATTTCATACTTCTATAACTATCCAATATTTCCATAGCCGCAGAAAATGGTGATTTCGGTCGCACATATGTATTGTCTAGTTTAGGTGTCTGTGCCATTAGTTTAGCACATTTTGTATTATTTGAAAGATAATAATCATTGCATACAAAACTCAATGAATTGTTTATTTGATTTATTAGTTGTTTATGCAATCCATTACATTGTTTTGTGTTAATCATTGACTTTTTGGCGCAACCTATAAATTTGCTTATATGGCTATTCAACAACAAAAAATTAATTAAAGTTTTAAAGTTTTAACGTTTAATTAAAATAATCAATTAAGTGATATTAAGATATTATTGAAAAATAATTGATCCATACCAACAGCCCAAATTCATACGATCCATTTCCTCGATTCGGGGCAATACTGTCATTACGTCGAATATATTTTGAACACAACTGTCCATATGATTGGCCGCACTATTTAAGCACTTACTGGTGCTTAAAAATTCGGCCACATTTTCCTCATTTGCACTGTTAATGCAAACTCTTTTATATGATTTTTTACTCGATTGAAGCATTTCTTTAGCCATTATAGGACCTAACGTTCCCATACATGACTTCATATAGGAGGCCACACTGTTTAGTGTTAATTGACTGATTGTACAGTATTTGTTCAATTGTTTGACAGTTTCGGGTAATTTATTGCCATTTAATATGGGAGTAATTTGGGAGACTTGTCTATCAATTTTTGCCCGCACTTTATTATTACAATTAGCATCGTTAGCATTATTTGGCGCAGCATTACTATTGATTACATTAACTATTTTGGAAATTATAGCATATAATTACGTATATTTTCAATTGGAAATTATGATTTACTTACCAATAATCAATGTAATAAAAATGTAAAATTTTAAAGAATTGTGCATTTTTTCTAATATTAATATTATTTAAACAAAGAAAATATTTATATTCAAAAATGCAAACAAAAGACCAAAAACATAATTATAAATCACTTCACTAGAAATAGTAAACTCTATTACATATTATAATAATTGATAGAAAAATAACACAAAAAACCTGTTATTTAAATCTAATAAATACTTGTGGCTATCATTAAACCCAAGGATGCATTGATTATTAAAATTATTGAATTTTTTATTATTGGAAAAAAATTTACATTTAACTATATTTATGATATTGAAAATAACTTGTGAAGCAATTACTGTATTAAACAATTTTATTTATTTATATTATATATTATACTACAAGTAAAACATTTAATTTGTTTTGTTATTTTACAGTATTTTCTAATATTGATAGTTTAATATACTAATTAATATTTGCGCTTTTTATATTTAATTTTTTCATTTAATATATTAATATTTGCATTTTTTTTATCATTACTAATTTGGAAACACCTTAGAAATCAATTTTATCTTATTAGTTATACTATATTAGTAAATAATATATTTATTATATAAAATTAGTAAATCTATAAAAAAATGCTGTAATTACATAACATTTTCAATAAGTTAATTTAAACAATGAAATTTATTAATTTAGTTTTGTACAATTGAAATACTGTTTTTATTTCAACAAAAAACATTGTTTCCGTATAACCTTTGAGCACATCATTGAATATTTAAGAGATAAAGTTTCACAAAAATATTTCAATTCTATTATTAGTTATTACAGAAAAACTAAATAATTTTATGCAATCAAAAAACAAATTTTATTAATTAATTTACTGTTTTTTAAATAAAATACTAAGGAAACTCCCAATTATATTTATATTTTTATTTTAATAAATAAATTTAAAAGACATTTATATAATTATATTTTAATGTTTGTTATACTGTATTATAGTTATCTTATAAAATATTATTTTTCTTGAATAATATAAGTATAATAGTGATTATATATATATTTTATTATATCTACCGGTAAATAGAAAATACAGGTAATTTATAAATTATAAAGTGATTTATAGTTAGACGAATCAAATTTTCTTATAAAATTTTAGAAATGATTGCAATTTCCTTTATTTGTTTATTTGCTTAACCGACAAACTTTTATAACACATGACCACAATTTATAACTTTATTATTTTGTCCTCTATTGTTATGCTAGAGGACTCAATAGAAAGTACCTCAAGATAGGGATAATAAAATGAAAAACATAACAGATAACTATGTATTGGATTTAACGGAGTATTTGATCGGCAAAAAAAATATGGAGATAGACTTTGATGACTGTGCCGATGGTAAAACTGCACTGATTTTTGATGGGCTAACACTTGAGTTAATCAAACATTATTTAACTGAACGCAATCTAATAGTATAAGACATTGATTTTCATATATCAAGTGATGGTAATGTACTATATTTTGCATTTACACTCAGAGAGACTACAAGTCTAACTCATTCACGCACTTTGGACACAATGTTTGCATTTTATTAAAAGTTTATAAAATTAAATAAAATTATTGAATTTATTTATTAATAGAATGGTTTGTATAACGAAATAAAAGAGATAAAAAAATTTTGAATCCAAACAATACTAATACACAACAATTTTATCAATTGAAAAATGATGATGATCATTTTGAATTTACCACCATATATAACAATATATGACCTGGGTGTTTTGGTTATATTTGTATATGTCAGTTGTATCAATCATATTTTATTTTATTCATATTCTAGTTAACTATAGATACAAATAATATAAACAATTTTTTGTTTAATACAATTAATTATAAAATAAATAAATAAAGTTAAATGAATATTTATACAATAAATAAAATTTACACAGTGCAATCTATAAAATTACCAGGATCATTGAATTGATTTCTATTGTTACAAATTAATGTATGATTTAACTGTTGTTGACATTGTTGGTGAATAATAAGCCAATAATTTCGACAATCTTGGCAATCAATATATGGAGTAAATGGCATGGATAAGTTATTTTGAGGGTTACTCTGCAAAAATGGCAACAATATATCCTCTCTATAATAAACGGGATTTTCCCACGATTTGCCCATAAATTCAATTTCTAAAATAACGGGACGTTTGATATTTGACAACGAATTCACCGAAAATGACGTTTCGTTTAATAAATTATTGCCAAACAAATAGATAGTCAAATAATTGTCGGAAACTGTATTAAATTCAAATGCCTTTTCTCCAATAGTTTTGATAGACGTATGACTGATATCCAGAAGCTTCAGATTATTCAAGTGTGCAAAAGGATTGTTACCAATACTTTCAATTGTTTTGCCATAAAATTGAATGAACTCTAGTTTGACTTGAGGTCCGATCACTGGTTTGAATGCCTCGTCGGGTATGTGTTTGATGTTATTATTGAAAAAATAGATTTCTTCTAAATTAATAAATTTACTTAAGATATCGAAAACTGAAATATTACTTAATTTTTGATTGTTTCTAAATGTAATGGATTTTGTTATCAAATTTGTTGCCGTAAATGATTTTTCGTGCAATAGTTCCAAGTTTTTGCAGCCATCGATGATTATCTCGTCAAACGTCACGTCTCTGAATGAGTTTTCTGGTAATATCTTAAGTGCCGTATTATTGATATAAAGTCGACTAAATTTTTTCATTGGTGTTGGTAGTCGTCTGTCTACTATTTTGAACGTTGTTTGCAAATTGAGATCCCCGTCACCACTGCATATAACCTCATTTGTATTGTTAGACTCTTGATAAATGCACGGTTCAAACAGGTAGTCGTATGATTGCATTAATTGGCATCTGTAGGTCACTGTTAGCTCAGTTAACAATAATGTAATTACTAGTATTTTCATCGATTTACACGTTGAAAACATTTTAATTATTATTCAAATTATATTTTAAAGCAAAGTTTAATATTAAAGCTTAAAAAATATATAGTTTTAGTTTAATTACAGTAGTTATTAACGTTTAATACATTGAATAAAAATTGTCTATTCATATGATTGTTTATTTTACTACTATTATTTTGTCTGTAATTGTTATTTATAATATTAAAAAATTGCAAATTAATGGTTGCATATAACGTAGTATTTTTGATAACAAGTGAACAATATTTAGATTTAAATACATTAAACAATGGATAAAATATTAATTAAAATCTAAATTACTTACAAAAATTATAAATATAACTAACAATATAATGAATGTATTCATAAATTAATGTTATTATGCTAAATATATATCCAACAATTATAATTGAAAGAATATTATTTAAAAAATCAGCAAGATTGATTTTGTAAAACCCATTTATATAATTATATTTCTTAGTAATCAATTGCTCAGCTGATCGTGATTTCATATTTAGCAATAATTTATCAATGAATTGTTCATGGTCAAATAATCCACATTCAGTTATACGTTTGTACCTTAAATAACAATTTTATATGTAATTATTATTATAGATATCAAAATCAATTGGACTTACATTAAGATAATTTGTTTGCTGTTTTTATGACCATTTCTCACACAATAATAGCTATATTCATGAAAATATTTATCATTACTAATAATAAATAAATCTTGATATTTGCGATAATAATAAACCAAATTATCAATAAAAAATGATGGTGCCATAAATATGATTTGACCATTAATTAATAGTTTAAACAATTGTGTTTTATACATATGTTTACTGTTTAACGATGTATTTAATTTACTTTCTAATTGTTTAGTTCTATCGATAAATGTATGCAAAATATGTTTATATTGTCGATCATCTATAATATCAATGTATGATTCAAGTAAACCCACTGTTGATGCAATTAATATATTATTGTTTTGGTCGATATCATCATAAGTATTGACAATTGGTATATATCTCACATCTATATATGTCTTAAGTAAAACACTTGAATACGATTTTGAGATAACATATGAAAAGATAAGCGTTGTATTTATAATAATAATTAGCGTAAATTTTCCAGTATTTTTATGTTTGCATTTTTTGTATAATCCAAATATCATGTGTGATGTTTGTTGTGTTAATGTACGAAATATCTCAAAAAATATTTTTTCAAAGTTTTCTAAATAAATTTGATTATTGTTTTTATTATTATTATTAAGTTTGCATATAAAAATTGCAATTATTATCCAAAATATGATTACCAGGATCCATATCTTAATTTATTAAATTTTTAAAAAATTATAAAATAAAAATTAATTTTTATTTAACTTACATTTAAGCTAAATAATTTCCAAAAGGATAAAAATGTGTTATTGTTTGAAACTTTCAAACCGCTGATCATTTTCAATAAATATATTTCCCTGACTGGTATGCCATCCATATTGAACTYAGGATCTAACATGAATGAGGGCGTTGGATGTAATATAGTTAATGCCTATAAATTATAATTTTAAATTAATAATACAATTTATTTAAATAATATAATTTTATATAAAATAAAATAAATATACTGTACATTATCAAAAACTTCATCATTAACATTAAAAACAATGAATAAGTTTAAAGTACATGTTAGATATTTTATGATAGATAGTGTTGCACCTAAATAAATTCCCTAAATAATAAAATTTAAAGATAATATATTAGTCGTAAAATTAACATTTAAAATATATATTTTTTTCAAACCTTTCCATAAATATAAATAATGTTTGACTCGTTATAATAATTATTTATAATATTATTACAACTATAAATATACCCAGTTTTAATGATAATTATTTCAATAATTTTGTTAAAATAACTAATTTCATTATTAATAGTTAAATTCATATTAGTAAAATTCATTTTTAATTTATAATCAAATATATAATAAATTTGTTTTAAACACTTTGTACTGTAGTTTATAAAGAATTAAAATATATAATAAACAAAAGGTTATATCTTTTTACGCATTTTAATGTTTCTAATAATAATTAAATTATTTAATTATACGTTAAAAGTTCACTGTTTTTAACGAAAACAAGTTAGTAAATATAAAAATATTTAATTATAGTTAATCAATAAACTTGTAAAAAGTTTTTTCAAACAAATATCTCAATTTTATAATAGTTATTACAAAAAACTTAATAATTTTATGCAATCAAAACATATTTTATAAATAATTTAATGTTTATTTAAATATTTATAAAAATATATAAGAACTCCAAAATATATTAGTTTATTAATTTATTAGTTTTTTAAGAATATTTTAATAAATAAATTTAAAAGACATTTGACAAAAAAAAACATTATTTTTATGTAAAACAAGTTGATAAATATAAAGATATTTAATTATAGTTAATCAATAAATATGTAACAAATTTTTACTAAATATAATTCAACAGTTGTAAAACTTTAACAAACATTAAAAATATCAATATTTATAAGTAATAATTAAATAAAATGTAGTTATAATTGCAGTTAAATTACATAAATCAATAACAATTAAATTATGCAACAAATTTAAAGGTTGATTTAAATTAATAGCCACTTTTGAATGAAATAATTATGAATTTATACAGATTTTTGTTATATTCGTCATAACAATAGAATAATATTAATTAATTAATTTTTAAAAATCTGAAATCTTAATTATTCAAACAAACTTTGAAAAAGTTTTGTTTTTTGAAATGCATAAATCTGTGTGTGTGTGTGTGTGTATGTCTGTCTCAATTAGAGATGGGCAAATAGAAAGTTTCTAATAAATTTCCGTGAGAAAGTTTCTAGAAAATATCTCATGAATAAATAGAATAAAATATAAATTTAACTTTATTATTATACTATGGAATCACCATATCTATAGTTATTGGAAATACTTTAAATATACAGTATTAAAGAGACATAATATTGTACATATAATATTATAAAAATGGGATACCTATATAAATAAGTATAATTATCCAATAATAATCAGTTTTGTAAAATTTTTATTTATCATTTTATTATATTATAGTTATATTAATTTTTACTTTAATTTATAATTAAAATACTGATAATAATATTTAATTAATACTTGTAAATAACAGTGTTACAAGATAAAAAAATATTGAAATAACAAAATTAAAAATTATACTAATGCATATGTGGTCTATTTGATGTAATCTATACCATTAAAATTTGTTGTTGGGCAATGCTTACTAGCATTCTCAACTGGTTTAGATCAATAAATCATAAATTATATATTTTTTCAGAGATTACAGTGTTTTAAAACAATTATACTGATCATACAATACATTTATATTGTATTTAACATGTGTTTAATATTAATTATCATTAATCTTGATGCAAGTAATATATATTATGCGTCATTAGAATAGGATTAAGGATGTATTTGAAATATATAAAAACACCATGATACTATTCATACAATTGATTTATTCAGTAATATTTAGTTTTTCAATTTTTACTGTATTTAAAACTGTAAAATATAACTAAAATATATAAAAATGTTTATGATCATTTTTTTATTTTCCATTTGTAAGTCTAATTTATAAATATAACTAATATTATATATAAAATAACTAAATATTTGTTTTTTTCTATTAATTTCTTTTATAAATAGCTTACATTAGCTGTCAAAGTGTAGTATCGCAACAATTGCCGCAAATAGTGGCCGAACAGATACACACCGACGGCTACTTTGTGTTGTTCACTGAATTGGACGGACAACTCAAGCCATTATTACGCTTACCGACAGCTCTGAAAAGTCAAATAATTGACGACAAAAATTTAAGACAATTACCCATTTCTACTGATAAATCACATAAACAGATACCAGTTATTAACGACTCTATACAACAAAACGATGGCTCTATTACTCTATTAGTTAATAACATAGCAGTAGCTGTCATACCTGCAGGTAATACACCCGACACCAGATGTTTCGGTGGTTTCGGTAGATTTGGTGGTTTTGGAGGCTTTCCTGCATTTGGCAAAAGAGATACTGAATCTGAAATAATAGAAATTACAAAAAACAATAGTGAAGAACCAGAAGAACGTTGTTTTGGAGGATTTGGTGGTTTTCCCGGAGGTTTTGGATTTGGTAAACGAAATACTGATGAAGAAACTAAAGAAATAGTTAATGAAAAACCAGAATTCGGATTACTTGGCAAACCTGAAGAACGATGTTTTGGTGGTTTCGGCGGTTTCCGTGGATTTCCCACAGGTTTTGGTTTTGGAAAATAAATAGATTTCTATTTAATATAATTATTTATAAAAGAAATTAAATATTTTATTTGTAATCATTTCTTAAACATATTTAATATTATAATTATATAAAATAGTTAAAATATATTTAATTTAATGAAATGTAAATTTGTTAAATTGATAATGTTGTCAAGTTTTAATTATTTGAATATTTATTTAACTCAAATCAATTAATGATCAATAAATAATCTAATAATTTATTGATATATTTTATTTTAAAATATATTAAGTAGTATTTAAGATTACAATATTATTTTGTAAAGTAATTTTAACTAAATTTAATTTATAAAAATTGTTTATTAATTAACTATTTAAATTACAATACAAACTTGAAAATATTAATTTTTAAAGTTTAGCAATTTTTCAATTTATATAAAATAAATTTCTAAAAATCAAATCCATTGCCAATATCTTTCAAAATATCAATCATCGGTGGTATAAATGATTTTGGTTTTTCTATTTCTTCATATTTGATGTCAGGCACTAAACTTCTTATGCGATCACATTTATCACTGGCTATTATAATCAATACATAGAAAATTAATATTAAAATTAAATAATGAAAATTATAATTAATTGATATATAAAATGATTACAATCGTGATAATCAAAACACATTAGATTTAAAATCTCGCCAAACATTTCCAGTGCATAGCGTTCAACAAAATCAATGGTACGTCGCGTACACTCTTTGTTATCTTCTGCTGTCTGTTTGAAGCACTCACGCAATACATTAAACTCACTGTTAATATGATATTTATATAAAGTATTAAAACTTAAAAAATATAAACAAAATTAAATTATTAAACTAAATGCTAGTAATGCTAACCAACACAACATCGGAATCTTGAGTTTGTTGTCTTTAGTTGATTTGATACCTATTTCTTTGATTATAAACTTGTTATAGCATTTCTTAAGCCCAGGTCGGGCAGCGTTACCACAACGCGCGGCTTTGATGATAGCCTTTGCTTTGTTAGACAATTTGCCTGATTTACAAATAAGACTAATTTCATTGGTCACCGGATAAAACACCACTTGTAAAGCCTTTTGGGTAAACTCTGTCAGACAGTGTTTGGCAAAACCCAACAAAAAACCGGCACTTTTTATACCAGTGTTACAGAAATTTCTCAGTTCTCGACCATTAGTTGGGAACCGGGATTCAACCAGTTTTTGTGTGAACACATCCAATCGGTTTATCGTTTGATTATTACATTCAACATATTGTGGTTTTCCAAATGGTGTCAAATCAAAAAACGATGGCTTTTCATCACTCAATGATTTATTAGTATTATTGTTGCTATTATTGTTTGAACGCTTTGTTTGTTGTTCGCTATCTTTAGTTATTATTTAAGTTTAATTAAAATTTTTATATTTATATATTTTAAATAATTTATTTAATTATTTAAAAATTATTAAATGTTAAAATAAATAACACTAAAAATAAATTGTTTAACTTACCGAATATACTAATTAATAGTATTAAAGTAATAGCAATAATAATTTTAAACATTTTTACAGAGTATTTGAGTATATAAAAGAGTAATAATGATATATAATGTTACTATTAATAAATAAAGAAAATGAAAACATGTTTTGCAATTTTAAGATATTATAATTAGTTTCAAGTTATTTAATGTTGAATAAATAAATTAATAATGTAATAAAAAGTATAAATTATGATAATTTATTGTTCAAACAGACAAAAACTTAATTTTGAAAAATGAATATTATAAGATTTATAGTAAATTTTATATTATCATAAAGTAACTCAAATAAAATTAAAATTTATAAACTAAATAATTATTATTAAGTAATTGATAATTAGAAAAATTACATTTTAGAGTTGAATAGTTTTTTCATCGATTAATTATATATGACCTTCAAGTAATTTTTAAGATTATAATTATAAGTAAATATAAAACTAGAATATCAAAAATATGATATTGTCTATAATAAAATAAAAAAAATTATACAATAAAAAAATATCAATAAATAAAAAAACATTTATAAAAAAACTATTAAAATAAGTAATTTTATATTAAATATATAATAATCAAATAAAATTTATCAAAATTTCAATAATAATTTATTTTATCATATTGATTATAAGTTTTATCATTAATTACATGACAAATACCTGTATTTTAAATTTAATCATTATACAATATATAACAATTAGAGTTGGCAAAAAAAGAAAATTTTATAAAAAAAATTTGAAAAATTCTAGAAAGTTTCTAAAAGATATTTTCGATTATTAGTTCTCCAAAGTGTTAAAATAGACGAAAACAAATGTTTAAAAATATGCAAACAAATACATTAATATTTTAGATATTACACTGGGGGAGGGGTATAGAGTGGGGTAAAATAGCAAAAATTTGTATATTTAAAAACTTATGATAGATTTATAAGAAAATATTATATTATTTTTTGTTGTATTTTTAAAACGTTTGACAAAAAAACAACACTTTAAATGTGTTACTCAAGAAATGTTAGTGATATTTAACAACTTAATTATATTAAATAGATATTTATAACTAGTTTACAGTTAATTTATTATTCAATTGTTTAATTTATTGACTCTTTAGTATAAGTATATCTGTATATTATGTTTTATTTATACAGTATTATAAAATATATAAAATAGATATAGGGATCCAGTAGTGTAATAGTTTATTTATTTCTAAAAAGTTTATTAGAAATTTATATTTTTTTATCTCTAATAGCAAAACAGTAAGTTTATGATATAAAATGAATATTAAATATATAATTTTTTAGTAATATAGTTAATACAGTAGTAATCAAGTTTTTTTTTAAATTTCAAAGTTTAATAGCCTTGTTTAATAATGTATAATATTTAATATGAAAGTTATAAATTATAATTATTTATTAGACAATTTATTACATTTTTATTGCTTTATATCAACTAAAATTACCAAGATATTATATACGATTTAATCTTAAAATGTTTTCCTTGATTATTATTGTAAAATTGTTTATCTAATTTTATATGTAAAAACATTTATAATTTTAGATAAAATTTTTGAATAATTTAAATCAAAATGACAGTGACCTCTTTATTAACTTATAATCAATTGGTATGTCAAACATGTTTATTATTTATGATAACATTGAATATATTTTAGTATAAAAGCACTAACAAAACATTTTAAAATAACATTTATTATGTAATGTATTATAAATAACATACGAAAGTTATAATTATTTATAAAAAGTTTTTTTTATATCTTAATATTATTTAGTAAAACTAAATTTTTAATTTAGTGATAATAGTATAATAGAATTTATAAGTTATTCATCAAATGATAAAAATCTAATTAATTGTTAATTATATTTTGATTACTTTATAGTTTTATCTACGTTGAAAAATGTGCTTATGATAAATTTTAAAAATTATTTAAACAATGTTTCACATGAAATTGTTAATGATTATTATAGGTGATAAATTTATAAAAATATTGTTTGTATATAATTAATAAATAAGTTATTTGTTAATTAATCAAATATTTTAATTATTATATTAGCAAATATAAAGCTTATAACATGCTTACAAACAAACGTTGATAATATATTTAAGGAGGCGCCCACTATTAGGTGTAACAAACGTTCGTTTGATACAATTGAGCGATTGTTGCCCACATTATTCCCGCCGGGAACTGACCAGAGAGTACCGGAAACCACTGTCGAACTGAAACAATATTGTAATTTATATGATAAAAATAAGCAATTTATTTTGGGTTATTTTAAGTCATGCACCGGACAACTGTCCCAAACTGTGGCCAAAATTATGTTATATAACATCGCTAAACAAATGGAGTTGACCTGTAAAGCGGGCAAAATTAGTAAACAGGCCCGAGAACTGATGACCGCAGGAAAGTGCGCTAATAAGGCTAAACTATTGATCAGAGAGTGTAATACAAAACTGATTGACGCACTGTTAGGTGCAAAGAAAGCGCCAGAAAAAAGTCGGATTTATATGACCTGTTGGTATGTTTACTAGTATTAAATACTGTATAAAAATATATTATTAATTAATATTTTTATGATAATTAAAATATATATAAAAAATTTGGTATAAATCTTAAAAAATTTATCTTTTCTTACAAAACTAGTCATTCAAATGCTTATCGATTGTGTCTAAGAGAGGCCACTGAGGAAACAAAGGGCTGTACATCACATACTATAGATTGGGCCGAAAAATATGTACTAAAGATGTTGGGCTCAGCCATAAACCTTATTTGTGGCCAATATTTTGAAGAGTCAGACAAATGTCTAAAATTGATTAAAGAAACTCCAGAACCACAGATACCTTTGGGAAAAACAAAACCAACAAACTTTTTACTACCAATGCTTGACTTAATGGAAAGTATTAGTGAAGTTCCCAACAAATAATATACATGAGCTCTGAGACAATGATTACAATGACACAAATATTGGATTTAATATAATTAATTATTTTTAATAACAGTGATAATTAAAATATTAAATAAAAAATATAATACTTTATTATTAATTGTAATTATATAATTATACAATATATTTTGAGATGATTGTAAAATCGTATATTATTGATTTTAATAATTTATTTTTTTTTTGTTAATAAAACAATTTACTTTTTTAAGAATATTATAATAAATTACAGTAAATACAGATATAAAATGATAAAATACTGATAAATTATTGTTAACTTAATGTTTGAATCAATTTATTAAGTTTAATATACAACTTGTATAACTCGTTTCTGTGTAATTAAAAGATTACTGTACTGTATATATTCAATTAAATGTAAATATAAATTAATAATGAATAATAACTTAGCCAAATGTTTTATATATAATTTATTAAATATGTTTAAGATATGTTTATAAATAAAATATTTAATTTCTTTTATAAATAATTATATTAAATAGAAATCTATTTATTTTCCAAAACCAAAACCTGTGGGAAATCCACGGAAACCGCCGAAACCACCAAAACATCGTTCTTCAGGTTTGCCAAGTAATCCGAATTCTGGTTTTTCATTAACTATTTCTTTAGTTTCTTCATCAGTATTTCGTTTACCAAATCCAAAACCTCCGGGAAAACCACCAAATCCTCCAAAACAACGTTCTTCTGGTTCTTCACTATTGTTTTTTGTAATTTCTATTATTTCAGATTCAGTATCTCTTTTGCCAAATGCAGGAAAGCCTCCAAAACCACCAAATCTACCGAAACCACCGAAACATCTGGTGTCGGGTGTATTACCTGCAGGTATGACAGCTACTGCTATGTTATTAACTAATAGAGTAATAGAGCCATCGTTTTGTTGTATAGAGTCGTTAATAACTGGTATCTGTTTATGTGATTTATCAGTAGAAATGGGTAATTGTCTTAAATTTTTGTCGTCAATTATTTGACTTTTCAGAGCTGTCGGTAAGCGTAATAATGGCTTGAGTTGTCCGTCCAATTCAGTGAACAACACAAAGTAGCCGTCGGTGTGTATCTGTTCGGCCACTATTTGCGGCAATTGTTGCGATACTACACTTTGACAGCTAATGTAAGCTATTTATAAAAGAAATTAATAGAAAAAAACAAATATTTAGTTATTTTATATATAATATTAGTTATATTTATAAATTAGACTTACAAATGGAAAATAAAAAAATGATCATCAACATTTTTATATATTTTAGTTATATTTTACAGTTTTAAATACAGTAAAAATTGAAAAACTAAATATTACTGAATGAATCAATTGTATCAATAGTATTAATTGTATCATGGTGTTTTTATATATTTCAAATACATCCTTAATCCTATTCTAATGACGCATAATATATATTACTTGCATCAAGATTAATGATAATTAATATTAAACACATGTTAAATATAATGTAAATGTATTGTATGATCAGTATAATTGTTTTTAAAACACTGTAATCTCTGAAAAAAATATATAATTTATGATTTATAGATCTAAAATATGTAAAAATTTAAAGTTTTAAAAATGTTATTACCGTAATTAATATTATTTTATTGCTATTTATAAATTTGTTGTTATGAAGGATATAACAAATATCTGGTGGAATTTTACAATTTTATATATTTTAATTTTGATTAGTAAATTTTAAATTATCATTTTTAATACAAATTACATATTTTTTATTTTGTTATATAATACAAATATTTATTAATTTAGACTTAAGTTTGGAAAATTATCTTATTTGATATTACAGGTTAATTTATAATATTTTGTATATTATATACTAAACTAGATTATTTAACGCCCTGTAAACGTCATTGAGTTTTAGAAAATAACAAATTTTATGATATTTTTAAAATATAAAATTTTTATTTTCACAAAAATAAACACTAGACACCATTGAGTTTATTTATACTACAGTATAATAAATATACAGTAAGTTAGCAATTATATGTAAAATAATAAATTTAAAATTATAATTTACTGTTTAAGTTGTAAATGTTTTTATGAGTATTTGATTTATAGTGCTTTGTCTTATAATTAAATTAAAAGATTTACTAATAATTATTTTTATATTTAGTATTTAGAGAACATTGTATTAAAATTAGTTATTTTTATTACAGAAGGGTAAATAAAGAGTAATAATCTTAAATGCAATTATTATCAACAAACCTGTCATTCAATTATTTTTTTAATATAATATTGTTTTGAATACTAATAATTGTGATAAAATGTTTGCTAAATGCTCTTTACTAAATATATTATTAGTTATATATTTTATAATTATAGGTAATGTATGTTTATACAGTAAATTTACATAAATATTAATTAATTAATTTTATATATTAATATAATTGTATTTTAGAAGTAAATGCAATAAGTAATGTAACAAATAATCAAAAGTCAAAGAAAGCCAAATCAATGCGCGGCTCTGGTATCAGCACCAGACAAATGATAACAATCATCAATAATCCCAATGAAATCATTTGCAGTAATGAATCGGCCATAATGTTGGACGATGTGTTAGATAAACTATTGACCCAACGTTTCCCGACTATACCGTCACAATTAAGCAAGTTTTGTAACCAAGCGTCAAAAATATTACAATACTCGCAGATATTTATTAAAAAATGTCTCAAAGATTTTCAACAAAAAACCATTCAGTTCGTGTTGTTTCCCATTAGGCGTGAATTTGCAACGGTCTGTAAGAGTGGCAAACCGGGACCCAAAGCTCGCGAGTTGATGAAAGCGGCCAACTGTGGGAATCACGCCCGACCGGGACTCAAAAAATGCTATCAAACATTTATAACTCAAGAGATGTCTATTTTAAATGCTACACAAAAACAAAAGATTCCAATGATTTGTTGGTAGGTTTGCTTACTTTATATTATTTACTATTTATCTTTTTTTTATTAACCTTAACTATTATGTATTAATTTATATGATTATAATTAAAATTTAATTAATAATTAGCACATTTCATAAACTACGCGAATGTTTTATATCAGAGGCCGAGGAGGTTAAGGAATGTACGCCTCGAACCATCACTTATATCTCCCGGTGGGCCACAGAAATATATGGAGAGCTTATGGATATCATGTGTTTTGAATATCCTGATTGTATGTATATTTTATTAAATTATTTAATATTAAAAATTGATAACTTTTAATATATAATTGTAAATAAAATAATGTATTAAATTGATTAAATATACAATATATTCGTATAACAATGTAATTATTAAAACAATAATATGCATATCAACTAAATCTGTTATTTTATTGATAAACTAATATCTTTCAAAATTACTATAGCAAGTGATCGTTGCATTAAAGTGATCGACGGGTTGCCAGACATTGATTTATCGGGTATTATAAAACCGAAATCATTTTTGTCGCCACTTTTGAAAATTTTTGGTGATTTTGATAAAGAAGACGCACCTATTGGTCGTTAAAAATAAATTTAATAATAAAAAATTTCAATTAAAAACCTTTGTTTAGATGTAAAAATCCTTTTTAAAAAAACTTTAAATAACTTTAATTGATACTATTTAATACAATATTATATAACATAATATTTCATATATAAAATATTTATCAATAAAGAATTGTAAAATTGAATATTAAAAATACAAACTATTTATGTATTAATCTTTATTTATTAATTAAAACTATAATTTTTTATTTATAAAATATTTAAAATAAATTACATTTTATAATATTTATCATTAATCTCTTAAAAATCCGAAAATTATTAATAAATTTGTTATTTAAAAATATTAATTTTTATCTAAAATAGACATTTTTAATATTAACAAATTATTAATAACAATTAGTAAAATTTATTATTTTAAAACAGTAACTACAGTATACTCTATTTATAGGCTATAAACAAAAACATATATTCTACATTTATTCTATATCCACATGTATTTAAATAATAATGACTTATATTTTAAGAAAATGATTGAAAATTTTTATTTAATCACATGTCATAAGTTAAAACTCATAACAATGTTTATTATTGTAATTAAAAAACAAATGATAACTTAGTTATAATTAATACAAATTAGATTAAGTTTTTTGATAATCGGATTAAATTTATTCATTTTTTATAATATATTAAATTAACATTATATTTAAATCTAATAGTAAACTCTCTTTCTCTGTATTTCACATTTATTTATTAATTTGAAACAAATATATACAGTATATAACAAATGTTAATTTAATTTTTAAATGAATTCAATTAAAATCTTTAAATAAAAAAAATATTATTTTTAAAATCAAATTAATCGTGACATTGAAATGTTTTCAATGTTTATAGACATAACAATTATCTGATATTTAACTGACAAAATAATTAACTTAAGAAACTCATAAAAACGAGTTTTTATTAAACACTATACTCTTTAAAATATTCAATAAATACTAATTATTGACTATAGATATATCTTATGATCAGTATATTACAACTACATTAGTCATTATATGATGTTTTTAATAAAATAAAGATTTTTTTTTTTAAATGATATAATTAGAAAGGCATTTATTTTTGGCAATCTTGTCACACAAGTTTAATAACATACAAACATATAAATATATATTTTAATAACATTTTATATACAAAATCTATGATTAAATACTTTCTTATTCGCCAATCTCCTATATAAATCAATTGAATATTTCAATTTTTAGAAAAGTGAAAGTTAAATGATTAGTTTATAAAAAAATATTATTTTAAAATTCCAATATATTTTTGAAGTGATAAACAATAAAAGTATTTTAATTGAAAAAATCAAAGTTAAAAGTAATAAAAAAAATTCCACCAGTTTTATCAAAAATTATAAATATATATATAGATATAGTGCAAGTATAGTATAGATATTTTATTATTGAGGGTTACCTTAAATGAAAGGTATATAAATAAAATATTGCTGATAATTTTGTTATTTTCATTAATTCAATCATATATTTGTTGTTTATAATTTAGTTTTGACAATAAATATGTCAAAATTATTGTTACCTCTACTATTAATCAGCATTTGTTGTGTAATAACTTATGGCGCACCCGCCAACTCAACTAAGTCCCAGTGCTCGACGGGCAACGATGCCGATAAATGTATGATGCATTTGTTGCTTATTGGAGATCCTAAATACAAATTTCCCGAAAATATGGTTACAATGAATACACATTGCAGGTTATATTCTCAATAATTAGATTTAATAACTAATTTTGTTATCTTATATTTATAGACAAATAAAAAATTATGAAAACTGTATTAAAGATTATTCAAAAAAGTGTTTGCAATCGTTTCCCCGCCAAGTGACTGGTGTTCTCGCTTATGGTATTGTTAATTGTTTTTTTTAATTTTTATAAGTTATAATATTTATTAATTTTATTATAATAATTATAATTTAATTTATCAACACACAGGTGTAGCCAAAACAAATAAAGGCTATTGTACTAACAAAAAGCGTAAAGATTCATTTATAGAAATAGGAAAATGTGCTAATAATATAAAGCACCTTGGTGATGCTTGTATGAAAACGTACATTGATGATTTACAGGGCATTGAAAATTTTAAAGATGCTAAACTTAAACTTCCTATAGCTTGTTGGTATGTAAATATTTTATTATATTTAAACCAAATTATTAATTGATAAAAAAAATAATATATTTAAAAATAAAATTTTAATTTATTGATTATATACTGTAAATATAGTAACTTTTATAAAATGAAACAATGCATTTTGATAAGTGTTGAGAAAAATGGTAAACCAGTTTGCAGTGATAGTAACTATCAAGAAATTGAACGCATAATAGATGGCTATAGTTATGATGTTTTGCAATTGATTTGTGGAGAATATACAGAAGATTCCGACAAATGTCAGTCATTACTACCAAAGACCCCCAAAAAGCGGTCGTCACAAAAGTCTACCCGTTCTCTGTTACCGCCATTTATTAATATATTGAGTACGTCTACTGTCGAAAACATTTAAATGATTAAACTTATAATTAATTTTGTATTTTCTTTGTCAAACTATTGTATCAATACATTATGTAAAGTATTATTTAAATCTTAACATAAAATTATTTTAACATTTTTATATTACATTAGACTTTATATTATTTCTGAGTAATATTTTTTTATTTAAAAGTAACATTAATTATCATTTTTAATTTGAAACATGTAATAAATTATTTTATTATTAATCAAAATAACTACTCTGTAACTTATGTTAGTTTAAATTAAACACAATAAATATACAGTAATCATAATACTGTATATAATTTATATAAAAATATATCAACAACAAAAATTTGATACGATATATTTAAATAAAAACACTTAAATAAAATTATTAATTGTTATTTAATTTTTTTAAAGATATAAATAATTTAATTAAAAAATATATTTCACTTAAACAAAGTGATATTCAAATAGACTTAAATTTAATACATTTGTCACTTATAGAAATACATACCATTTAAAATCCTTCAAATATTTGTTGACCTATTTTTGAGTCATAAATTATGGGTCAATACTTTTACTTTATAACTGACATCACTGTCCATACATTGAATATATTGATGTGATTGTACTCCACATCTATAATAAACAGAAATTATACGATAATTTTTTACATAATTTATAGCAAGAATTATTATAAACTAATAGCTATATTTACTATTGTATACTGTATTTAATAATTACTACACTAGTAATTATACATATTATAATTGAAATGTTAAATACAAGTAATTATTGTAGTTGTTTTTAGCTTTTATATATTTTTTATGCAAAATTTTATTTTTTCTAAACTTTTGTAAAAGTTTGAGATTTTTTGAGAGTATTGAGAAATTAAGTAGGAAATTTAAAAGAAACTTATAGGTAATATTTGGGGAATTTATAAGGAATTTACTTAAATTTGGTAAGATTTGTCATTTAAAAATTCAATAAAATTGTAAACCCCTAAGATTTTTCGAGTTTTTTTTGCCATTTTACCCCTATATCTACCCATGAGATTGCAAACCTTTAACAATCGTGATTATACTGAATAAATAAAACTTTTTAAAATACACACAATTTTTGACATAAATTATAGACGATTTTTGTTTTCTGGTTTAAATTCGGACAAATTATTGCAATATTGTTTCGGACAGCACTTGTCTCTGTCCTTCACAACAGAGCATTGCTGTACAATACTTACACACACTCACACACTCACACACTCACACACTCACACACTCACACACTCACACACTCACACACTCACACACTCACACACTCACACACTCACACACTCACACACTCACACACTCACACACTCACACACTCACACACTCACACACTCACACACTCACACAAATATATTTATATAAAAAACCAGAAAACTCTTTTTAAACTTTTAAAAGTTTGTTTGAAAATAACTACATATTGTATAATAATAAATTAATTTATTAGAATCCATTAATATATTAATAATTTATTAATTATATGGATATGAGTATAAATAACTTGATGAATACAATTAATATTTTCAATTAAATAATTTGTTATAATAAATACTTAAGCAGCAGTTTTTTTTGTTTCATATTATTATTATTTTAAGCCTTGCATAAAAAATTGTTTTATTTATTTCATATGAAATTTTTTTTACTAAAATTAAATTTTAATTACTAAATTTAAATGCTTAAATATTATAGGAAGTTTTATTAAAATAAAAAATAAGTTAATGCATTTTATGAGATAACGCATATTTCATAGACTATAAACATAGTATTAAAAACTTATAATGTACAATATAAAATTTGTACACTTACATGTTAAAATTTTTTTTGTCAAAATAAATTGTCATTGAATAATGCATTTAAATAAGTGAAACAAAATATTAGTTATAACATATGATATTTCTAATAATTAACAAATTTTTAAATAAAAAATTATTAATAATAAATATTTCAATAACAAAAATTTTAATGATTTATTTAATTAAATATTATATATAACTCCAATCTATTTTAGGTAAATTATAAACTTATGCTAATTCTAAATAAATATAAACTAAGTTTTCAATGTAAAAATGTTATACTAAAACAAAACAAAATAAAACAACTTAAAGGCAATATTTGATATTTTTGCAATAGTTATAATTTAAAAATATATTAAATGAGATGATTATTATAAATAATTGTTTTTAACCAAACTTATTATTTTTTTAAAAAACACTAAATCGACAAACTTTAATAGTAAAGTTACAATAAACAACATATACAAGTGTTATTGAGAAACAATTTTTTTTGTTAAAGTTTTGTAAACCTATTTGACCTCTATTTCGAAATATACAGTAAAATATCCACTATCCACTAATTTCAATATTAAAAGTTTTACATAATTAAATAAAATTTTCAAAAATACAAATTTTTACATTTATAAAAATAAAAATATCATAAAATTGATTTAATTTCAGTGTTAGCCATTAAATTTTTAAATAAAATATAAATAAATACAAAGTATTTGCCTGTACTTCAAAGCTAATGACATAATTTTTAGGGAAACGCTTTTATCCTTTAAAACATTGATTAGTATTAGAGAGGGTGTCTGTGTCTGGAAAAGCCCGATCTCTTTAATATTATAATTTCAATGCTATGACAATGGATTTTAAAAATTAATAATAATAGTATTATTATTATTATTATTAATAATAATAATATAAAAATAAGAATAAAAATAAATAAAAGTGATATATATTTATATACCGATATAATATCTTTAAATTATAATTATTTATTTATATTATACAAATGAATATATTTAGAATTAGATAAAAAAATATACTAAAATATATTTTTATTATCTAATATAAATCAATAAAATAAATTTATTATAGAAACATATAGTTGTTTATATAAAAATAAATTTCCTTGATTATATTATATGATAATTATTTTAACATTTTAGTTATTTTATTGTTAATATCTATACCGTCTAATATGCTATAATTATTTGATCCAGATATACGGTTCAGATAATATATATAATCAATTTTAATAAATATTGAGATTATTATTTAGTATTATGGAAAATCCAAACATAAATTTATTTTAAGTTTATAAAAAATAAACAAAATGTTGAAATAAATTATATACTGTATATAGCATAAGGAAAGTAAATAACAATATATTGTACTGTAAATACTATATAATGTACTTTATATTGTTTGTTAAGCTTTTTTTAATTGAAATAAATTATAACAATTAAACAAATTTTGAAATATATTTACCAATATATTTATTTTAATAATTTCGCAATATAAACATTTTATTTATTTAAATATTTAACATTATTGTTAAAATTTTATTTATTTAAACAGTGTATATAAATATTTATTGCAGTTATCATTGTATATTAAATCTTAATACAGTATTATTGTGATGTTAAATGTTTTTACAAAAATTTTAATATTTATATAATAATGTAAACATATTATCAAAAATCAATTTTATTTTATATTAAAATTAATAATATTGTGAAATTGAAATAAATGTTATTAATTATGATATTGACATTTTTAAAAATAAATAGACATTGCTTTCTAAAATTTATTTCTGATTTGATGCACGTGTGAATAATATTTTTATTTAAACATGTTTACTAATAAAAATCAAATAATATATTGATTGACAAGCTGTAAATATTATTTTTGAATAATATATAATTATTTATTAATTTTTGTGTAAAATTATAAACTACAATATTTTTATAAATGACATTAATTTTAAACTCAAAAAATATTTATTAAAAAGTAAAAATATTTTCAAATAATATCATAATAAACATTAAGATTTAATATTTTTGAGTAAAAAACAAATATATTTTTTATATAATAACCTATATTATCATTGGTTAAATTAATTTTAATATCCATTACAAAATTTTAATGCTATATTGAAATCAATATAATAAATTGATTGCAATAATAACAAAATGATCCATCAATACTTTTAATCAGAAATTTCCAGATTATGTAATTTTTAGCGATTTGTAACAATTTTTCAGAGCACCCGTCAAGGATGCAGAGTTTAAAACGATTATTATTTTGTATATAAGTTATAAACATTTGATTGCAATAATACGATGATATCATTTGTGCTATTTTTAAAAATAAATATAATTTTCGGTTATTTTTGGCCTAAAATACGCCTATTATTTTGCATATTGAATATGAAATTAAACGACTGTTTCTAATAGATTGAAACTTTATTTACAAACAAACTTATCAATAGCTGTCTATTAGGTGATAAACATTAATCAAAATAGACATTTCATTAGAAAGTCTCTTAAAATGAAACTAAATATCATTTATTATAATAAATATAAACATTTTAAAATTAGTGTCTCCGGTTCACAACCAACCGCCCATAGATCTCTCTCTCCGTTCAAATACACTAAACACTATGTATAGCATAAAAATAATGAAACTATAGTACATCCTGTACGCATAGATATGTAATCCAGGCCAACCAGTTTTTTTTGTTAATAATGCAATACTCTCTCTCTCTCTCTCTCTCTCTCTCTCTCTCTCTCTCTCTCTCTTGTTTTAGGAGGTGATCGCATAGTATTTGGTAAAAACCAAAACATAAAAAGCGTGTTTTGTATAATGAAAACAAACTGTGAAAAACACATCAAAAAATTTTTTTTGAATCGCTTTCCATCACATATATAAAGAGAGTCTGAAGTTTGATAACCAAATGGCAATCAAATAATTGAGTTTTTTTGACGAAAACATTAGTAAACTACTCACCGAAGGACTTTCACTCTGTGTTTTGAATTAACAATATATTTATCTATTTATATAGTTATTTATCTATATATTTAAAAGTGCATTATAATAATCGCTGACAAGTGTCCTATACTAATCCACAAAAAAAGTTTTTATTAAGTTATAATAAGAAAATTTTTAGAAAATAATAAAATATTTTCTGACAAATAAAAATACTTAAAATAAAAGTATATTTACCTGTGCTATGAATGCCAGAAAGTTATCTAACTTTCAACAGGAGAGACAACAACAACAACAACAATATAAACAACAAAATCCGTCGCTAAAGAAAAACTTTTGGCGACTATTTAATGATACTTATAATAACAACAACAATAATTGTGATTCAGTGATAAAAGCAAAACATTTGTATGAAAAATACACAAATGTTAAATTGAATAATAACTAGTAATACAACAGAGTCGTACACATTTTCTAAGTTATTATAAAAGTTATATTTTGTATAAAAAGTTTATTTAATTTATTATTATTATTTAAAAATGCAATTATTCATATTATTCATTGCTTTCACAATCATATGCATCACTGGTGTGTATATTATATATTTTTTAAGTTTACAAATATTTATGAATTAATGTTAAACATTATAATTTATAAATATTAATTAATTTTTCAGTTAGCGATGCATTTAAGCCAAATGGAGTGGACTGTGATCCACAAGCCATGGATGAGACAACTCGATGGCTGTTTTTCTTGAATGATCCAAAACATAACATACCTGAGACCGAAAGTGACCGGCATGAATTTTGCACGTTTGTACAATACATATATATTTATTGCATGTATTTTTATTTTAAAATTAAATCAAATCTAATCAATATTTTTTTTATTATAATAGCGAAAGAGTACAAAAAGAGTTATATGTGAAAAATTATGCCAAACGATGTTTGAAGGCATTTCCATATCAAGTGACTACACTATTGATGTATGGAGTGATTCGCAAAAATAAATACTATTGTACTTTCAAAAGAGGCCAAAAAGATATCGTAGGTATGGCTAAGTGCTTGAATGACATCAAACCAATGGGAGACAAATGTATGAGCAAATTGATAGATGAAGCTATGATAACAATCAATGCACCGGAAAATTTGAAAATCGGTTTGATTTGTTGGTCAGTTCAATAAATTGAGTTTCAAAATTAAAATTATATTAATTAATTATTTTAATTTTTAAATAACTTAATATATTTATTATATCTATTGTTTTTTTCACAGTAATTATTATAAGTTTGAAGATTGTGTAACACATGAGGCGTCGGAAAGTGCCTCAAAAGACTGCACTGAAACCAGTGTTACACTCATTGAACAGCTTCTCGAGGGATATACCGGACAAATGATTGGACACATTTGCACCCAATATAGACGTGAGACGGATCAGTGCCAAAAGATACTACGGGTGCCCAAAACGTGGACCAGAGAATTAACTAATCAAACCAGATATAAGTCAATTTTGCCGCCATTTATTGATATTCTTGAAAGCATACCGGCCTAACATCAACTCAAAAAAACATTATAGTATTATTATATTTAATTTTAAATTATAATATTTGTATATAAATATATTTAATGTAATTATTAACATTTAATACATTTTGTAAAATTTTAAAGTAATTATTATTAACATAATTGTAAAAATATTTCATTAATAATTTCTTCAGAATTAATAAATGTTGTAATTTTTAAGTACAATATTATTGTTTTCACTTTTTTACATTTCATTAGCTCTTATGTGTCATTTATGATGAAATATATTAACGTTTGCTAGAAATACTATTTTGAATTTTTTATTTTATTAAATTATCGACAAAATTAAAATACCTGTACAAATAATTTATTAATCATTATACAGTGCAATAATATAATTATATATTATTTTATTTATACTATATTAAGGCTTTTAGTAAAAAATTTAATTTTTCTAAAAATAGTATCCAAAGAGATAACATGATTGAACACTAGTTTCAATTTCAATGCTTATCTTATAATTATAATTCAGTGCATTTGGTTTTACTTTAATAAATAGAGTGATAAAACAATTTTTATAAATTCTGGACATATTATCGAAACATTTTATTATTTTATAGGAAATTACATTAATTTGATTTATTATCAAAGTCACGTGTTTAAATAGATAATTTAATATAATTAGTTATTATTTAAATATAAGTCTACAATATATAATAATTATTGTGAAATTTAGTGAAATTTAGACTGATCATAATAATTTAACAATTAGGTCATTACTAATGTCACCATTTTATTTATAATACTTTCAATTTTATTTTAAATTATTTAGTTTATTTTTGCTAACAAAACTTGATTTTTATATTATTCATGTAAACAATAATGCATTTTAATAATTATTGTTCAAAATAACTCATTTTAGCACCTGATCGACAATTTTATGCACTCATTGATAAAATATTATACTATACTACAATAATACTATATTATAATTACAAAATGCACCTCAAATCAATTTAATTTACTAAAATGTTTGAAAAATATTATTTATTAACTAATCAATAATAAAAAATAATTTTGAATCATAGAAAAAAACTGAAATGGAAAACACCTTAAAAAATATTAATGATATCTTATATACAGTATTATAATTAATTCATTTTAAAATATCTGCTGATCTTATATAAGCAGCCTTTTTATGTAATGCTGTCGTCTATAAACGTAATGATGTTATTGATATACACTTTAATATATTCAAGTGCTAAGTCAGGACAACCAGTGATATATATAAAAATATATAAATTAAAAAAAATAATTATATCACTTTCATTTGCTATATAATATTAAATACTTGGTTTCACTCGCTTTTAATGTTATAATTTTAAGGATATAAAGAGTAAAAATTAAAGATCATATTTAATGTTATAGCTATTTATAAATTTTTTTAAACATAATAAAGATAACTCATTTTAAAGAAAAAATTTAATAATTAAATATAAAGATTAAATGTGTGTGTCTGTGAATATATATATATTTAATTGTTTTATATTTTGAAATTAATAATTTAAATTAAATAAAAGTGCAATGAATGCAAAAAAGTTACTACAGTTTCAACAGGAAAAACGACAAAAAGAAAGTCAACACAAAACTAATGGAAAACAAAACAATAAAAATCCAAATAATTCTTATGTGAAATATTTTTGGCGGATCTTCGGTGACAACAATAGAAATGACGACAACTATCTGTTAAGTGACTCCCAAACTGTCATCAATACAATACATTATGAGAAGTACGTCAACGTCCGACAGACAACTGTCCTCAAAGTGTAGTATAACTTCATCATCACTATAATCATCATTTTTACCAATATTTATATCATATGACATCAACATACTTGTATAGTACTGTAATTAACTGAAATAATAATTTATATTATATTTAATGGATGTGTAATGTTTGGTTAATATCTAATAATATATATCTAAATAATTATTTATAAAATATAACATTAATTCGGCATTAAAATAAAATCAGAAAAAACAATTGTTAAAATGTAAAATAAATTTTTTAATTAAAAATAATTATTATAATTCTATTTGTAATATTAATATAAATAAATTTATAAATATTTCTAACATCTTATTTAAATAAATAAAAAGCTTTAATGTTTCAAAAATTGATATTTTTCAATAAATAAATTAAATTGTATTATTTTTAGTCATATCAGTTATAAAAGTAATTATTACAAAATTATTTAATATTTTATTATATTATTTTACGTTAAAATTAATAAATTGTAGAAGGATTAATTAAATATTTGTTGAAATATTAATTAGAATTTTTAATCAATGCTAAAATGACATTGAATTTTATTTAATTAATAATCAAATAGCATACTAAATATACATTTGATATTGAGGCCCAACTGTCAGCTTAAAATTAAATTTATATTTATAATTATTAACAGAATTTCAAATTAATAGCTATATAAATTCTTATATTTATAATTTATTATGAAATATAAATTTAATATAAATATATAACAAGTTTTAAAGATTATATACATTAGTTGCTTAAATTTACTAAATTTATAAGATCTCAATAAAAAATTACATGTTTTGTTAGTTAATTTAGTAATAATAAAAGTAGAGGACTTAAACTTAAATCAAAAATAGAGAAGTTTACATAAAATAAATTTCCATAAAAATTATATAATAAGCAATTGTTTTTAATTGATAAACATTTATTGAGTATTAAATTTCATATGAGTGACACATTATTAAAGTCAATAATATTTATTTTTTAAATGTAACATTTATTAAAATTATTTTAAAAGGCTTTTATATAACTAAATAATTGATTGTTTATAATATAAACTGTATTTTATACATTATTTATTTAATTCATTTCTAATTTATTTAAATAACAATATATAAAACAAACAACAAATAAAAACATAAAAATTGTATTTTACTTGCAGTGCAAAACAATTTATTAATAAAAACAGATAGAAGACAATATAATTTTATAAATTGTATTATAAGCCCAATACTATACATATCACGAGTTTTATACATTAGTAAGTTATATGCAATAAAATATTTTTAAAAACATTATTTATAAAATAATATTTTTATAAAAATAACATTCAATTTGTCATAAGATATACATTATTGCGTATTAAAACATAAAAATTGCAAATTATATTGAATATATTAAGAGATATCTTTAAATATTGTATAATTATTATAAATTTCTTTAATATATATAATGGTATACATCTATTAAATGTTTTTATTAATATATTATATAATTATAAATTAAAATACAATTTAAAATATTTAAATAAGGCAAAACAATTTTTATTTATTTTATAATTTGTTTGAGTATTCTCTATTCAAGAGTATAAACTTGATATTACATTAATATTTTTAATATCATGTAAATTACATCATAAGTATATTCATACATCTAATTTCTATTTATAATAATAATCTTCAATTTAATTAAAGTTATATAATAACAGTATTAATAAAAAATAGTTTAAATAAGATTTTCTTAAAAATTACCTTGAACAAATTTATTAATATAAAATGTGTTCACTTTGTCCGTGAACTTCTCAATTATTTGAAGAGGTTTACGTCAATTGAGTTTAAATTAAAAATTAAAATACATTACTTTATGTCAAAATGTTATTTTTAGAAACAAAATTTAATTAATTAATTTTTTCTGTTGCATAATTTTTTTGGTTATATTTTTTCTAATGATAACATTTTAAGATAAATAATTATATAATATAAAAAATACAATTTTAAATTTTTATTCACATATCAAATAGTTATAAATAATATCTTTTAATCAAATTATTTTTAAACTTTAAATAAAGTATTGTAAAGACCTAATCTTAATATAATACTTAAAATTCAAACAATAGATTGTATATTAAAATCAATTGTAATTACCGGTAGTATATAAAAGTTTCTAATAATAATTATTATATTAATAGTTAAATAAATTAAATAAAGAATTTATTATAAATCTTTAAAAAGAAGTAAATTTTAATTACTATTATTTTACTTTTAATAGAAACAAAAACAAAATAAATTATTATATTGAAAGATCATACATGATAAAAAATATTATTATTATTATTTAATTAATTAATTAATTAAGTTAAAATTAATATAAACTTTATTCAATTATTTTCAGTTGTCTGAGTACATATTATACAAATAATTATATAAAAAAAGTTTTATCTATTGTGTAAATAATTTTTTGATTTTGTAGTTAATGTGAGATATTATTATATTAAGTTAACGAAAGAGGTCGCGACTATTGCAGTGACAAAAAAGTTGTATTAATACTATAACTACTGTATATTATGTGTATAATTAATACATTTAATTAAATCGATGACTGGACACTAAATTTATAGGACCAATAGTATAGGTAGTCATCAATTGGTCTATTTGAGTATAAACTGTATATTTCATTTAAAAAAATAATTTTGTTTAATCTTAAATCTATTATTAATCTTTTTCAAAATTATTTTTAATAAATCTTAATTTAGTTAGATTTAAGATAATTTCATAACATTATTATTTATTATACGTATACATAGTTCATAGTTTTAAATATTATACTGTATGCTAATTAAAAATCAAGATAATTGTTATTTTTAAAAATTTATTTGAAAAAATACAAGTCTATTGATTCATTAATATTTAAATTATTTTATATGTTATATTTCACACTTTCACAAAAAATAAATAAATATAGGCTATATTATTTACTTTATTGTTTTAGAAAATTTTAACATTTTGTAAAATTAGAAAGAACAAGGTTATTTTATCAAATTTTGACCTTTTATTATAACAAATAATTGCGTATTTAATAATTTTATAAATTATATATACAGTATACTGTATATATAACAAAATAAATAACAGTAATAAAAATGTTTTTGTAAATTTATTTTTAGAAACAATATATGCAAATTGCAATGCATTTTTAAAAGTTATATAACAAATTTAATTAAGCTATCAAAAATATTTACATTAAAAATATTATTAACATTATATAAAAATATTGTTTTATATTAGTTTCAGGAAAAGACTAAAAATATTTTAACATAAAATAATAAATCATTGTTTGTTTAAAAATTTCAAAGTCAATGTCGTTTCCTATATCTAGTAATTAACATATTTTGACTCATATAATATATAAGATATTATAAAACATCTCAAAAATATGTTTTCAAACGATTAGTTTAATAATAATAACAATATATAAAATTATAATAAAGCAATTTTATAAATAAATTTAAATTAAAAACTTAAATACAGTTAATATATTGCCATTAACTGAACTGTTAAGAAACTAATTATACGTTTGAATGGATTTTTAGTATTAAAATCTCTTTTGTAATACAATAACAAAATATTTAATACAATAGGATATAAAAAATTGTTATTTTTAATTTATTTATTCAATAAAGAGTTCTCATAAATCAAATACAAGATTTTTATTATTTTCATTTTGTATTGTATTTTTCATACATATGTTGTCTGCTATATAAAGAGATAATCCTATTTGTGAGACCAAGGGTTATAACAATAGATATTTTATAATTTGTAAAACGTTTAATAAATCAATTTAAAGACAAATATTTACTATCAGTTTATAACACAAAATTAGATAGACTTAAAAATTATAAATATTTTAAAGAATAAATATAATATTTTATATTATTGTATTAATAGTTGAAACATTTGAATTAACAAAAATACCGATACCTTGGTTATACCATTAAGTTTTTTGTACACAAAGTTTAAGACTCATGACTTTAATGTTATATTAAGTAAAAAAAGGGCGAAAATATTTTTCTCTCTTGAAGTCTAATGTAATTCAATGTCTGCTACTAAAAGACATTGCAATTTAATTGTTTAGTTCACATATTTAGCAATCGATTCAATGTCTAACAACAATCAGTGTCTGACTATAATAACAATAATCACATTATATATTATATAAATTTTATTAATAGCAATGTTTCCTTTCAATTAATTTTTTTAAAATTAATTTTAATTTAATTTAAAAAAATACTTTTATTAATAATTAATAGTAATTAATAAAATGTCAATAAAAACAATTATTTGGCAATTATTTACATATAGTGTTACACTGTGTTTGACACAAAAATTGTCGACGGATTGCAACAGTCGTGTTCAGCAACGGGTGGACACAAATTTAGGTCGTATTATGACAATTGGCAGCTATAGGAAAATGCCKGAAAATATCGGACAAATGAGAAGATATTGTCAGTAAGTCTTTGTTTATTTATTTTATTAAATATGTTTTATAAAAATAGTTATAGAAATAATTAATAATTATATATAAAAGTTTTTATAAATAATTAAGTAAAAAATTTAAAATAAATTATTGTGCATTATATATTAAAAATTATTTTTAAAATTTTTAACTAAAAATGTTTTAAAATTATATAAGTTATAATATAAAAATTATAATATATTAATAAAACTTATTATAAGACTATTAGTCTATAATATAGACTCTATATAATAATTATATACAGTATTTTTCTATTGATCTAAATATTTTAGATCAATTAAATAACTTGCAAAACTGTTTAATTAATTTAGCCTTGATTAAACTATAATATTACGACCACAATAACAAAAATTATAATAAAACCACAAATTACACAAAATATATAATTAATTATTACATTGGATTTCATAATATAATATTAAGTTAATGATAATAATAATAATAATAATAATAATAATTTTTAGAGAAAACATGGATATGTTGAATGTCATCAAGAATTATACCGACAAATGTTTGGATCATTTGCCTAAACAGGTGTCTCAAGTGTTCATCTATACGGAGGAGAAGATAGTGTTGGACACCGTATGTCGTAAGGACTCTAAGCAAAGGCGAGATATATTCAGAGCGAGTCCCTGTGCTAATGCCGGGGCCAATGAGTTCGTCAAATGTCATCAAAATCTCATCGACGCTATGGTTGCACTCAAATCAGTCAAAGACGATAGACTTAAAATACCATTTGTTTGCTGGTATGATATGACACACACTTTAATACAGTATTATCTCTTTCATATAAAAAACCGGTAATAAAAAAGTTAAAAAAAATAATTATATTATACATTATAGTCATTATTGTGATAGTAAATTAATTGTAATTTTATAAGACTAGTCTACAATAATTATATTAAAATCTTTTTTTTAATTAAAACACTGTTACTTGGCTCAACATAAGGACGCACCCATTATAGCACAAGTAATTTTGATAATATATAATATTGAATACACACCTTTCAATATTATAAAATGTCTATACATCTCAATATATTAGTGTAATTTCAATAATATAATAAATAACACCATTTTTTTAAATAGAAATTTAAGTAAATAATTTAATTATGAAATAAATAAATACTTAATTATAGTGAAAGTTGGAAAGTAAGGGCTTGTATGGTTCAGTCGGGCAAACGTATTGATCAATGCGATAATAAAAAGATTGATATTATATTGAAATACATGGACTCATTGAATGACAAWGTATTGGATTTGCTATGCGGTGGTTATGAAGAGGGCACCGATAGGTGTCTCAAATTAGGCGAAGCACCCAAACTATCACTCACTCAAAGACGGACTAAAAGTTTCCTCTTTCCTGTCATTGAAATGATGAAAGACTTTCCCAGAATTCAAGGATAATTAATTAAAACATTTAATTAAATTATATTATTATTACTTTTTATTACAATTTTGTGATTGCATTATGTATTTTATTAAATAATAAACAATAATAACAATTAATAAATAAACAAATATCAAAATACATAAAAATATTATATTTATATAAATTATTTAATTAATATATTGTTATTAATGATAAATTATTTTTGCACAATGTTATTATATTTCAATATTGTATGTAAAATTGTATCTGTATTTTCATATATGATAAACTATTGCATAATATATTGTATTTATCAACTCATAGATTTGCATTTTAATAAAATTATTAGAATATAATTGATGTTTTATTAACTATTAACTTACGATAATACAAATTATATATTAAATTTACCTATTTTTTACTTCCTATTTACAAAATGTTTGTTTTGTGATTATAATAAAAATATAAAATAATTATACTTATTAAAATCATTTAAATCAATATATAAATATACATTAAAACTATTTATTATATTTTTACCGAGAAACATGGATTTCAATTCCTTAATTATATTTTACATAATGATTCCCTTAAATATAAAATTTATTTTTTATTGTCAAAACTTACGATTATTTTCTATAATATTTATTGTATATAAAAACCAGTTAAGAATGCTAGAAAGCATTATTAGAAAAAAACTTGAATATCATAAATATGTTGAAACCAAATAGTTGGTATAATTATATAGTATTAATTTATATAGTAACAAAAATAAAAAACTGGTAAAATATACATAATTTAAATAATGTTATGTAGGTTATCAAATGACTCGGTATGACAAAATAAACTCAACCATAGTCATGTAGGGTATCAAATGACTCGGAATGACAAAATAAACTCAACCATAGTCATGTAGGGTATCAAATGACTCGGAATGACAAAATAAACTCAACTATAGTTATGTATGGTATCAAATGATTCGGTATGACAAAATAAACAACCATAGTCATGTAGGGTATCAAATGACTCGGAATGACAAACAAAACTCAACTATAGTCATGTAGGGTATAAAATGACTCGGTATGACAAAATAAACTCAACCATAGTCATGTAGGGTATCAAATGACTCGGTATGACAAAATAAACAACCATAGTCATGTAGGGTATCAAATGACTCGGTATGACAAAACAAACTCAACCATAGTCATGTAGGGTATCAAATTACTCTGTATGACAAAATAAACTCAACTCTAGTCATGTAGAGTATCAGATGATTAATATAATGAAATAAACAAATATAATCATGTTTGGTATTAAATGATTTAGTATAACAAAATAAACAGTTAAAATCATACTTTTGCTGCCATTTTTTGAAAAAATAATATAATTTTGATCTATTATATCTTATTTTTAATACTATATACAATTCTAAGCGCTAAAATTTACCTTAATTTTTTATACGTCACCATTTTTTTAAAAAAAATAATTTTAATTTATTATATCTTATTTTTGATGCTCTATACAATTCTAAACGTTAAAATTTTTACCTAAATTTTTTTACTTTGGCCGCCATTTTTAAAAAAATAAAAATAATTTTAATTTATTATATCTTATTTTTGATGCTCTATACAATTCTAAACGTTAAAATTTTTACCTAAATTTTTTTTTATTTTGGCCGCCATTTTCTCTATGTTCCTGAAGAGATATCAAAATTTTAATGCATATTTTTATGCTTGCTTTTGATGCTCTATTCAAATTTATACTTAAAATATTTTTTCTTAAAATTTTCTTTACTTTGGCCGCCATTTTCTATATGATCCCGAAGAGATATCAAAATTTTAATGCAACTTTTCAATACATTATTAGTAGTCCTCTAACCGAATCTGAAGTCAGAATTTCAAAATTCGCAAAAAAATTGCTACACACACACACAAAAAAGGCTCGTATAGATTTCAGAAAACAAAACTTTTCAAGTTTTTTTTGAATATCTGACTGTTAGTTGTATGCCCTAAATGCCAGTGCAAAGTGAAAGTGATCTGACCCTCTGGTCTCATATTCAAAATACTTTATTATATTTAATAAAGTAAAAAACAACATTTTGTTAAACATTTTGAATATTTACTGTTTTATGATAAGTACTTTAAGGTCAAAAATTGGGTGAACATGTATTGGACAGGTAGCAAATAGCATGACTAATTTTTTTTCTAACTATCCGGATATTATAATATTCATACATTTACAATCATTAAATAAAATTTAATTTAATAATACTACTACTACTACTATGACCCATCTTTTGTATAATTTGTTTTTTATTAACATATTTTTTATTTTATACAGTATTACATTCTTAATTAAAATCAATGCCGGAATAAAATAATTTAAAATAAAATTTCTAGATTAATTTAAAAGTTATTTAGCAACCCTAGATAGGTTACATAAACCTTAAAACAAATTTACTTGTTTTATATTTATTTATTTTACTTGTTTAATGCATTTTGAACTTATAATATATTAAATTAAAGTAAAAGTAATGATTGACTTTTCAATGAACATGAAAACTGTTTTTTGTTGTATATAAATTATAAAAATTATTATGATTTTTTAATTGTTAATTAATAATAATATTAATTTATTTGTACTTGATTTCTAATAGTGATTTAAATAATATTTTTATATTTATTAACTATAAAAACTTCAATTATTTAATCAGTTTTAAGTTTTTTTGTGTTAAACAGTAAACTTTGTGGATCAACAATGAGTTGCAGTTTTGATAATAGCATTATTGTAATTATTTGTGTGATAATTGTTAGTATAAATATTATATACAGTCAAAAGCCATTGTCATGTACAAAAAGTTCCCTGGACAAATTAGATAACATATTTGCCAAACTTGTTATCATTGGCGATAGTGACAGAAAATTTCCAAAAAAAATCGAAGATTTGCCAATGTTTTGCAAGTTTGTATATATACTTATTATTTATTTTTATTAAATTCATATGTATTTAAAAATTATTTAATTATTTAGTAATTTATTACTTCAGTATAAGATTTTATAAAAATTAATTTTTTTACAATAAGTTTTATACATTTATAAATAAATTAGTGCATCACTTGAAATGATTAAAATTGTTGATCAATACAACCAACGGTGTAACAAACAGCTCAATAAACAGGTGATGTCATTGTCGGTACACACGGCTCGGACACAAATGGCAAATGTCTGTAAATCGGGTAAAAAACAGGATCAGCTTATGGCTGCCTTTCCTTGTGCCACAAAAAGTAATAAATCTGTTAACAAGTGTATGACGAGACTTATTGACGCTATGATTGGCGCACAAAATCTTCAAAACGACAAATTAAAAATATATAGTTTTTGCTGGTAATTGATATTTTAATGAAAATATTTAATAATTGTTTTTTAATAAAAACTAATTATTGAAAAAATAGTGATTATTATCGCTTTAAGTCATGCGCCTCCCGGAGCTATGACCAGACAAAAGGTTGTTCACAACGACATAAGGAGGCCTTACTATCTTTGATTGATTCTTCAACATCACAGGTGTTGAACCTGTTATGTGGTGACTATGAAGAAGACTCCGATAAGTGTCGGACAATGAAAACACCGAAACGTCTAAAATCACAGAAAAGAACTAAAAGTTTTTTCTTACCCTTAACTCAATTATTGGATAGTTTTCAAAATTAAAGTTTTTAACAAATTTATACTATTTTTGATATATTACTACAAAAATTATTATATTAGAGCTTATTGTTTCACAAAATTTTTTACAGTATTTACTAAAATTTTGTTTATATTTTTTATATAATATTTTTAACAGATAAAGATGAAAATATATTTATTTTATATAATATACAGTATTATAAATGATTAAATATATAACTAAAGTATAAATATTTTCAATATATTACATTATACATTTATAATTTTAATAAAATAGTTAAAATTAGGTTTATTTAATCAATATTATCTAACTTTATTATAAATTATGTCGAGTGTTTTGTTTTGCTTTTAAATTATTTTTCAAGTATTATGTTTTATTTATCGATTTTATTATAAAAAAGAGATTTAATAGTAGTTTAATTAGTGTAATAAAAAAAGTGTTATATATTTTTTAATAATAAATTTTAAAATATCTCTTTTAGTACAAGTGTCACATACATTAATAATATATTTTCCAAATTTTGATTAAATACTAATTATTTACCATAATATTTAATTTATTATTATTATAAGTTAATTCTATATATTTAAAAATAATATATTTTTAAAATATATATTTATAATATATACTTAATTATGTAATTTGTTGATTCTGTACATTATTTGTAAATTAAAATTATAAAATGAAAAACAAATAAGTAATACTATATTAATAAAGTTATTTTTTTAAATTTGTAAAATATTACAACTTTTAGAACATTATTAAAATTTTTCAACTTATCTTAATCATCACAATTGGGATAAATAAGATATTGTAATTAAGTTCATATGTACTGTACTATAGTTCACTTTTAAATTATTAAATATTTAGTATTAACAGTATAACAGTAGTATAAATATTGTATAATTATAAAATTTTAGTATTACAATTAACTAAAACAAATACTGTATATAAAAAACTAAATATTAATGTGCAATATAATGTGTATAACCTTGTTATTATATAAATATAATAAAATTGTAATGTAACGATTCCAAGATAGTGTTAAGTAAAAAAATAAGCAATGTAATCTAATATCCTCTATAATAATTCAAGATAAATTAATTAACTCTATAAATAAAATTAGATAAATTTCATCTATAATAGCACTTGTAATCAACCATATAAATAGTTGTGAAAACTAATATATTTTTAAATAATTATTTTGTCAACTTTAATAAATAATGATTTATTTATTATACATATTAATCGTATCTCAGGCCTGTACCTTGTGTTGGTCGGCCTCATGTGAACTAAAATGGGTGAAAACAGATCACCACAATCTACCCGATCACTCAGTACTAGTTATCGATAAGAACCCGGCCGGCGATTTTTATGTGGCCCGATCTTCGGTCAACGGTGTACTAACTCCGGGTAGGTTTAACCTAAAAGAGGAAACCTTTTTCTATACAATGGATGGCAAAGAGTATGGGATAAAAGAGAACTTTGAAGTGCTAACTAATCCCAACAATTGTCATCTCTCATGGCGTCGAGCTTATGGAGGAACGTTACCTAGAGGTTCGATTGAAGTCGGAAATGACAAACAAGGAGTATGTGTTATACAATATTTTTATTACATTTACTAAAATGTTAGATTTTTTTTTATAAAATACATTATTAAATATTTATTATAAATATATTAATACAGGGAAAGGCGTATAGCGCCCGTTACCATGAACAGTTTGGTTGGATGGTCGGCAAATTTTATAAGAGCACTAACCTTATGTACTATGGTTGGGGTGGCGGCGAAAATAGTAAGCCATCGTATGAGATACTAGTGTTGGAAGACATACCATTTGATGATACAATTAGACCAAAATGTAACAATGCTAGAACATTTGACCATGATAACTTTGTTTGTGTGTGCTCTGAGTCACAGCCATGCGATAAAATAGAGGCGACGGACAAAACACCCGCAAATGTTGTCAACCGATGGACGACAAGCTTTTACGGCCATCGACTGACCAAAGATTCTTTAAGATTGGATGATAAGAGCAAACCGGTGCCCATTGAAACTGGTGATCAATCACAGGTCTACATCAAAGTCAACAGAGATGTCAAGTTTCAGGAGATCATTGGATTTGGCGGTGCTTTTACTGATGCCACCGGTATTAATATTAAAGCTGCCGGTCCTAAACTGGCCGACAATATTATTGCCGACTACTTTAGCATAGATGGCATTGAGTACAACATGGGTCGCATACCAATGGGTGGATCCGATTTTTCAACCCGTGGCTATACCTATGATGATAATGGATATATGCCTGTTGTTGAAGATAAAACACTTTCCAAGTTTGCTCTACAACCGGAAGATCTCGATTATAAGGTAATAAAGTTTATTAGTTAGTATTAGTTAACATAATTAATTAATTAATGAAACAAACTCTACATATTAATAACAATCATATATAGATACCATACATTCAAAAAGCACAATCACTGGCCACACACCCACTGAAAGTTTTTGGTAGTCCATGGAGTGCTCCGGGATGGATGAAAGAATCATATTATAAAACAGAACCTGTAGTAGGGGGTCATATTAAAGGTCCGGTGGGTGGAGAATATTGGCAAATATATGCTACATATTTTGTTAAGTATGCCTTAAAAAATATTYATGTTTAACTTTATGTAACACTAAATTACTTGTAATGCTATTGAATATAAAAGATATTTAGAAGCTTATAAACAACATAATATAACCCATTGGGGTGTAACCGTCCAAAATGAACCGTTAGCTGGTGTGCCGTGGAATTCAATGGGCTATAATGCTGAGTCTGAAAGAGATTTTGTGGCCACAACACTGGGTCCGATTCTCGAGAGGAGTGGTTGGGGTCCCGACCGACTCAAAGTCATGATGTTAGACCATAATGTTGGTCTTGTCAAGGAATGGGTTGATAAACACTATTCCAATCCCACAGCCGCTAAATATACGGCCGGTACAGCCATTCATTGGTACGGTCACGACCCGAAAACTATGTTGGATGCACCACACGCTCAGCATCCGGACAAATGGATTTTGGCTACAGAAGCGTGTGTTGAAGGTGGGGTCAAATTGGGCGCCTGGGACTCGTTTGATTTATATGCTGATGATATCATTCAAGTAAAATTACTATTCAATTATATTACAGTATATTTCATTATTTTACAGATTCTTTAATTTTTGCTAAACTCTAGGATCTGTTACATTGGGTTACGGGTTGGGTTGACTGGAATATGGCATTAGACTTGAAAGGAGGGCCCAACTGGAAGAATAACTTTGTGGACGCACCCATACTGGTTGACGCCGGCAAAAAAGAGTATTACCGACAGCCCATGTACTATGCTTTGGGACACTTTAGTAAGTTTTTACCGCCCGGTTCTGTGCGCGTAGAAACACAAGTGGTTAACAATAATAACAATCACTTGGCATACGCTGTATTCCGTACACCCGATTCCGCAACAGTTATCGTGACCTACAATAGAGAGGGCATTGATGTTGATTTGGTGGTCGAAGATCCCAAATCTTCGGGCAAATTGATTCAAAAGGTGGCGCCGCTGTCACTGCAAACTTGGGTTTATTACGATTAAATAAAAACAAGTCAATCATTATATTTATTTAAAACAATATTTAAATAATTATATTTTTTATAAAATAAAGTTATGATTTGTATATTATAATATAACTTAAGTAAAATATTTTTTTATTGATTAATGTTATTGAAAATTATTATTTAAGTCATATTTCTGATGAACAATAATTTTAATAAAACACTTCAATAATCTATTAAATAATAAGTTATGTACAATAGATAAACTTAGGACTCGAAAACTATATTTAAAAAAAATATATTATAAAAATTATAACAAATTGTTATTTTATTATTACTAAAACCATATTTCATAATAATTTATTTTAAATATTACATCTTTAATATTATAACAGTTATCTGGTTGTTGACTCTTATTGTTGAACAATATTTTGTTGTAAATTAATATTTATTAATATAAATGAAACTTTTACTTCCGACACTCAATTTATTGAGCAAAAACTTGTTATTAAATAAATTATAATTTATGTAACAATTATTAAGATTTTCATTTCATTGAACTCTTTTATATACTGTAAACTCTCCCTCGAGAGTCACTAATCTAATGTTTTTATGAATTGATTTTATTTTTGCTTAAATAGTCTTGAAATTCAAGTTTAGTTTTTAAAATATTTTAAACAAACAGTTTTCAACATTAAAAATAGTTCAAGTTTATAAAAAAATTTTGTAGTTATTTTTTGTTGAAAATATTTTATGTGATAGCATTCATACTCAATATGCATTTATATAGCATTAGTATAATTAATTTTTTAATAATCTTTCAATTGTCAATATTAGGGTTCACTCAAAATGTCACAAATTCAACAACAAATACAACAACAACAACATGTAATAAGCGTACAAATAGACAACTGGACGGTATATTTGCCAGAATGTATACGTTTGGAAATTCCGGCAGAAACTTTCCATTAAATTCTATAGAAGCTCAAGTTTATTGCAAGTATGTTTTTTCACATTTTTATTATTATTATTAAATTTTACTATATTTTTATTATTTAGTGAAACACTGGATCTAATCAAAAATAGTGATCAATACACTAAAACATGTCTTAAGGAATATCCAAAAAGTTTACTATCGGTTCTTATAAAGACTGTAAAGACACAAACGCGACAACTTTGCAACAGTAAGACTGGTAAACGACTACAAGAGTTGTTTCATTCGGCCGATTGTATTAATAGTGCAAAAGATGAGATCCAAAAATGTATCAATGAATCGGTGGATATATTGATGGCCGTAAAGTCAATGGATGACAACCAAAAGTTACCTATTCTTTGCTGGTAAGGGTTGTACTAAACTATATTTTTTTACTTTAATTAATTAAATTATTTGCAAAACAATTATATTATTGTATTTTATTTAGTGGTAATCATAGGTTACAGAAGTGCTTTCACGATCAGAGTCTTAAAATAAATAATTGTAATGAAGAGAAAATAGAAACAAGTCTTAGATTTTTGGACTCAATTCAGGGAAATATGATAAGCATATTATGCACCAAATATGATGATTCAAACGACACATGCGATCGACTCAGTTATCCTCGACGTCCAGTCAACGACACCACTAAGCGTTATAAGTCTGTTGTAATGCCTATCATACGAGTGTTGGACAGTATCCGCGATCCTAGACTTAGAAGTTTATGAAAATATTTTATTTGAATTTATAATAATTTAATGTTTTTAATTTAACATGATCATTTATATTTATTCTATTTATCTTGATACTTGTTCAAGTAATTTTTATTGATGTCATAAAAATTAATTTATCAGTAAATAAAAAATATTCTAATAAATTTATTTTTAAATAATAATAATTATTATTATATAATACTTGTATTTAATTACACTGACATTTTTATTTTAATAAAATTTTAATTTATTTATTATATCAGCTAATATAAATTTATATTTTATTTTTAATTTTAAAAAATATTTTCTCTTACATTAATGAACAATTTTATTTTACAATTACAAGTACCAAATTTTAATTTAATAGTTTAATTTAATTTAACTTTTAATTTACTTTATAAGAAGTGTCTATCTATGATATGATAGTATTAGTTGTAATTCATGGACTCATCTCTTGATATATCGGTTGCTATTCGTTGTCATTCAAGTCACAGATCGGGACTTACATTCAAATGACACTCAACTTTATATTCATACCATTTATTGTTAATTATTTTATATCATTAAAGGATTTGATTGTACTAACAGTGATGAGTACTCTATTGGTACATATATTTGTTTTATACATAATGTTTATTTAAAATAAATCAATTCAATAATTGTAACTATAATATTTGTAATTTTTATCATTAATAAACTTATATATAAGTCATAAGATATACAGTACTGTACTGTATATTTCATAAAAACATAAAAGTATAGAAAATCAAATTAAAAATATCACTAAAAGGAAAATTTTTTAAAAATTGAATTATATTTTAAATTACTATATAATTAATGTATAATTAAGTATAAAAGAATTGGTTTATAAAAATTAACCTTCAATACATTATTTTTATTATTAATAAAATTTATTATTATTGAAAAAATATTCATAAAATAATGTTAAGCCTTCAACAGAGTAAACGTCAAACGCTTCTGTTTATTAAAGTTTGTAAACAATTTTCAATAAAAACAATTGTAATAAATCAATAAATTTGACAATTATTTATAAAAAAATACTAAATTTTGTTATTGAAATAATTATTGCAGAAATGGAAAAAATTATATATTGAAAAGTTTATTTATATAATTCAATTGATACAAGTTATATAACACTTTATAAATAAATTACTGAATATTACAGTATATTCACAACATATATATTATTTTATTGCAGTGAATATACAATATACTGTACCAGTCACTGTAACTGTACTATACATACAATAATTGTATATAATATATATGTTGTGAGTATACTGTAATATTTATTTATTAATTATTATAAAACTATTAGTTATTGTTAAGTTTTGTTAAGATTTCCTAAATTATGCTTAAAATGTATAATTAAGTAAAACTTATTTATCACTTAATATTATTTGTTTTTTGTATAACTTTAAACCCAGTATTATAATTAACTACAGTACAATAGTTTATATAATATTTTTTTAAAATTTGTTTATATATTTAATATTTAATTGTTTATAAAATTTTTAGATAAAATTTAATTTTATTATTTTGATAATTRTTAATGTTTTTTATCAATAAAATAATTTCATTTAAAAATGTGTGWTAAAARTACTTAGTAATTAATATACAATTTAAAGTRATAGTAATTATAATAAAGATTTATTATATTAATTTATAATAACAATTGCTGKCATGGAGTTGGATAAGTTAAATACAAGCATTGAACCGAAAAATAGTGATACCATTGATGAAAGTGCACAGCGATTGAAAAACTTTGATAATAGCGATTCAATTAATGTAAATAATAATTCAATGGACGARCGATCGACTATAAAGATAAGCGAAAGTTCAATGCAGTCAACGATACGAAAGTTACGACCGTTTCCGTTGAAAATCAATAAATTCAACAATAAATACATGAAATACTCGATTCACTCCTTAATATTTTTGGCATTTATTTTAGTGTTAATAGTTATACTGTTTTCCATTAACACAATATATGTAACGATATACACGACTAACGCACCGACATTTGAAGTATGGCCTCACAATTCAGGTGACGACCGATTTATTCACAATCGGGCCAGAGATGAGATCAACTATCGTAAAAATATTAATAGTTTGAATGTCTTTTTAAAACCATATAAAGAAAGTGCAAACACTTGTAATGGCGATCAAAATAATTATTACTGTTTTATGCAAAATGAAACCCAAAACTCCCGGTGCGTTGAAGAAAAAGATTTCGGCTTAAGATTTGGTACTCCATGTGTGGCCATCAATCTAAGTCCATTGAAACAATGGCTCAAATACAATATTAGTTCAGTAGACAGTGTCGTACTGACCCAATGCGATGGTCAGTCCATCGCAGATAAAGAAAACATGGGTTCCATCACATACTTTCCAAAAAACGGAATTCCTGTTAAATATTTTAATAATAATAACCAAAATACAAGTTTAGGTCCATTTGTTTTAATACATTTGCCATTTACATCAAATGGTATATTGATATTTGTACAATGTCAATTTATATTAAAAACAAATAAGCATGATACAATTTTTGAACATACTGCTACATTCGAATTAATTAATRATAATTAAATTTCTATTTAATTTAATTAATGATAATTTTTTTGTTTAATATAATAAATCATTAATTTTGGTACAGTATTATTAGATGTTATTATAAATGTTTTTAATATAACTTACTGGTAATCAAAATCTTTTTGATATTTAAAATAAATTTATTTTTTTACTAAATATAGTGTAATTTTACTGTATTATGTATTACTAAATGAATGATCAATTTCATAGAAACTCAAATAGTTTTCAGGTGGTAGTGGCCTATCATGACAAGGCTGAGTGTCATTAATAGGGRTACAGTTATTGTATTGTATATTCCATGTCATGCGATGACCACTATTATCGAGAGGACAGTCATCAAACTCTATATATATTGACTCTTCAAAGTACTTGTCTTCAGAAGTAAAGCAATGGTAATATTGATGACAATTATAAGGATTAGCAAAATAGCCGACTCTTCCGTCACATGATATATAGCGCTTGTAGTCAACGACACACTCGCCCTTAAATTCATCAAATATCTCATTATATTTACATTCAAATACTTGAATCTCATAATCACAACTCCAGTACATATGGGAACTCTTAGTGTCTGTAAAATTGCCGAAATCACTGCATGTAAATACCGGTGGTTTAGTGGTCGGCTCTGTAGATGGATCGGTATGTGTTGTCGTCGATGTTGGTGTAGTAGTTGTTACGGGTGGAGTTGGCTTTAGATCACAGCAACCATTTGAATTACAATACTTTAAACAAATAAAGCATAAATATAGCAAATATCAATATATATATCAATGACCATGATCACATACATAAAATGGTCCACAATCTGCACCCACCATTCGAAACCTACGATTGTCTTCAATGGTCGCACATTTATAGGCCGGATCTGTTCAATATAAATATTATCAATAATTTATTTATAGTATTATTTAATTAATCAAATAGATAATACCATCAACTTCTTTATAACAATTGACAAAACATGGATTATTTACATAGTCATCAGTAAAACACTAAAAATCAAAATATTAAAAAATAAATATTAACAATATATACTTAGAAAAATACAAGATATATTTAAATCATATGATATTTTGATGTTATTATTTAAATAAATTGTGTGTTTGAAAGTTAATTATGAAAAACCTTTTGCAACGGTTCAATATCCAAGTGTTGATCAAAGCAAACTTGTTTTCTCAAAGTTTCCGTAATAAACATATTTTTGTTTCCCACTTTATAATGGGTCSGACAGTGATCAGTGATATTAAATGTCGACTCCGGGTATACATGTATATGATCATAGTCTATGGACACTTCGGCAAATATGACAACAATTTTTATGATCACATATATTAAATAAATTTTGTGATAACTCATTTTGCTGATTATTATTATATTTGYCAATGATGCAAATTAAATAATATATTTGTTATTTTTTTGTGCCAATTCTATTAACATTTATAAACAAAAATACTTTAATTATATAATTTACACTTTATTTTTATGAATAAAACAAATATTTTAATAATATTTTAATCTATTTATATAAATTAATACTTTAATCCAGTTAATATTAAGATTAGAAAATTATCTATAAAAATATGAATAAATATAATTAGTAGAAATCAACGACTTTAAAAAAATAATCATAAGTAATGATTATAGCTTTTATATAATACTAATACAATAATCACTGAATTGGATAATAACTTTCAAGTGCTATGATTTTAAGAAATTAAAGGATATTTAATATCAATCATAAAATTAAGGAAAAATTTAATATCCTTTTAATAATTAAGTTTTAGTTCATTTTATTTACAGTATATTTTAGTTATAAATTACAATAGAATATAACTTTTTAAAGTTAATATTAAAAAACATGTCAATAATATTGCATATCATATCATATTATAAACAAAAGTTACTGTATATATGAAAAACAACAATTTAGTAGAATTATAACTAAAATAATGATTTTTAGCTAATCATATGTCAGTTATATTTAATTACATCAAAATAGCCGAGTAGTTGGTGTAATGTGAGGAATGGGTAAATCATGACACGGTTCCCGTGGGTCGTGATTAGTACAGGTATCTTCATAGTCATTCCACACCATTAGGTTACCCTCAAAATCGTAAGGACAGTCAAAAAAGGCAATATTTATTGTTATATTATCATCTTGGTTTTTATAGCACTGATAAAATTTATGACAATTATAAGGATTACGGAAAAAGCCTAATTTGGTGCTGCAATAGATATACTGAGACCAGTCTATGTATATCTCAGTGGTCACTGATGTAATGGGATCTGATGTCGAACTGGTCTCYGTAGACAATGTGTATGGCGTATGACTAGTTTGTGTGACAGTTGTGGGCGAGTCATCATCTGGTATTGGTTGGTCATGACAGGGATCAGTCATGGACTCGGGTACACAAGTTTCCTCTTTTTCATCAAAAACCATTTGACCCTCACTTCCCATTCCACATATCTGAACAGCACTGGCATGTTTTGTATGATTAAACATTGATATATCAATACATTGATAAAATTGATGACAATTATATGGATTACGATAATATCGTTTATCAGATTTCTCGCATTTCAGATATTTTTCATCTATAAGACAAATGCCATAATTAGCGTTAAATATTTCTTTTGTCTTCAAACATGTATGCAATTCAACGACAAATTTGCACTTAAAATATGATCGTTTGTCCCAAATGTTCTCAAAGAGTTCACCCTCTTTAGTACAATGGATTGGTTGTGGAGATGGGGTCGGGGAGGGGGTTGGGGAAGGTTTTGGAGAGGGAGTAGATGGTGTAGAAGGAGTAGGTGTTGATGGTGTAGAAGGAGTAGGTGTTGATGGTGTAGAAGGAGTATGAGAAGGAGTAGGTGTTGATGGTGTGGAAGGAGTAGGTGTTGATGGTGTAGAAGGAGTGGTGGATGGTGTAGAAGGAGTAGGTGTTGATGGTGTGGAAGGAGTAGGTGTTGATGGTGTAGAAGGAGTAGGTGTTGATGGTGTRGAAGGAGTAGGTGTTGATGGTGTGGAAGGAGTAGGTGTTGATGGTGTGACAATATCTTGATTACAACATCCATTTATATCACAGTGCTATCAATATTTTTAAAAATCTTTATATTAATATAACTGAATTTATAAGTTAACTATAAAAGTAACAAAATGTTATAATACATATGTTTCTCCACATTTGGCTCCAATTATCCGAAACCTATTACTAATGGGAGCAGTCATACATTTGAAGGAGTCTTTTTCAAAGACAGGTATAAATTTTAGTTTAATCTAATTTTTTAATTAATTAAATGCAATGTAAATATCATACCGTCTTTAGCCTTAGGATAGCAATCGAGAAAACAAGGATTTGTGAGACTTTTGTCAGTAAAACACTAATAAATAATAATATATTAGATATAATTAAAGTATAATATTATTTTTAAAAATTGTCAAATATTAATAATAATAAAATACTTCGACATTATCGGTGACATTAGAAACATTTGGATCTTCCAAACAGGTATATCTTCGCCACTCTTTTGTGATATAATGATCATTATTTCCTTTTGAATAATWAGACAAACATTTGGGCGCATCAATGAACTTCTCAAATGGTTCAACATTTATATCAAATGAATCAATAATTAGCTCATTGGCCACAATTAAGTCTATGCAAAATAAAATTACTAAACATTTTATTGAAATCATTGTTTAGTTGTTTAGATTTAGATTATATTTAGAATTAAATAAATTAATTATGTTATAAATGGTATATTTCATGTTTTTATATTTCAATTAATTAAGTAACCGATTACACTTGAAAATGATATAATAGATCAAAATTCAAGTGCATCATTTGATCTTTAAATAATAAAACAATTAAATATTGATTTATAGATTTATTTAATCTTAATGCTTATACTATATAACTAATTATTTATTTTTTTTGATAAATTAATTGGTTTTTAAAATATTAGTCAATTACTATTTTTGAATGATATTTATATATTGGTATCTTTAAAAATGTATTAATTTGTCATAAAAACAATTAAAATATATTTTACTGGAAATCTTAAATTTAAAAAATAAAGAAATGAGTGGTGCGTTTGAAATAAACTTAATTGATTTAATAAGCGTTTGAATTTACAAAAATCAAAAAATACATTTACTAAAGTAATATTAATATTTTATTAATAGTAGTATAATATAATGCATTAATTTTGATGAAATAAAATACTTTAAATTATAATTAAATAAGTTATTTGAAAGTTTTACATCACTTAAATAATTGATTATTTTTATATAAAGTAAATCATTATTTCCATTCATTATAGAATAATAAGTTTGATTTCAGATAACATTATTTACGTTCATATTATTATATAATTATTTTATTAACATTTGTTGCTAATATGACAATAACTTTTTTTATAATCTCAAATACATTTTGATAATAACATAATTATTTTTTTAAAAACATTAACATCTCATTTTAATGATTTATGCAAAAACTACTTATGGGTTCACTTGAATTTTGCTCTTTATTTGAAATTATCAATTTTTAAGCACAAAAATTATTATTTTTTATTTAGCAAATATACTGTATGWTATAAGCAAAATTATTTATGTATAAAAAGAAACTTAGTTAGCAATTATTTTTTTTGTAGGATTTTTTGCAAAAAAATATTTAACATAAATATTGAGATTAATTGATAAATTTTCATTAAATTTGAATTGCATTTTTTTAATATAATATATTAAATTAATATGTTTTAATATTTAGATATTAAATTTGAAAGTACTGTCTATTAGAAATATTTTATTAATTGATAACTTTGTTCAATAATTTCACTTAAATGAAAATACTTAACAAACATTAATAAACATAACAAAATTATTGTTGATTAGTTTTGAATGTAAATAATATTCAATTTACCTTGTAGAATAGTATAGATATTAATATTTTAATAAATATTWAAAAATAATTTTGATAATTTAATTTAATCATATTATATTTATAAGTTAATATAAAAAATTAAAAAATAAAATAAAATTTAATAATTATATAACACATAATAACACAATATTAGTAAAAACTTTTATTAATTTGTACTTTATAAATTAATCAATTTTATTTAATTATATTAACATTTTTATGACTATCACATTAGATAATGCAAGTTTAATAAAATTTTTAAATAAAAATTAATTACAACTTTTATTATTTATTATAAATATATAATAAAAATTTTTAATTAAATATTAGTATCCAAAGTATCCAAAATATAATTAAAATACAGTATTAATATTTATGAAAAATGTGATTTTACAAAAATACCCCATAAATACAGAGATTTAGAGCTATATCAACAAAATTATTATTGAAAAATAACCAGAAATGTCCTAAAAATATTTATAAACACAACCCTATGTCAAACAACTTTTACTGTAATTACTATTACTAATAACAATAATAGTATTAAATTACACTCATCTATACTACAGTACAATACTGTAAGTACTGAATTTATGCACTAAAAGTTGTACCAAAGTTACCTTGATAATGTCCTAAAATGTTTTATACAAAATAATGTATATAAAAGGTGGGACACAATTTATTCAAAGTTTAGTTAGTAATTATAACTATATTTTTGGTTAATATTAAATTAATTTTCATTTCAATTAATATATTAATTTATTTTAATTGTTTTAACTGTATTTATAAAAATGAGTTATTTTTGGGAAACAAATCCTTATCTAACAGTTTGTATTGTTTTCATTACATGCATCGCTATGTAAGTTATAAATTATAAAAAATAAGTTATGATTTTTCTAACTATAAATATTTATGTATAAAATACTTAGGGTTCGGGCAAATTCCTTACCTCTATTTATATTCTAAAAGTTTTATATTTTCTCTGCTCTCTGGGAATTCYCAGGGAATTTATTTCTTTGTGCAACCATCTAGTGAACCTTAACAACAAATTTTATTRTAAAATTTGAATAATATATGTTGTATTAAATTGAATTCTGAATGGTATTGTTAAATAATATCACTAAATTTATAAAATTCAAATTTATTTATATATTTAAATATTTTAATGAAATTTTATGCGAAAAAAAGAGTTTTGGTATTATTTATTGTAGAATATAAAATGTATTTTCCTTTCTATGAAAGGAAATCAAAATATTATCCCTATTTTTCCGAGAAATTGGAGGGTTTTTAATAGGGAACTTCCCTTACTTGGAAAGTTTCCCGAACTCTAAAAATACTTTATAATTATTTTTAAATATGTGACAATTAATTATATAAAATTATTATAAATGATATAACTATTAATTTATATAAAAATATTTATTATTTTTTGCATATTTCTGCAGTTTCTTTAGGAGACGTTTCACATACTGGCAAAGACATGGAGTGTCGGGTCCTAACCATATAGAGATCGGACATATGCTGGGCCCACACCATGACTATACTTTATACGCCTATAAAAAGTACGGCCGAGTCTACGGTTCCTACGATTTATTCCGCAAACTGCTTGTCATCAATGAACCGGATCTGTTGCGTGACATTATGGTGAAAGACTTCAACGTATTTCCCGATCATAAGCACATGAATCTCGGCTCATCCACAGTCAATATCTCACTATTCTTTCTTCCCGGTAATGACCAGTGGAAGCGCGTTCGGTCCATACTTTCGCCGGCTTTTACTTCGGGCAAACTTAAGGCTATGATGTCACACATTTCGGACATCTCCGACAAGTTTGTCCAAAGTTTGAATAGTCACACAAAGACAGGTAATTATTTGTTTTTCAATAGTTAATAATTAATGAATAAAAATGAAATTTTGCTTATATTTTGATAAAAAAATACTAAAACTAGTAATTTTAATTAAAAATAAGCAAAACTTATTWTAAATTCTAAATTATAAAAATATTTGTTAAATCATTCAAAATTATTATATAATTTCATTAAAAAATAATTGTCACCTACAGGTGCCGCATTTAATATACGYGAACTGATCGGTGCATTTGCAATGGATGTGATATGTGGCTGTGCTTATGGCATAAACCTGGACTCAATCAAAAATCCTGAACATCCCGTTGTGGTTAACGCCAAGAAAGTATTAAACACTGACGTGAATTTACGTCAAGTGATCGGCCTATTGATGACACCGTTGGCTAAGTTATTGAAACTGGAGTTCTTTGACTTGAATGCCACCAATTTCTTTGAGGAACTAACTAATAAAATTCTTCAGGAAAGACAACACAAAAATAATTATACTGACAAAAGACGTACAGATTTTATACAATTGATGATCGATTCAGAGAAAACTGGTTCAGACATAGGATATGATTCGGGCGATGATTTAGAGACCAATAAGTCGGTCAATGAAGATAACAGTAGGATAACAACAAAGGGATCTTTAACTCCCGATGAGATTACAGGACAGGGACTGTTGTTTTTCATTGCTGGTTATGATACAACATCCGCGTCGATCACTAATGCAATCTATTATTTGTCTAAAAACAAAGATTGTCAGCAAAAACTGTACGAAGAAATTAAAACAGTGGATGAGTTTACCTACGATAAGCTGAATCACTTGAAATACTTGAATGCAGTGCTCAATGAGACTCTGCGATTGGCGCCATCATTGGTACGCATAAACCGGGAATGTGTTCAGGACTACCAATTGGGTAACACTGGTATTACTGTACCGGCCGGCACATCCATCGAGATATACCCGTACGCACTACATCGAGACCCGGAGTTTTGGCCCGAACCCGAACAGTTCAAACCGGAGCGTTTCCTCGAGCCTACACACCATCCATTTGCTTATATACCGTTTGGTGCCGGACCTCGAGTTTGTATTGGACAGCGGTTTGCGATGAATGAGATGCGGATGTGTTTAGCAAAACTGATCCATAGTTATGATTTCAGTTTGGCTTCCGGTGCTAAACGCGAGTTCTTCAAAGGAGTACCTTTAATGTCACCAAAAGAGCTTGAAGTTACTATTAAGGCCCGATAAATAGCATATTTTATTTTTATTTAATTATCTTTTAATCAATTATAGCTTTTATATGTATATACCGGTATTACTATTTTTATTTTGTTTTAACTATTATTAATAATTTTAAATTATTATTGTTCTGAGTTATTTCAAATATTATTATTATTATTATTTAAAGTATATGAATTTAAAATCGTATTTATTTTTGATGTAAATATATTAACTTCACTTTTTAAAAGTTTTTAAAATTATCATTTGTTTAACTAATTTAATTATGAAACAAGTTGTCAATAATTATAAGCTTAAAAATAATATACTTGTATACCAAAAACTTTTATTTAATATTGAATTATATTGTATTATAAATTTATAAGTTTTAAAGATGTTTATCTCATTAATTTGAAAAGAGTAATAAATTTAGACTAACTTATGTGAGTCAACCCTATAATGAATCATAAATTATTAATATCTTTATATTTATAATCACATTATTGGCAAAATTATAGCTTTTGATTTACACTAAAAGTATGTGTCATTAAATTTAATAGTAAATAGTTTATTCAAGTTTTACAAATTATCATACAATGAGTTATGATGTCTTATGAAATATAATTTTGATATTTTGTATAAATTAMAGYTAAATTTAGAAATATTTATTAAAATTTTATATATTTTACATTATTCTGAAGGATAACTACTCTTGAAATAAATTTWATTTGAAAGTTTCATTTACTTTATATTTAATAGTTTAACAAAAATGTTTAATTATTTGCTAAATCTTGTGTTCATTTTAGCGATAATCTTAAAATTTATTAATTTACAATTGGGTATGATTTAGTTTTAATAATTTTTTGTTATTAACAAAATTAAATTTTAAATACTTTATATTTAAATTGAAAAGTTTCAACAAATACATGGCATGACTTACAGCAAAGTCAGGTACCGGTGCGACGCATTAATATATCATACAGTTTGAGTCCAAATCCTATTAAATATGAAGACACTGTTGGCAAAAAAATGTGTCCACAATGTGTGGACAAACATTTGGTTCAGCATTATATGACACGAGGATGTCGTCCCATCATTAAAGGCGGCTGTGAGTGTCCATCACGTTATCAATGTCCCGAAACCAGCAATTTTGTAAACCAAACAAATGGTATTTATTTATAAAATATAATAAACTGAAATTTAATTGAATTACTGATAAATAAATGCATTAAAATATTTGACAGATTGTCGCTATAGAGGACAGACTCTGGCATTGGATTCATCCGTTGTCGACGACAACATTTGTCGTCTTTGCAAATGTGTATCCAATGGCCAATACATTCATATAGATTGCAGTCAACCCATCGCAGGATGTCTGAAGAGTGAACGTCTGAAAAATGATGACAAAAAGTGTCAGTCAATCAATTGTGATCTGAAATCTGATCCACGATTGATGGCCGGCTGTACACCAGTTTATAGTGACACCGGTTGCTGTCCTATTGATTACAAGTGCCGTATGTCAATCAATATTAAATTTATATATTATTATGAATTATTATTTTTGAATAATTTATAATTTTGTAATATTTTATAGCCAAATCTAGTGCCATCCGAGTGCGCGGTTTGGACAGCGATTCATTTATGTGTGAGTTCGAGACCCGTAAATACCCGATCGGTTCAGCGCTTTATAGTTCAAATAAATGCCACAAATGTGTGTGTCGTCTACCACCACAATTCACATGTATTCAACCAACAAATTGTTTTTAAATTGATATATTTGATAATAGTTGCTACTATTGGATGTAATAATGAACAATAAATTTATAACCAATGATATTATTAATTGTCTATCATTTTTTTGATAGTATAGTATAGTTATTACATATATCGGAAATGCATTCATTTCTTTCAAAATAAGCAATATATTATTTAAATATATTAAATTTTATCTTTATAAATTTATATTATTACTGAAATAAATATTATTAAATAAAGTTGATAATCTGTATATAAGTCTGCTTAAATTATATACAGTGGTATATTATAATTTTAAATTATATCTTATATTATATTAATTAATATATAATATTAATTAGAATTATTATATTAAATATATTAGATAGTTATGATTAAATAATAAATACCTTGGTATGTATTTTAAGTCAAGTATGAAACAATTATTACAGATGATTACTAAAATACCATAGAGTTAATTATAACATGTATGTCCCCATATCATCAATTGACTTTTAAGATCAAAAAACATGAAATGCTTGTTTTGACGTATATTATATTTTTATCATTTAATCAATTAATGTGTATAAGTGGCAGACAAAAGAAATCATTTCATAATATTATTTTTGTCTTAAATGCACCGCTTTTTAAAATTATCACTTAATAGTACAGTATTTACCATAAACTAATAGCTAACTTATATTAAGTGATCAATGAATATAAGTGCATAATATCTGGTATAATGAACAAGGCACTTTAATAAATAGAAGTTTTATAGCTATTAATTGTGATATATTTGTTATAAATTTCAATTTTTTCCAATTGTATTGTTCAGATTTATTTTTGTATTCAATAACACTGTTATGTTAATATTCAATAAGTCACTAATAATAATAAGTCAATGAATTATTGATAGCAATAAACAAAATTACATTACAATTATTTTTTATTATGTTCTATAAAAATTTGTTTTCAATAATATTATACTAATTTTTTAATTAATTTGTTTTTAAATGTTTTGGTTTTATAATTAAATATTGTGTGAAATAAAATAATAGAAATGACTTTAAACTATTTGTTATGTTTGAAATATCGGAGGAAACTAACCATAACTGAAGATACATTTACACCAGTAGTTCAACGAAATAGACATCAATTATATGCATTGTATATAACCTATACATGTGTCCTAATTGGAGCTATAATTAACATATTTGTTATTATTAGTCACATGTTATTTGCTAAATATTTTACCGACAATTTATTAGGAGTGTTATCCATAAGTGGCGGATGTCTTATAATTATTGGTATTATTATAGCTATTGTAATGCGACTCTTATTTGACCATGTGCCTATTGTTAAAAAATCATTACAAACTACTGGTTCCCTCAAAACAGTATCATCGATGATAGATACTACCATCTATTTTGTTTAAAATAATTAATTTTGTATTAAAAATTATTAATGATCTCATTTATTTTGTATTGTATATATATAAATTATTAAATATTATAAAATTTATTATTACTTAATTTTTATGTATAAATAATTTGTAAAGTTTTAATAACTTATAGCACAATGATTTATTTATATTTCTATATTTATTTTTAAAATAATTTATATTTAATATAAAAATTAGTGATAAATAATAATAAAGTTGATTAAAGTTATACAATATTATAACTAACTAATAGTGTGTCATATATTTTACATTTAATTTTAAATATTATTTATCATATAATTTAATTTATTTTTATTTAATTAAATTTAAGCGTAATTTAAATTAACAATTTACATAAATTATTATGATTAGCAAAAATCTTACATAGGCATTTTTAATTAGTATAAATAAATTTTAAATATGTTTTACAATTTTTAGGCTATATTTTATCAAATATTAAGATAAATAGTATTTTAACATTTAAATTCATACATTCATATAAAGGATATATTATAACTATCTATATTTGCTTAATAATTAAATATTATTATAAGTTATCTTCAATAAATACATATGTATAATATAAACATCTACCTGATTACATTTATCTATATTGTCTATTAAATTTCTAACTATTGTTACAAGGTCATTTTATTATAGTATTTTATTCTTAAAAATATTTTCATACTTTAAAAATGACAATTATATATAAGATTTGAATGATTTACATAATACTTAATATAATTACTTAACATTTCTTTTGTTTGGTTACTGACAAGTGTTTGCAACGTTTGCACAAAAAAATGATGATATGATTGGCTAAAGTTTATAAATTGATTTGAGTTTAGTCTAACTGATGACTTAACCATCAATTTGCACTTTCTTTTATAATACTCTATAAACTTAAATGTTTACTTAAATATAAAAGTTAAGTAATTATTAATAGATTTTTAGTATACAAAATCGTTTTTATCAATTAAAATAAATATAAAATATTTAATAATGTATGATTAATTATTTATTTATTTTAACTTTGATACATAATTTAGTGTTTTAATCATTTATATTTATAAAAATACCATATTTTAAGACATAAAATGTATATGTTATTTGCTATATTATTAATGAATACCAAATCAAAAATGAGATTTTTTTAATTTTATTATTTTATACAAAAAAAGATAGTTCTTAATAAATAATGAAACATAAATCTAAAATATTTCCGATTTAATTATATTATTGCACAATAATATTATTATAAATTTTATTTAATATACAGTAAAACTATAATTACAATATATATAGTGCAATACCATATTATTATTGCAGACAAAAAAATGTTTGAAAACAATAATGAAAACTTGTTTATCTGATAAATCCCCAAAAGTACTGAAAAGAAATAAACAAACTAATTATTTTTCGTCTATACTGTATGTATGCGTACTTTCGGTACATACAATATAGTGGTTTACTAAACAAACAAATAAGCAAGGTCATTTTGTCATTTTGTTAGACAATATTAATACTATAGGTTTATAAACATAGATCTTATAAAAAACAGATTTTATATGACTGATAATTTATAATATACTATGTTATACTTTTGAAATAAAAATTTTAATAAATATTATGAAATTTTTAATTAATTTATAAATATTGTAATACTGTTGACAACAGTCTTGTTATAATTTATATAAACTATATTTTCTAATTATTTTTTTTGAGTTGATCTTAGTGTAAAAATTATCTATTTTATTAAGTTTTCTATTTTAATATCATACTGTATTCATATTATAAACATTTTCAATATACATATTATATTACTATTTGTTTATCGATAATTTAATCAGTACTCATATATAAATTAATTTATAGTATATAATAAAAATTTGTACACTAAAAACCCCAACTGCACTAAATGTTTGCAATGAATGTACTTAAATGCTATATAAAATAAATCCCTGATATTCTGTTAGTATTTATTATTAACTATTAGGTTATAAAAAATATATACAAATTATAGCTTTTAAAAATATCAAACAATTTATTTGTAATACATTTTATTAGTACATAAATCTTTGTGCGCAAATGCATTGGAGGTAATGTTTAGCTGACTATATTTGGATCCTGTTTTCCACTCAAACTATAAATCCAAAGATTTTTTCCAAATTTCAATATATAATGTGATGTAATGTAATGTAATATATCTGCAAATACATTAAATAAATTTAATAAATATTTGATTGAAAAGTAATATTTTGTTCAACAAATAATTATTTCGAAAATGGATTTTCTAACTGTTGTTCTAATAGCTGTTTCATTAATCTTATTGTAAGCAAAATAATAATAATATAGTTTTCAATTAATAGTTTGAAAATATATTTTTTGATTAATTTTGTTATATAAATAATTTAATATTATTTTTTAATATTTATAGTTTACTGTATCGACGGTTTACCTATTGGTCGCGTCGGGGTGTAGTCGGACCAAAGTTTATAGAGATGGGCGGCTTTTTCACTAATCACCATAACTTTACAAAAACTCAATACGAAAAATATGGACCAATATATGGCTCATTTTCGTTTGATAGGAAAGCCATTTGTATCAATGATCCCGATTTGTTGCGCGACATAATGGTCAGGGATTTCCATATATTTCCCGATCACAAACACTTTCATTTCGGAAGCTCTAAGATCGATAAAAGTCTGTTTTTTATGCCGGGAAACGATGACTGGAAACGGGTTCGCAGTATACTATCGCCGACATTCACGTCAGGAAAACTAAGGGCAATGATGTCTCACATATCGGACATATCCGATAAGTTTGTCGAAAGTTTAAGTGATTACGAAAAGAAAGGTTTGTATTTTATTTTGAAGTCAAACTATTATTCAATACAAAAATAATTTTAAAATATTTGATATAACAGGTGAACCGGTAGATATGCGCAAATATATCGGCGCTTTTGCTATGGATGTGATCAGTGCCTGTGCTTATGGTATAAATGTTGAATCCGTGAAAAACCCGAATCATCCGATAGTGACAAACGCTAAGAAAATTCTTGGAGTCGACGCCAATATTCAAGCACTTGTATCAGTTCTGTTCCCACCTTTGGGTAAACTATTAAACTGTGAACCCTTTGATGTGAATGCCGTTCAATATTTCGATGATCTGACAAATCAAATATTAAAGGAAAGAAAAGCTCGTAATAAATATGGAATTAATGATAAATGTATGTATTTTTGTAATGTATGGATGAAATTATATTTTAATTAAATTGTTTTCTAATTTGTCAGTAAAACGGAGGACAGATTTTATACAATTAATGATTGATTCGGAAAAGACAAACAAAGATCTCGGATATGACTCCAACAGTGATGTCGACATCGATGAGTCCAATGAACAAACAAAACAAACAAAACCTATCGGCACACTTACACCGGATGAGTTGACAGCACAGGGAATACTATTTTTTATCGCCGGTTACGATACTACAAGTGCGGCCCTAACTCATGCTATATATTATTTGTCGCAAAACAAAGAAAGTCAACAAAAATTGTATGAAGAGATCAAAACTGTTGATGAGTTTACATATGAAAAGTTGGTTCACTTAAAGTACTTGAATGCTGTGATTAATGAAACCCTACGATTGGCCCCATCTCTCACTCGTATTCAACGTGAATGTCTACAGGACTACAAACTGGGAAACACTGGTATTATTTATATTACTTATTAATTTTATTATTAAAAATATGATATAAATTATTTAATATATTTTCAGGCATAACAATACCTGCCGGTTGTTCAGTGGAAATATTACCGTATGCCATACATCGGGACCCGAAGTTGTGGCCCGAACCCGAAAAGTTCAAACCCGAACGTTTCATAGACTCAACACACCATCCCTTTGCTTTTATCCCGTTTGGTGGCGGACCTCGTATTTGTATTGGACAACGATTTGCATTGAATGAGATGAGGATGTGTTTGGCGAAACTGATCCACAGATTTGAGTTTACATTACCTGATAATAGCAAACAAATGGAGTATTTTAAGGGAAGTATATTAATGTCACCGAAAGAGTTAGCCGTTAATCTCAAAGCCAGACAAATATCAACTCGTCTTTAATTTTTTTTTATATAATACTTTTGTCTCATATTTTAACTATAGTTTATTTAAATCTCTTTTTTCAAATATTATTAATATTATTATTTTATAATTATTATTTTTAATTTTGTAAACAATTTATATAAAAATTATATTTATTTGAATAATGATGTCATACTTTCTCACAAATTATATCTTAATTATTTACAAAAGTAATTTTTTTAATTATTAAAATTTACTTTATATTTAAAATTTATTTTATATTTTAAGGTTTAAGATTTATTTTATAATTACAATTAGTTATTTAGTAAAATCTAGATTTGTTAGTATAAGTAAAATACGTCATATTATATTAATATTTAAATTATTTATATTTATAATTATCACTGATTTTGAATATTAATTATTTAATTATTATCGATAATACTTTTTCTTATAGTAAAGGATTATTATAATTATTATTAGTTGACTAATAGAGTATAATATTTTAAAATAATAAATAATTTTTAAAACATAAATATAAAACAATTAAATTTTTTCCACTCAAACATTCAGACTCTGCATTGACTGATGTGTTGTCTATTTAATCATTAGTTATAACAATATTCCTATTATTTAATTATAAGTTATATTCTTTATATATAAATATAATAAACTTGACTTAAATTTATTCATAATTATAGTTAAGATTCAGAAATTGAGGAATTGTTTAAACATTTCTATAATTTATTAGTTGTAAACATTGAGTTATATCAATGTCAAAGTATATTAGAAAAGTTAGATTTAATTATAAATCAATTAAATAAAATTTATTATTCATTTTTTTTAATAAACTTGTTTTTGTATAACACGTATACAATCATATATCAAGTGATATACATTACTTCGATAGCTGTGTTTCTTCACAACATTTCAATCGCAAGCTTCCGATATAACAGTAACTACAGGTTCTGTACCCGTAGTAGTCGTTTAGCTTTCATAAGACTTTCGATATGTCAGTCAAACCATTGCCTTTCTGTCCAAACAACCCGTCCTTTTGGTTCAAACAACTCGAGTCAAAGTTCAATACCGCCGGTGTGGACGACGACGACATTAAATTCTGGTACGTCGTCGCACACGTCGGTCAACTCGTGCGAACACAAGTCATTGATTTGGTGTCGACACCGCCTGAGACCGACAAATACAACTCAATAAAGTCGGTAATTATTGAACGACTCGAACGTATTAGAGATAAAAAGGTATGAAATGAAGAAAAAACGGAATATTTGTTTGTCTGACATATCTATCGATATACAGAAGATTCTCATTCGTAACGAATCGATCGATACGAACGACTCGATAACACAAATGAACCGAAAAATTGACGAAATGTTTGAAACACTGAACCGAAGTATCGGACAAATTGATGAACGCATTGCACGACTCGAGACAATTGTATTGAAGTCAACCATTGGTTGTGAATCTCCTATCCTTCGACCTCAACATTCCGATCCTTCAAACTCACATCAAAGTGCTGTTCAGTGTTGGTATCACCAAACGTATGGTCCAAATGCTAACCGATGTCGACAGCCGTGCTCTCAATCGTCAGTCTTTGAAGAAAAACAGATCTGATTTAAGATTTAATTTAAAACAATAATACATTTTTTGGTTGATTACGAAATAAATATTAGTTTTTTTTATATTAAAGTCAAATGTTTTTTCTTATTTTTATTGTCTAATGACATGAATTAATACACTTAGGTATTGGTTTGGTTCGCAAATAAATATGAAAAACATGTTTTAAAATATAGTAAGAGATGAGACAAATACATATATATCTCATGTCTGTAATTAAGTTAGTAAACTGTTTATCATTACATTTGGTTTGATTTTAACAATGAAAACCAATGTATTTTTGGTTAACTTTAATGCAAAATATTAAATGCAGTCAAACTGATTGTTAATCTGTAATAATGATTAAAATAAGAATAATTATAAAACTAAATGATTTGATAATAATCTTAAACTAATTTTATATTAATATTTATTACAAACTCTCAATCAAACCACTGCCAGACAACACATTTAAAAGGTTTCCAAACATATAATATCGGTTTCGGATTATATTTGTATAGTATTTATAATTAAATATATAAAAATATAACATTTAACAGATAAAAATTATTTATTAATTAAAACGAAAAATATTTTTTTTAATAATTGACACTAAATTTTAATCATAATAAGTGATTTTTAATTATTATTTGAATTCAATAAAAAATAGCTAAAAAAGGATATGATAATAATATTAAACTAATTTCATTAACAATTTTTATCTTAACTTAAAAAAATAATTTGTTTTTGTTAAAAATAATTTGAGTACACTATACATCTAATACAATATAAATTTATACTGAATCATTTTAATTTATTTCTCAACACTAAAATATATAATTTATAAATAATTATTATAGTTTATTTTAAAACATTTGTTTAATTATTTTGCTTAGTTTTTTATATCAAATATAAAATATGAATTTATATGATAACATTGCTTGCGATCAATAAATGTCAAGTTTATATCAATTAATTTTTTTACTGACTATAACTGTATAATAATATTTATATACAATACATAAATATGAAGTTATCATATATTTTCAAAAACTTCTGTTATCTGTATATTTATATATATATTTTATGATTACCCCATGTATTAAAGCAAATTAAAAGAAATTTCATTATTATATGCAATATATAATTTATTTATTATAAAAAATACACTAAATTAATATATATATATATTATGCAGATTTATAATTATATGCATTTTTCAAAATTCTGTATTTTATAGAAAATTTTTAATTATTTATATCTTGATAGAAAATACTATATTTTTTATACTAAATATTGATTTTAATAAAGCAAAACAATAAATATGAAATCTATGAAATATAAAATTGTAATATTATTGTGTCAGGTACTATTAGGTTAATTTGATACAAACACTTAATAAAATTATCACAGATACAGATACTAAGGTATACTGTATTTATATTGTTTAATACACATATTGATTAAAGTATAGTAAATTTATGTCAACCTTACCTTTTAAAAATCAAAATCAATATATTGTAAAATTAATTTTTAAAAGCTTTTTAAGTTAATAATAAGTGATAAAGTGTAGTATAAAAACTGAATTATATATTTAAAAATTAAATAATATATTTTAGTCTTATTATAATTATAACAAGTTGTATGAAATACAGTTAAAAATATGGATTTTGCATTTATTTTATTAGTTTTAAACTTTGCAATTGTTTTTGCCTCCAATGATGACCTGATAGGCTCACTGCCGGGTTTGACTGAACCGATTAAATTTAAACAATATTCTGGTTACTTAACCGCACGCCCGGGTAGACATCATTTCTATTGGTTTGTCGAGAGCGAGACTGATCCGGCTAACGCACCAGTAGTTCTCTGGCTAACGGGAGGACCCGGTTGTAGTTCAGTGTTCGGTATGCTCACAGAGAATGGTCCGTTCCATGTGAACAGTGATGGCAAAACTGTTGCATTAAATACTCACTCCTGGAATAAAGTGGCAAATGTTATATACATGGAGTCACCGGTTAGTACTGGTTTCAGTTATGAAGACAATCAACTCATTCCTTACAACACTGATGTGTCGACAGCTGAAGACAATTATTTAGCTCTCGAAAGCTTTTTTGTAAAATATCCACATTTGAAGAAAAATCCGTTTTATATTGTGGGCGAAAGCTATGGAGGCGTTTATGTACCGATGCTTTCACTAGAAATATTTAAAAGAAACTCTACCATCAATTTTAAAGGCAATAATACTTATAATTATTGTTAAATATAAATTAATTAAATATATACATAATTTTGATATACAGGTGCAGGAGTTGGCAATTCATTACTTGACGGAAATTTATTGTCCGGTCAACACATGTATGACTTTGCATTGGGTCACGGATTGATTACAACTGACTATTACGAGAAAAAGATTGAGAACTGTTGTGAGTTTAAGTCCGGTCCACAACATCAGTGCGATTTTGATGAACACTTAAATAATACGTGAGTTTTTATTTTTGTAAATTATTTTTCAATTAAAAATATGTTATATTAATACTGTATATACTTTGCACTTTAGTAAATGCCAATCAGTACCGGTGCAATCGGTGTCGACACCAAATCCATACAATATATACGATGATTGTTTTCCTGATCTATACTATCAAACGATTTTCAATAAGTTTTATAAAGAAAGATTTGAAAGAATAGGCTTAAAGTTTCCTATTGGAGAGTCACTAAAATTGAATGGACCGGAAAAATTGAACTGTCCTCATGACGGACACTCAAAATATCTGAATATTGAAGAAGTTCGCAAAGCATTACATGTGAAGGAGGGTAGCATAAAATGGGTCGGTTGTGGAGGTGCTTATGACAGACAAAAGGGTTATACACCTCAACACGAAAATGTATTACAATTGGTTAACAAATACTCTTTGGGAAAGTTTGTTGTCTATAACGGAGACTTTGACATTATGTGTGACTTTATATCAGACTCGCGTTTTGTCGATAATCTCGAACTTAAAAAAACAGATACCTATAAGTATGTTATTTTTTGTGGTAATAAATGCAAAATTTACATTAAAATTATAATTGATTTTCTAGACAATGGACTAATGATGGCACAAAAGATGGAGATATCGGAGGTTTTGTACAGCACTACGAAAAAGGTGTTAGTTTTGTGTTAGTTCGCGGCGCCGGACATATGGTTCCTCAGGACAAACCCGAAGCCGGTCTACAAGTATTCAAATATATACTTGGATTGACTAAATTGTAAATTGTTTAATCAATATAATAACAAAATATTCAAATCATAATTTATGATTTTCAACATCTTCTGCAATTTTTGTTAAAATTAAAGTATTATAATAATTATTATTCACTTAATAATCAGTTACTGTATATTACTGTATGATTGAATGCATTACCGTATATTATACTATACTGTATATTGTATTATTTCCACTTTAAAAAATAAATTTTTATTTGTTATTTTTTAAAAATTGATTAAATTATACCTAATTTATTAAAGAAAACAAAATTATAATTGTGTGTTAAAACAACAATTGCTTAAAACTAAAGTAATTATAGTATAGTATTAACTCCAAACATCTGAACAATATCTTCGCTCTTTTTCCATAACTTTCAAGTAATCAACAGCTTCTTCATGTGTCTGACTATCAAACAGTACGATGGCATCAATTATTACATTTTTAACATCCCTGGCCAATGACTCGGCATAACCGGCAACATATACATAACCATTGTTTTTGACAATCATACGACCGATTTCATGCAAATTTTGTTTCATAATATCGGTTACATATTGTTTACAACTGTTGACATCATTGCGAGAAAATGCGGTATAAATTTTAGTCAATATATTGTCTTTAATCCAGTCATCAAACTCTTGTTCATACAAAAAGTCTTGTGATTGGTTTCGACATCCAAAATATAGAACAGCTTCTCCAATATTGTGACCACTGTTTAGCAAAAAAGCCCTTTCCTGGAGGAAACCCCGATATGGAGCGACACCACTACCCGTACCGATCATTATAATTGGTGCTTCTGTAGCGGCAGGCAATCGAAATTGTGATCGTCGTATAAAAATGGGAACCGATATATTGTCACCATTTTGCATACATTTCTTAGTCATAAAATCATTAGTGGCCACACCTTTGTTTATACGAAAGGGACTCTTGTCGACCATCATAGCAACCAAATGAATAGTTTTAGGATATAATTTAGATGAACAACATATCGTATAATATCGCGGCAAAAGACGAGGTAATAGTTCTAGTAATATATCCAGCGGTGGTCTAACAGAAGGCAAGTCTACTAAAACATCGACAATACTCCGACATTTGCTTTCAATCCATTCCCTATAAAGATATTTTCCTTCATCGGTAACTGAACTTATCTTTTTTAGATAACACTTATGTTGGTCATCATCGGTAAATCGAGACAACTCTTTTAAAATGTTAATTTTGGGGATACTTGTAATGTCGATATAATATTGAAGTGCTGTTCGGTAAGATGTGGGACATGGGAAGGGATGTCTTTTGAAACTGTCGTAACCCATGTTCTCTAAAGTGATCACTTCATCCAAATTGGTTTTTAATAATTTCCCGATTGTGTTGACAATTGTATCGTCATTTTTCTGATAGACGGCCACATAATCTCCTGCTTCGTAACTATTGCACAGATATTATAAAAATTTTCAAAATAATTCAAAGACACTAACCTTAAGTTAGATCTATCCAGTGATAACTCTATATGAAGACAACAACGATTGTCGTTTTTATAAAGCTCGCGATTGACTAAAACTTTTGCCAAAAATGGATTCTTTGAGGTAAAAGGAGGTCTCTGTGAGGACAACGAATGCAGTTGAGAGACCTCTCCCGTGAAGATCTGATAATCCGGTATATTGTTGTGTACTATGAGATGATATTGTCTGGATTTCTGACGAGAAACTAACTTTAGATTGAATTGCTTGCAAACCGATGACCACATATTAGTCTTCCATCGATTAAAATACTCATCAATATTATGCTTAGTGTCGCCCACTCCCAGCTCATGGATACGAATAGCTCCCAGTTCTTCAAGTCTCTTATCTAAGTATTTTCCCATTGTATTAAAATTATCGTACGAACTGTTGCCCAAACCAAACACACAATACCGCAGTCCCGATACCAACAGTTGCCCTCTTAAGAGCCAATTGTAAAACTCTAGTGCGTTATCAGTGGGATCTCCCTCCCAATAAGTGGACACACAAAATATAGCCAATGAATTAGAAATTTCTTTCATTTGAGCCAACTCATCCATATTACAAACATCAGGATCCGCTACCATTGCTTGTAATCCATAGTTTGTTGCTTCCAGTGATAGACGTCGGGCATAGTCTTCGGCAGTTCCCGTTTGGGAACCGTAAAAGACAATCACATTCCGGTTCTTAGAGGATGTTCAAGAGTTAGTGCAATAAAATTAATTTACTGTAATATCATCACTGAATTGGTTACCTTTTCTTTCATTTTATCGATAAATCCTGATTTGCGTTCATCTAAAGCCTGATTTGAATCAATTTTATCTCTATTTTCAGGTTTAACTGTAGAAACGTTAGGTTTATGACTAATTAAATGCTGATAAATAATATATAAAATAGTGGCAAACAATACAAAAAGTGGTACTAAATAATTGTCAAACATATTTAAATATTAATAAATGTGATCAATATATCAGTTAACTAAATATTATAAAATTATATGCCAATAAGTTTGTTATATTTATATAAATATATTACACATTTAAATAGGACACTTAATAAAATATATAAATTTATATTTTTATTTAATCTTTAATCCCTTACACTATTCAAAAGCACAGTCAGATATGAGCACAAGTGCTGCAAATGTAGTGTCCATTCAAATGCAGACATTAAACCACTATTTTTTTCAATGAGATTACTGTACAAAACATTTAACTATTCAGTATTTACATTATAATACACTCATTATTAACTAAATCTAATCAAATATTATTTTTGTAAAAAATGATAAGAAATTGTAACAGTAATACTGTACATGTTTTATAATAATTTATGAATAATTTTATACATACAATAAATAATGAAAAGCATAATAATAAAAATTATATAGTTAAAAACATAATGAATAAAAAAAATAAATATAATAAAACAATATATTTAACATAATATAATAAATTATTGATTTGATCCAAAAGGTTACGTAACCATAAAAGACTGTGTCATCATTTGTTCACCACATGTATGTGTCTTCATATGATTATCCAAATGATGTTTTCTATTATAATTAAAATCAATTTATTTTAATTTAGATTCAATTAATTAAGTTAACCAAACCTGGAGAATGACCGCTCACAGGCCGGCCAAATACAACGGTGCCGTTTAATCGATTCGTGTGTATCCATATGRCGCTTGAGATGTGACTTGTCTTTAAAGCTCATMCCGCAGCCGATGGCATCGCATGTAAATGGGCGTTCCGATGAATGTACGACACCGTGATTACGACAATCACGAGCGCTCTTAAAAGCGGCATCACATCCGGGCCACGAGCAGATATAGGGCCGCGAACCGTCGTGCACTCGTCGCTTATGTACTTTTAGATCACTGGCCGCACAAAACGCTGCCTCACATTCATCGCACCTATGATTGCGCTCCTTTCGATGTCTTTGTCCATGACTTTCAAATTGACTTTTGTAATGTGTTTCGTACGTACAATTAGGGTACTGACACTTAAATCTGGCCGGACGGTCCTTATTGCCGATACCTATGCCGTGTATATTTGCCCGATGAGAGTCCAAAATGCGTTTGAATGTAAACCCCTTATTACAATCGTTACAGAGAAACGGTCGTTGTTTGTAATGAACAGCTCGAACATGACCTTTCATATCGGTTCGGCGACCCGTCACAAACTGGCACTCATTGCACTTATAACCCACCGTACCATTGGTTGAGATCTTTCCGTCCACTGGTAAGTCCATATCGTTTGGCTTCTTTCTTAACACTTGATGGACAAAAAAACCAAGAATTGAGTCAAAGCTTTAAATTACAGAACATTTTTTATATTATACCAGATATGAGATTACTCTCTTCGTCTGCCAACACTTCCCATCGATTATCTCTCACACCATCTCTCAGTTGTTCTGCTGAAAGATATTTACGATTGTCTCTACATCTTCTTTGGCTAACATTCAAAGTCTCTCTTCTTATTTTTGGATTTAATTTTGTCAAACCTTTGGCCACTGTCTTAGACTTTGTAATTTTTGGCGTATGATTTCGAGTTTTTTTCAGAAATGATTTGTTAATAGTGTTGGATGTGATGACAGTTATCATATCCATAACATTTGTTCTCTTCTTAAATCTTGAAACATTGCTGTCGTTTGTATTAAACTTTGTGGAAGTCTTAGTCTTCAAGTTGTTTCGTGTCTTACTATTGGTAACTGTGTTTGACTTATCGCTCTCTTTATTACTACTGATGTCTGTAATGTTATCCCTATTGATAATAGTATCCATCAATAAATCAGTGTTAATGTCATTACTTAATTGGTTCCCATTATCACTATTGACATCAGTATTGTCATCGTAATCATCACTATTATCCTTATCTATGTCATCGTTGCCGTATAGTATAGCCTCTACTTGTTTGATCCCATTTATAAACTCTTGTTCATTATTGATACCAACGCTGTCATCGGCAGTAAATCTTTCTGTTTTGACGGTGTAGTGACCACTGAGATAACCGATCAAATGACGGATTTGGTTCAGCCTTTCTTCATCATAAACTTCGGTTAGTTTGATGTCCAACTGTCTGACAGACAGTTTGTCTTCCGACCCGTTGTGATGACATTGACACTCATTGACGACCCGTCGGGTAGTGTTTCGCCAATTGGTCAACAGTTCAATCAATTCAAGACAATAATTGACTTCACGTCTGACTTCGTCGGTGATCATCATCGCGAAGATCTTCACTTGAGTTACAATCAATGGATGGCAAACATCGATGTCTTCAACAGTTTTGACAATTGTTTTCAATACATAACTAATAAATCAAATCAATTGTTCAGATCATAGGTTAAACCGATTGACAAACTGTGGAAACTAACAATTGTTATGCAGTAAAGTCATAGCAATAGGAGTCACAACTATTATACATATTAAGCCAAATTGTATGTATATGTTAGGGGAAATCTATGAGTGCACATGGATTTAAACATTGGCTCTTACACTGTGTTTGTAAACACAAGTAAACATAAATTACGACAAATTATATTTTAAAAACTTTTGTTAAATTAACTGTTTGTCGGCTAAAACACCAAATAATTAGACACAAAAAACATCACAAATTTAGTACATTTATTGAAATAATTTTTACATATTTTTTCATTATTAAACATATATTTTTATTAATTTTTAATTATTTAGTTAAACAATTAAAAAATTAAATTCATTATATATTTAAAAATCGATGAAAAAGTTTAATAATATGATTATCATAAAAATCATAATAAATTCTAAAAAAATCAAAGCATTTTAAATAGTTATCAAAAAGTTATAAAATAATGTCTAATCGCTAATAATTAGCAAAATAATAATATAGTTCTAATAAATTTCCGTAAAAACATTTGTCTAATATTTGCTAAAATCGCGGGTCAATTGTTTGTAAAATATGTAGAGATATATAACGTATAGCGTAATGAATACCAAAATCGGTATATTAATGATACCATTGTTGTCCTCATAAAACATGCCATTTGGTCGCCATATGAAGTTTGATTGTCTGTCATGTATTACCCGATAGTCATTGTGACCGTCGATGAGCTCTTTGTTTGAAAAAATCTCTTCTTCTTCAATGTATTCATCAGACAATGACTGATAGATATCTAACGATATGTTATAAGAAGTCATCCATTCGTTGAACTCATATCTCACGGCATGTGATGACAACTCATTACATGAAATGCCCTGAAATCCAAACGAATCAAATGTATGTATAAATTGCCATAAAATAGAAGAAATCATCAAATATTTTATAAAAAACATTGTGTTTGTAATAAATAATAAAATTATAAATTAATAAAAAATTATTATTTTTGGATTAATTTTAATTTAAAATTTTCAAATGTAAAAAATGATAAATAATTTATTAATTTATTTTCATAAGATAACAATTTTAATAATATTTGTAAACTCATGAAATTGTTGTAAACTAAAACTTCATAATTGAAAATATATTTGTAATAAACTTTATTTAAAAACTACATGTTTTTTCCTATGGATTACTATTTCAACAATAGTATCAATTTCATGTTTTAATATTTATAATAATATGTATTGAAATTTAATAATTACTATTGAATATTCATTAGTCTAATATAATTATTAAAATTATTAATGGATACAATATATAAACATTTAGTTATACAATAATTACTATTTTTATAAGTATAATATTAACAATAAATATAATATTAACAATAATTATAATTAATTCCAATGTTAACATTGAAAATATCTATCACTCATCTAAATATTTAGCTTTAAATTATATTAAGTAAAAATATTTGACTATTTATTAAATTATGTTAAAAAAATCAAATTCTAATGTGAGTACAAATATATATTTTAAAATTAAAAATTAAAAACTTAATTTTAAAAAATTTAATTTTCAACACAATTATAAGATTATTATTTAAACATTATAAAAAATAATTAAATAACTTATGACTATTTGTGAAAATATATTATACTTTACAATAAAAGTTTTATTTTAAAATAATATCTGTATTTATTTAATTTATTGTTCCGTTAATTATATTAATAGTTTCAATACAAATAATATTTCACAAATTTTAAAGTATAAACTAACTATTTGTAATTTAATATTATTAATATTTAAAAATTGATTAAAAAATGAAACACATGGACATAATGTGAAGTTATAACTTTTAATATAATACACAGTTATTATAGAATTATTCTGAATAAAATTTATGATAAGATTAATGTTTAAACAAATAATATTATTTTTAGTGATGAAAGAGACAAATGGTAAGAAAAATGTAACATTGGATCTCTTGGACTAAAAGATTGGATTCAATAGATATGCAAAATATTGTCATTTTGGTCTATTAGATGTCGAGGAACTGTTATGCAGTGTATGTTTGATATTAGATCATTCAATGGCATAATTAATATTGTTTTAATTTATTTTGAATAATTTCTGTAGTAGTAAACAATATAATTTAAAGTGAGAAATAAAGTACATTTTGAAAAGTGTTAATATATTTTAAAACGAATGATTTTATTAAAATAATTATTATACAAAATAATTACTGAAATAGGTTTTGATAGGAATTGCAGAATAAATAATTTAAAATCTAACTATTAATATCTTTAAAAATTTATAAAATATATCGTCTTAAATATAAATAAATAGAAAAAAATAATGTTTTAAACACAAATTAAAATCATAAATAAAAAGATTATCATCGAAGAGCTTAATTAGCCAACGGGTTGGTTATTAACAGTAGTACCGGCGGGTAGGAAACCGATGATTTGTCCGGCATTATTATATAAAGCTGTGCGCCCGTCGGCCAGTTGTTGTGTGGCCGCAACATTATTGTTGGCGACTCCAGGTATTAAACCACCACCAATACCACCCACCGGCACGGGCACAGGTATGGGCAACGGGAGCTTTAAACCACAGAGACATCTATTAGTACGCATTGAAGAAATTGTCAGATTATCATTACTCGGCGCCAACTTTATAATTGGCCACTGAGTTGAATCAATTTTAATATGACTATTACTTTTATAGTCAATTGCTAATTGATTTGAATTGATAACTAAGTAATATAAAATAATTGTTATTAATATTAATATTAAGTTTTATTAAAAATTAAAATTACCTAAAATTGATAAAATAACAAATATAGTCATAACTTTATTGAGAATCATTATTTTTACAAACTAATATGTAATAAATATAAAACAATATTAAATTTATTATTTTTTATTTGTGTGACTATTTTAAAGATTATTATTTTTTGAACACAATTTATACTATATTTTATCGGAAATTAGTTTTACTTTATTATAGTAAAAATATATTAAATATTACAGTACATAATTATTTGCAAATAGTGATTAAAATTAAATTATATACAGTATAAAGTTTGTTTATAATATGTAAATACAGGAAAAATAAAAGTTTTAATTTAAAAACAACATTTATTTATTATATGTCATATAAATTTAAAAGTAGAAATGATTTTTTAAATTATAATACAATATAAATTAAGTTAAGCCTTTAAATAGCTTTTATTAACAGTATATTCTATATTAACACACACACACACACACACACACACACATAATATTCTACACAAAAATATAGCTTAAAATATAAGATAACTAAATTAACATTAATTGAGTTAAAAATGCAAAATCAAGACAAATGTCACAAATATATGTAAGTATAATATATGAGATATATCTATGAAAACATAGCTTAAGAGTTTGATGTCAATGTCAGTCATACATTCACTTTTCATTGACACTAATTACTGCCTTAACATTGGAAAAAGTGGGCGGAATGTGCTATCGCTTTGTATTCACATTTTATTTTGAGGGAAAGGGATCCTAAGGTTCTGTAAGAGAAAGAAAGAGCGAGAGAGAGAGAGAGAGAGAGAGAGAGAGAGAGAGAGAGAGAGATTGAAAGTGAGGCCAATCCTCTCACATTCACTCCGCAGGAGTTAATGGACAGGCATACTGTATTACAGACAATAGCTTAGACATTGGCTAAGTAGTGAGGATTGACTAAAATATATGAAAATTGTTTCAAATGATAATATTTAGTATGATTTAATAATCACACATAACATAACTTAAATTATTATCTCAATTTATATAATAAGCCTAACTTTTACTATTATTATATACATATATAGATGTATTCAATACTGTATATTCAATAGCATGTATATTGCTATTCTTGGCTCAACAATATATAAAAGAGCAACAACTCTCTCTCTCTCTCTCTCTCTCTCTCTCTCTCTCTCTCTCTCTCTCCTTCTCTCACTTTAAGGCCTCACTTACAGTAGTGATTGAATGCATTATCTATAGTGAAACTGCGGACCCCCTCTTGAGATAAGAAGTGCCATCACTTAGCAGTTATTCCTTATGCTGTCATAAGAGGCGCAACACTTGAGACGTGAGGCACGAGATTTAAAATATAATTAGTTTTTTCTCCTTATATTTGGCGACTCAAAAGTTTTGTGATCTTTTATTGTACAGCTATTCATCAAATTTTTTAAGAGAAAATTTTCCATTAGATATTCATTGATTATAATAATTATTATTTTATAAAATGTTATATTTATTTCTCATAACAATATGTCTATTAAAATATGGTATTGTGATCACTGAGGCCAGAGGTGGTTGCAGTGAGCACCGGCTTTGTTGTCCGGGTCGGGACTCATCGTGCGCTGCATTGCAACCAAAAGCCACGCTATCGGCTCTGACACCTCTCAACTCGATAGTCGAGGAATTGGCTGATAAGCACTGTTACTGTGACAGCGCCTGTATTACACTCGGAGATTGTTGTCTCGATTATAAACAAACTTGTGGTGGTATGTATGCTATTAATTTAAATACTAATTATAGTATAATATAAGTAACACATTTGATTATTTATGTATAATCAAAAATATTAGCTAATTATTAAACATAAAATATTTTTATCAATAAAGAGTTGTTTATATTTGATTTGATTATCAAATTAGTACATATTTTACATTACATAAAAAGTTTGAGTAAACAATAAATACATGTATATCAATAAGTCAATAACTTATATGATATGTTATTTAATTAATCATTATATTGATATAAATATAATTTGTAACATATATTTGTAAAATAATATGATTATATCAGTACAATCTATAAATAATAAAAAAACAGTTTTTATTTGTGTATAATTAATAATAAAAATAATTTTATAATTAAAGTTTATAACAGTTAATTAAAAACTCAAAATAATGATTCTGTTTATAAAATAAATAATATATTATTATATAATTTTAACTTCCGTATTAAACCAAAATTCAATACACACACAAATTAAATAAAAAATTACTAATTATTAATAATAATACCAACAAATAATTTTAATTAACTAAACATTGTTAACATAAATATTTGGCAAACAATATTACATAACACACGAGTCAATGTATTCTCTATTATATAATTATTTTAAAAATGTGTTGGCTTTATATCAAATTGTAGATATGATAACACTTAGCATACGTTTATTTACAAGCAATTTGTTTTATTAAACTATACTTAATCAACAACATTGTACTGTAAATCGTATCAAATATATCTCGTTTCATATCAATTTTCATAACAAATGTTTTGTATCAATTATAAATATTTTGTGATACATTTCTAAATTTAAATAATTTAAGTATAAATCAAAATTCGTTTAAAATTGAATAAAATTATCATTTGACTAAAATTTAATTAATATTTATATATTTATCAATATTCAGTAATTGACTGTCAGGTCACCGATTGGACCGATTGGTCGGAATGCGATTCCGACTGTGGATTAGGTACTCAACTAAGGAGTCGTACGATAATACGTGAGCCACAAAACGGGGGCAAAGAGTGTCCCGAAGTTCATCAGAAGCGGGCCTGTACGGGACAAAAGTGCCAGTTTATGGCCAATGATAAAGTTTATAGAGGTATAGACAAACTTATATTCATTATTATCACTTCATTAAATACTTTTATAGTATTATATAGATAATAATAATTATTTAAAGTATTTATTCTAAAGCAAAACACTAGTTTTTATTATTAAATTAATTATTTTCACAAAAAAAGAAAAAAAAATTAGCCAACAATATAGCTAATGATTTAAAGTCAAAACACAGACATTGCGTCGCCTGAAGAATAAATATCTTTTTGAATTACATTTTAGCTAAAGTCTAAAAAAGTGCTAAAAATAAACACATTTTTGTCATACAATTAAATTTTTGCAAAATTCTTTGATCTCTATCTTTACCGCAAAAATTGCATTACATTATAATTGAGAAAATACATCTATAAATATTTATGTATTTAAAAAATTAAATTTTCACTTTAAATACAGTATTGACTTTAAATTTCAGTAAATAATCTGATAAATAATTTTTTTTTAAATAATTGTTAGTGTATTATACTTTAACTTAGAGTCAAACAATAGTTTTATTTAAGAGAAAGTAAACGACACAATCATTAAACTAAAGTATGATATACTGTACAGACATTTAATAGATAAGAAGCATAACTGTCATATCATTTGAAAAAAATAAGATTAAAAGAAATGCCATTTCTCTCAATAGACACACAATATTTGCATAACTGTTCAAATGTTAACTTTTAATTTAACCGTTAAATTATTATTAAGCTAATCATATGTGAACTAAATTTCATAGTATTTATAAATGCTATTTTGAGCCAGTTAAAATTGTTAAGTAAGAAGTTTGTTAACATTTAATATTTACTATTAATATAAATGAACTAGGACAAAATTATAAAAACAATGATTTATTAGATGCAACTATTATTTTTAAAATTATAAAACTATAAAAGATATATTTATTACAGAAATTTGTTTTATAAATAAATTATTTGCTGACAAATTGGATTGAATTCAATATTTTTAAATTTTGTTTGCACTAAATAACATATAATAATTTAAAATGTGTTAAAAAACAATTAATTTAATTATAGAAACCGCACTTATATTACAATCGAGTTTTTCTGAGACCCGTTTGGTGGACGACTCGATTGACATCAGAAGTAATCTAAGATTAAGATATCCTAAAGACCCGCAAAAAGAGAATAGTCACGAGTATTATATTATTATTATTATTATTTTGCTATTAGTGTTCAATAATTTTTAAAAATGAAAATATATAATATAAGAAACTAAAATTATAAATAATTATAGAGAGAGAGAGAGAGAGAGAGAGAGAGAGAGAGAGAGAATCTTAAACAGCGGTGGCTATTAATTACAATTATCTGGTCAACAAATGATAAGGATCTAAAAGTGACCAATGTCAAAGTTATAGATAATTTTAAACGGAATAAGATTGTACTTGGTCAATTTTTAATCAATTGCATTATTGGCCAGATAATTGACAGTCGGCTGTTAACAAATTAAATAAAATAATAGTTGACTGCAATTATCTGGCCAATCATACTATTAATTTAAAAATGATCAAGTACAATCTTATTCAGTTTAAAATTATCTATAACTTTGACATTGGTCACTTTTAAATTTAACTTATTGTTAATAATTTTAATTAATAGCATTACCGCTATTATCGTTGTTTAAAATTCTCTTGTATTTGCTATATATATATACACTTAATAATAATTAAAGTTGTGTTACGATTATAGATAAACAAAAAACAAACAAAAAATGAATTGAAATCAATTGAAATATATTAAAATATTTATTTTTTATATCTAATTACATGAGTATAGGTATTGTGTAGTGTTTGAGATTGTCAAGTCTCGCAAGTCATGTGACACATTGGGCATTGAGTTGAGCCGTAAATTGGAGCAGGGTAATAAGGTATGTGTCCAATGCCAGGACGCAGCAATGCGCAAACATTTGGGCTACCGATGCCACGGACACGGCGTCGATGGCAAAGTTACCCGATGGACAACACTGGCCGGCAGTTCGTGTCACGGACGGTGGATCCGTAGGGAACAGTACACACACTGTCCTTGTCATGCAAGTGGTCACCCGGACTTCATATTTGTTTGATCACTACATCATTGCATTATCACATTTTGATTATTTAATTATTGAATATTTATCTTTAGGAGAAATTTATGTTTATTACTAAATATAATTTGAAAATTTATCACTAATTTAGAGTAAATAATTCAATTGTTTGATTAATGTTAAACAAAATATAATTAGTATAATACTCAATACACACGCATTTTTACTCAACTGTATATGATTTTAATAATTTAATAAATTAATAATAAATAAATAAATGCTTTATAAAAAAAATAATTTTTTTCTAAAATTACTCAATAAAATACATATTCAACATTAAAGTTTAAATTATAATAAATATTTTTTATTATTATATTAGTTTAAAATAACAAAAATATTACTTTAAATTCTAAATAAATTGAGGATATCATATCAATTTCATTTATTTATTAAATACATTAAATTTAATATTTAATTTATTATTAGTTGTGAATATTTATTTTTTATAATAGAATATATAATACTGTACTTATATTAGGACAAAATAATTATTTTCTTCATTATTTATAACAGTTTACTAAATATCAATAAAACAGTAAAATTTATATAATAAATAACACAATATTATTAATATTTTCAAATTTTTAGCACATATTGACTCCACAATTGATTGCATTCATATTTATATCCAATACCAAAGTCACTGCCAATAAAATAGCGTTTTGTGAATTCAAAGTAAGGATTAATCAACACATTGTCTCCAACCGTATAATAACTTTGCCATTGAATGCCGTCTTGAGGACCGGGATTTCTATTAATTGAATACAATTTTTATTATATATGTTAACAAATAGTATTACAGATAAATATTTTAATTCTACCCAAATCTAGCAAAATGTGCCAAAACTTCCATTATTTTCAAAGAGGTTCGCTTTTCATTAAGTTTTTGTGGATCATTAACACCGTTTGGTAAGTGATGTCTGTATGGCTCTCCAAACATAAGACTTAAATCAAGACCATAATCTGATCCGTGCCACGATTGACTTTCATACTTAACCGACCACTTGTATTGATAAACATGAGTTGAGTTTATGGTGCCTATCGACGCCAATTGTTTAGCAAATAACAGCGCCGGACAGGTAGTAATATAATCACCCAATGCTCTGCCTATGCCTTGTCTTATGAGAGAAAAATCATTTTCAGGTATATGACTGATATAAAGACGGTATATATCATCAGCCGAGACATATAAATGAGGGAAAAATCGACGAAAAATATTTTTCAATTCGAGTTTGGCTTCACTTTTGGTTAGATTCTGTGGACTAACTATTGAATACTTTTTGGTGTCTACTGTTGTACTCAATATATTAGAGCCCTCATCATCTGAGTTGACAATATTATAGATTAATTAATTAAATAAATTGATTACAATTATTATTATATATCATACCTGTTGTACCAATTAATAGATTAACATTTCTTTTAAAATCACCGGAATTTAACATTTCTGACGGACTTTTGGGCAAAAACTGGTCGCCATATATAAGAAAAGGCTTAACAATATTGACGTCTAATTTATATCTTTTATCAAAAGTCGATTCAATGAGTTTCTGGGCATTAGTTTCATGCAAACAGTCAACCGATCCGTTTATTACAAAAGACTGATCGCAGCCAAAGTCTATTGTAATGTTGGCCCACATTTCGCGGGCCACGTCTTTGTGCATAAATACGTCCGATACGGGACCACCCGATATCATGACTGCACTGTTAAATAAGTTTCGGGTTATCGGTGACAGTATATGCAATGCTACTGATATACTGCCAGAGCCTTCACCTTAAGTTACAAATAAATGTTAACTAATATTATGTTTTAAAAATAATAATATGAATAACAATAATACCAATAATAGTGATCCGTTCGGGATCTCCACCGAAGTAATAGATGTTTTCATTGATCCATTTGAGTGCCAACGCCTGATCCCATAGTCCGACATTTCCCGGCGCTTCATCGGTACCCGAGTATAAAAAGCCAAACCAACCCAATCGGTAGTTAAAAGAGACTACAATGACATCCATTTTAGCAGCCAATACATCGCCAGTTGTTTGCTCCGAGTTGGCCGAACCCGCATAAAACCCGCCGCCGTGTATCCAAACGAGCACCGGCTTCAAGGGATCAGTTGTGGTGATATTGGTTGGTGGTGTCCACACATTCAAATACAGACAGTCTTCACTGAAATTTGTATTATTAATGCCTGACTTGAAAACAGTTGCCATCAATGCCGGTGACTGTTGGCACGGGTTAGCCCATTGGGTGGCGTTTACCGGTTGGTTATACTCCCTGATGGGCACCGGCTTCTTGAATCTTAGTTCACCAATCGGTGGTTTGGCGTACGGTATACCTAAATATATGCCAATAGTTTTGCCATCAATTTGTTTCGTTAATCCGTTAAATAATTTGGGTTTTACTTTAATTTGTACAACACTTTCATCATTCAAAACGATTACAATTAATGTTAACAAAATTAATGTAAAACTATTAATAATAATATTAGCCATTAAACTGTATATTCAACTGTATATTCAAATTAATTATAAAAAAAAATAATAAGAAATTTTTAAACATTTAAATACTTGACAGTAGTATTGAATGTAAAGATATTTTTGTATTATTTTTAAGCAATAGAAAAGTTTGGGAATTTTTAAACAAGTTTTTATACAAAATAATTAATTTATAATAACTAATTTTATAAATTAATATTTAATAAAATTAAATAGTTATCGATTGCAACTTTTTTTTCTAATAATTTTTTTTGGTTATTTGAAATTTGAAATTAATATAATTTAGTTAATAAAATAATGTCAATTTAAATTAATATTATTAATAATAATCTGTTAGCTTTACTGATTGTAGACTGTATTATGTAATTGAAGTATTTATTTATTTATTTATGAATTTTAATAATAATATTTACATTAATATTAATTTAATATTAGCTGTAAATTATTGACGAGTGAGCTCTGGCGCCGATTTTTAAAAGTTTAACTTTTAAGTTAAATTTTTAACACTAAATAACAATAATTAAAATTATTTTATTTTTACTATTTTAGTAAATAAATATATTCTACAATAAAAATTAATTTAATTTAAACATAAATTCAACAGATTTTAAAAAAAATCTTTGTATATTATTTTCAATAAATTATTTTGTGAAAATTAATTTGTCAAATATAAGATTAAATTAGTTATGTTATACAATATATGTTATTTAATTGATTTTCATAAAGTAAATGTTATACTCAAAAGATAAGACTATTTAATTTATTTCATCTTAAGTTAAATAATATTCTGATTATGTTTTACTATATATTAATCTATACTTTTATACTATAATTTATGGCTATCATGTAAATACATTTTATAAATTTATTTTATTAAATTATTGATTATAACAAATTGAAAATTTATAACAAAACAATATAAAATATAACAAATCAAATTTAATTAATCAAATAAAAATCTAATATTTATTATTTGTATTATTGATACTACTACTAAATTTAATATAAAATATTTTAAAATTTTGTAAAATAATTATTTTATAAAAAACATTTAATATCTATAAAATTGTCAATGTATTTAAAGGTGTGTTTTTATCAATTTCCTTGATGTCAATCTTTTTTATACTAAAAATAAAGTTATAATACAAATATGTATAAAGTAATAATAGTAAAAAATTAATGTAAATAATATTAATCATATTTCACAAATAATTTAGTTGCAATGCAATTGCTATGAAATAAATCATTATTGTTTAAAAACATACAATAACTAAATAGTGCAATAGTATATTAACTAAATTTATACACATGTAAATAATTTATAAATACTATATATTTAGATATAGTATTTAAAGTAAGTTTCAAAAACATTAATTATAAATTAAATAATTAATTTTATAATTATCTGAAATGATATCTATAAATGAGTACATTTATAAGTATCTATAATTAAAGTGCAATAAATTCAACAATTTATGATAGTTAATTTGATATGAGTTTAATTAATTAAAATGTCAATATTTAAAGCTGGATATTGTTTATATTTAATATCATGTTTTGTTAATATTCCTGAATCTCTTCCCGATTGTCCAACAAATTTTTGTAATTGTTATAAAGCATATAAAGGTGAGCTTATATTTAAAAATTAAATAAGTTGTGTAATTTAATTAAATTATTTTTAAAATTTATGTTTTAAAATAATATATGACATACTTGTAGGTGGTTATGGACAACCAATTGATATTAGTTTAATATGTGATGCAACAAAAATTGATAGCACATCAGTGGACAAATTGAGCAAGCTTAAAAATTATAATATTAATACATTTATCATACAAAAAGCAATTAATAATCCATTGTCTGACAATTTACTCAATGGTTTTCATATATTGAATATTGTGTTTGAAGATTGTTTGTTTGAAAATATTAAACTATTTGATGGCATCGATAGTAATGCAATAAAACATTTAACATTTTTAAACAGCAAATTTCCCATAAACTCTAAATCTAAAACTTACATATTTCCTGTAAATAAATTTAGCAAATTTATTAATGTACAAAATTTATATTTTGATGGTGGTACAATTACTAATTTGCTTGATGATTTTAATAAATTTCCTGGTGACAGTGCCATAACTATAACATTTAACAATAATGACTTAAATGATATATCGCAAAAAGCGTTACAAAATTTTAAAAGTTTAAAACAAATAATAATTACAAATAATAAATTGAAATCATTAAAATTTTTGTTGTCAATGGATGTATCAAATCTATGGCATCTGGATGTTAGAAAAAATCAAATTATCGACTTATCCTATCAATTGGCCACACATTTAACAAATTTGAAAGTTTTGAAAATTGGCGAAAATAACATTCATCTCATTGAATATCGAACTATTGATATTCTAATGAATAAATTACAAGAGTTTTCATTTGATAAAATTCCCGGTATTTATAAAAATTTCARTATATTATTATTTTAATTTATCTGTAAATAAATAATTATTATTTGTTGTAAACATAGAGCCAAATGATAAGCAAACGGTAGCAAAGAGTGACTATTTTTATCCTACAAATGACATGCTTTGGGTCAAAGATATTACAGAACTTACGGATAAATTTACAAAATTTCCTTATTTTATATACGAAGCTATGACTCAAATAAATTGTAAGACTATTACAAACGATCATCAAAAGTGTGCAGATATTAAACGCGAAGATTATCAATCATCAGGTAATGTCATTATTAATATTAGTTTTTTACATAAACTAATATTCAATATTTATCAATAATAATATTTAGATGAGCTTATAGTGTCTGACGACTACTTTTCTTATCGCAATCATCGGGTTGTCCTACTATCAGGTGCCACCAGCTCTATAGAAACCTGTGAGGGTTATATGGAACAGGTAGGACATAGTGGTGCAAATATCTATATGCTTACCATAGATATGTCCGATTGGACATTTATGTGCAAAGATGATCAGGAGTCACAAACACGGTTAGGCATATTATTGGAAAAAATCAATTTATGTTTAGCCTATGCTTCACAATTCAACCAATTTGTTATACTTAATCTGTGGCGATCCTCAGAGATACCTGTCCAATTGTACGATAAAGATAGCCATGAATTTAAAATATATATGGATAAAAATTTACCGCAAATTATTAATAAATTAAAAAATGTTAGACAACTGGCCGGTTATAACTTAATAGAGAAGCCCGAATTAGTTGTTCGTAAAAATGATGACATTGATCCATGTATTAATACTGATACAATTGTTGGTGCAGATGGACAAATTGATATACAAAAAGTACATTATTTTATCGCAATGCAAACTAAATTGATACATGAGCTAAATCATAGAAAATTAGTTACTGTGAGCACCGGGATATCAATGGAAAGTTCGTCCGAATTTTATCATTTTGAAGACAAGTGTTTACTTGTGGACGGGTGTATCACTAATGAATGTTATCTTGATTTCTATAGTGTAATAAATGATGAAAATGATAATTTAGTTAATTCAAAAACTATATTTAGTAATCCACAAAAACCAGTTATAATGTTTGTATTGAATAAAATCAATTCAGTTATCAATTTTTATAATCAATTTGCCGATAAAGAGTTTAGTGGTATTATTGCGGCATTTATTTTAGATAATAAACAAATTAGTAAAGGTATTGAAAATGCTAAACAAAAACATAAAACTGAAATCATTGGACCTAATTCTTAATAATACATTAATAATGATATTTATTATGTATTTATAATTCAATAATAAATTATTTACATTTATCTTTATTTTCATATTGTATTTTCAGTTTTCTATTATCTAATGATATGTTTGTACATAAAATAAATGTCAAAGATTTTGCACTAAATTTATCGGAAATTGTAACCAAATTTTTTTTTATTAAAATAAAAAATCACAACAAACTTTGTAAATACATTGAATTTCATAATAAATTTTGTAAAAATATATATTTCATGCTTTACTATACATTAATGCCATTCAATTCATTGAAACTTCATTTTTTACTATTTGACAATTCATTGATTACAACTAAATTAATTTGCCCATTGTTTATGACAATTATATTAGCACTTTTTGTGCTTAATATTACAATTTCTAATATTAATGTTGAAATCAATAATACTTATAAATCGTTGGAAAAAATTATTTAATCGTAATGATACGTTTGATATTAGCAATAAAATTGAGGTAAAATCTAAAAAATATAATTTTTAGATTTTAAAATAGATATTAATACTTAAAAAATAGTTATTACTTTCAATAGAAAGAGTGTCCAATAGATAAAAAACAAATGGTTTTTCTTGTGGCAAACAATTTATTAACAAAAGTTTAGCCTTTAAAATAATGTAATTTTTTGTCATTAAATAATAATTTTTTTCCACACACTTTAAAATTATTTTCTAATATTTTTTAGATTTATTAAATATTTATACGATTTTTTCTATTGTCACACAAATTGACCGCAAATTTCAAATAAACTTCAAATTACCAGCATTTTTAAATTCATTAAATAATTTTCTATTACCGTATAGAAAAATTGATAATAAATTCGTAAAATTTATTATATATATATTTTTATCTAATAGATATTAATGATGTTATTTGAGTATAAAAGATGTTTACGGTTTATAAAACTTATTATCAAAAGTTTTGAGTCAAATGTTCATCAACTCTAATGCCATAATGAATGCACTGTTGGCTATCATTGCTGTCAATGTAAGCCCAAGACATCATTGGTGTTGTGAAACCAATACCAGGCTTTTGATTGGGTGCCACAGCTATAGCGCCGCCGTAGCCGTCAACTCGTTTGGCCATCATTTGCAGTGACTTATCGACTGCATCCTGAAGTGATACTGAGCTAATTAACTCATACATTATATGACGTGACAGACAAGTCCTCATAATAGCCTCTCCGTGACCTAAAAATTACAAATACAATAACATTTGTAAATAATTTATTTACGGTAATTATAACTGACTGACCAGTTGTCGAAACTGCGCCACAAGAGTTGTCCGCATAACCACCGGCACCAATAATAGGACTGTCACCGACTCTGCCAACACGTTTGCCAGTTATTCCTCCAGTAGAAGTAGCGACCGCACAATTGCCATATTGATCGATAGCCACCGAACCCACGGTGTCGTGTTCTTTAGGTGATTCACTCTCTATCACTTGGTTTTCTGGTTTATCGTCGTCTATAGTTCGCGCAAAAGTCTTGTACTCTTTAAGACGTTTCTGAATTTGTGATAATTTGTTAATCAATTATCCATTAATTTCAAACACCAATCCAGTCAAATACCTGAGCAAATTCATGGATAAGAGATTCGTTGGTAACTAATTCAATGCCTACTTCTTGTGCAAACTGTTCGGCACCACTGCCTATGAATAAACAGTGATCTGATCGATCCATAACAGCTCTCGACAATGAAATAGGATGTAGTATGTGCTGAACACCAGCCACTGCACCCGATTTTAATGTCTGGCCGTCCATTATAATGGCATCGCATTCAACAGTGCCGGCATCGGTAAGAGATGAACCGTAACCTTATTAGAGATATCGTAAGTTATCTATTGAATGAAAAAATATTGCATATTTACCGCAATTCATAATCGGGTCGTTTTCCATACAACTAACAGCCCTTTCCACGGCATCCAAAGCAGTCGAACCGTTAGCCAGAGAGTCGTAACCCTCTTTAACGGCTCTCTTAACTCCAGCCAATTTGAGTGCAATCAACTGTTCATTACATTTAGCGGCTCCGCCGTGGACTACAATAATCATTTTAGTGGACAATTTGTGAATCAAGTTTATGGTCAAAAACACTAGTCTTTTGTCGGGTGCGCCGCTCTCTCAGATCTTGTCTGACTTCTTGTATTCTGTCCTCCAATTGATATTTTTTTGTCCGCAAATAGCGCAACAATCGGCGACTTCGGAGTCGATATGTCCTGAAGTAATAGCCGAAGACTGTGCCGGCAGTAAAGGACAGTATGATTATGGCTGACAACGACCTTAAAGACAGAGTATATGGCATTGACTGCGACTACGACTACGACTTCAACCAAATGTCAAACAAAAACATCTATTCATTCAACTCTTCATTTGTTTATTATTTCAAATGTTTACAGTTTTTATCAGAAATTTGTTTAAAGGGATAAAACTGAGGAAAAAATAATAATTTAAGTTTTTTTTAAAATATTTATTAACACTATTTGTTCACAAAATTATTATTGTTTTAATTATAACATAATTTTAATTGTAATCAATAGTTGACTTCATATCCAGTATTAAAACAAAACACTAATAAATAAATATCTTTCAGATCTTTACATAAGTTTCAAGTGATCTCTGATCTGTTCTTCAGTGGCGAACAGTTTGCGTGCGAACCGATCTCTTCGTCGTTTAAGATATTTAAGATGTAATGCCTTTAATTGAAAGCCACAGACGATTCCCATACCGAAGCTCAGGACTAACAGTGCTGTCAATGAACGCACAGTTAAATGCATTTCACGTTTTAATTGTAAACTAATTTTAATTCAAATCATATTTTTGTTTAACATTACATCAAAAATTGGATTTAATTGGTAATAGAGTAGAGAACCAAAATGGTTCGGTTCGGTTCGGTTTAGATCTTTATAAATAGATTAGTGTTATTCATTAGATATTGTTATTAAGTTTTTTAAAAAATATTTTTGGTTTCATTTTTAAAATTAATTTTAAAATTAACTGAAATGTTTGGTCTTTTTTTAACAATTGGATTACTATTTCATACAATTTTTTATTTATTTATTTTGTGGTTTGGTTTGGTTTTTCTAGTTCTATAGTTTTTCTATTCGGAGTCTACTCTACTGAGTGTTTACTGTTTTGAGCAGTTTAATAGCCTAATTTCGGGCCCATTTTATAGTAGAAAATCTTATTGTTTATTATAAATTTATATTAATAAAAATAAAACTAAAACACTTCATCACATTTATAGCGCTTTTTAGAAATAATTAAAAATGTTTTTTTTACTAATTATTTGTTACTTTTATTGTATTAAACATTACATATTAATAGAATATGATTTGATACATACAATACATTATTTAATATACAGTTTATTATTAATTCACAAATTAATTAAATTAAAAATGTATTTTTTTGTATAAATCTAAATAATTAATATTATATTGTTTATAATAAAAACATTTTTTAAAGCAAATAAAAAAAATATATTATATATATACTGTATAAATAAACTATTAACAAGTATTAAAAATATTGAAACTTAAAATTTATTTTATATAATTGTTATAATTGTTATAATTGTTATATTTGTTTATTACATTTATTCGACATTATATGATAAATACAATACTGTATATTAAAAACAAAAATTTTAGTACATTATAATATTTCTATTATAAATTACACAATAAGTAATAATAATATATATGATTATAATATTTACATTCATATAAATTAGTAAATTGAAATATTTGTTTTATAAATATTTTTAAGTAATAATTTATATTATATACTGTATGTGATTTAATAATTAAAATTATTATATGTAAAATATAAAATAGTATATAATAAATAATATATACTCTATTTATTTCATTATTTGATTTGTTTGATATCTTCGATAATAATATTTCATATAAAAATTGATGAATTTATATCATTTATTTGCCTCAAAATTAATAGTAGATTTTATGTATAATATAATTAAGAAAACTATATTAACGTATATTAAAGTATAAATAATTATAAATTTTTATTAATAAGGTTTTAATTGAAACAATAGTACATAAAAGCCAAAACTTGATAGTGTTTTCATTAGTGTCCAAATATTTTCTAAATAATACATACAATAACTTGTATTGTAGTCATCTATTTCCCTATAAATTGCAATTAATTTATATATAGTAAACATAATAAACTTATATTCAAATTTTTTGTTATAATTTATATATCTATTATAGCTTTTATTAATTCGTAATATATTATAATAAAAATAGAGTACATTCAACTCATATAAAGTCAATAAACTATTTTTATTTTTAAAATTATTATCTTTTTTATCTTTAAATTTAAAATACATTTTAATATTTAAAAGAAATAAAATTTATATAATTTCATCACATTTTTAAATAAATTTTACTACGAATACAACTATAAATAAATTATTAACTAATTTAATTAAATATTTGATAATTTTATGTTAAAAACATAAAAATATACTGTATATAATTATACAGTAAATACATTACAATTATATATTGTATTTATTACTTATCAAAATCATATGCCATTACAGATACAAATTAATAAATATTTTATGAATTAACTCTTTATATAAGAAAATGGAAATTTAATTTAGTAATTATGCAAATAGACCATGATAATTTAAAAATATATTCAATGTTAAAACTAGATTGAGGTCAACATTATTGATTTGTATTGATTAATAATGATTAATAATTAGAGTAAGATGTTTGCCAATGAACTTTGAAATATAAATAAATTTTTCATCTAAAATATCGTTAATATTTTGATGAAAACTAAAATAAATATTTGATCAGTAATTAATGGTATTGAATTTATATCAAAACGTTTAATCATAATAGTAAAATAAACAAAATTTATTAGGAATGTAATATTTACTGTAGTTTTAAATAAAATAAAATATATAGAAAACCAGTTAAGAATGCTAGAAAGCATTTTCAGAAAAAAACTTGAATAACATTGAAAACCATTAGTTATAGCGGCTATATAATATATAAAAATTTAAAAACTGGTCAAATATACATTATATAAATATTGTCATGTAGAGTATCAATTGACTCGATATGACAAAATAAACAACTATAGTCATGTAGGGTATCAATTGACTAGGTATAACAAAATAAATTCAACTATAGTCATGTAGGGTATCAATTGACTAGGTATAACAAAATAAATTCAACTTTTGTCATGTGGGGTATCAAATAACTCAGTTTGACAAAATAAACAACTATAGTCATGTAGGGTATCAAATGATTTAGTATAACAAAATAATCATTTATAATTATACTTTTGCCGCTTATACTTATTCTTAATGTTCCCGTAGATATCAAAATTTTAATGCATATTTTTTTATTTTTGTTTTTGATTCTTTATTCAAATCTATAATTAAAAAAAATTCTAAAATTTTTTTATACTTTTGCCGCCATTTTAAAAAAATATGCTGAAATATTATATCATATTTTTGATGCTCTTTACAATTCTACCTAATTTTTGTTACTTTGGCCGCCATTTTCTTTATGATCCCGAAGAGATATCAAAATTTTAATGCATATTTCTTATGCTTGTTTTTGATGCTTTATTCAAATCTATACTTTAAAAAAAATTCTTAAAATTTTTTTTACTTTTGCAGCCATTTTGTCCATGTTCCCGAAGGAATATCAAAATTTTAATTCAACTTTTCAATACATTATTAGTACTCCTCTAACCGAATCTGAAGTCAGAATTTCAAAATTCGCAAAAAAATTGCTACACACACACACACACAAAAGGCTCGTATAGATTTCAGAAAACAAAACTTTTCAAGTTTTTTTTGAATATTATATATGTAAATGAATTAAAAGCAGCAAATTTTAGTATAGAAATAAACTTTATTTTTGTTTTTTAAAATTTGTAATTATGATCATATTTAATGATGATAAATATTTTTATATATATACAACTGTTTATTTATTTACAATTTATTAATGAATGCTATTATTTATGCAATATTTCATTATTATATATTGTGATAAAATATTTATTATTATAAATATTAACACTTTACTAAAGATGAACTATAATAAATAGATCTTTAAAAAATTGATTTTAAAAATGAATGTTTTCATAATACTAACTTTATTAATTATTAATTATTTTTTATTAGCATTTATCTGTATAATAATGGTAGATGTAGTTCATAAATATAAACAATAAATAAAAATGTAGAAAATAATATTTGCTATTTTATTGATATAATTCACTAAATTATTTTTTATTTTCCATATTAGTAAAAATGTTTATTATTATCAAAATTTATATTTATGTTAAAATATTTTTAAATTATGATACTTCCGATAACTTTAAATAAGATGTTATCATAAAAAATAAATATATTTTTGCGTTTTATATTTGTCGCCAATTTTGTAAATATTAAAATCTTTCTCTTTCTCTCACATCTCTAAGATTAATACACTTATAGTAAACATATTAAACATAACGTCAATACACTTAAAGATAAGAAACATTGAATATCAATACTTAAATGATATTACACTAATTGTATTAAAATGCTTGTATTTATTTGCCTACAAAATGCACTATTTATTATACAGTACTATAACTCCACCCATTTTACACACAAAATATATTCCCGTAATATAAATACTAAAAAATATTAAATTATTAAAAATAATAATAAATATTAAATAAAATAATAATAACTAAAAATATTAATATATTGGTTCTTGTAGCGTTTACCGGTCCTGGGAATCCCGTATAGAAATGGTAGCCCAGACGTCCCTGAGTACCCCCATAGCACTTTCATACCTGTCCGACCTCCGCAATTTGAGATATTCGACTTTAAAGTCGATTTTTTAATGGACGTTATTTATGTATATGAGACATTATTTCAATGTACTTTTTAATGCTACTAATATATCTGAAAACAAAATTTCAATAAGACTTTTAGTATTCGAGATATTTGACTTTAAATCGAGTAAAAATTATTTGCAGTATAAACCAGTTGAGAATGATAGAAAGCATTTCCATACGTACTTTTTTAGGAGTTCGTGATAAAAGTATTATTTGTTGATAGTACTATAAAATACTATCATGATTTAACAAACTTATCATTCAAGTCTAGCATTGCCAAAAATATTATAAAATTGTATATTAATTTTACACACAATTAACAATAATAAATTTATACATTTAATAAAATAAATAATATACAGTAAAAATAATAATTAAATGCAATATACAAAAAAATCGACTATAGTCGAATATCTCGAATACTATATAACTTATAGAAATGTTGATTTTATTATGATAGTTATTATTAAAAAATACATTGAAATCATATATCATATGTATAAATAACGTAATTTAAAAATTTCGACTTTCGATTTAGTCGAATATCTCGAATACTAGAAATCGTATTGAAATTTTGTTTTCAGATATATTAGTAGCATTAAAAAGTACATTGAAATAATGTCTCATATACATAAATAACGTCCATTAAAAAATCGACTTTAAAGTCGAATATCTCAAATTGCGGAGGTCGGACAGGTATGAAAGTGCTATGGGGGTACTCAGGGACGTCTGGGCTACCATTTCTATACATTCCCAGGACCGGTAAACGCTACAAGAACCAATATATTAATATTTTTAGTTATTATTATTTTATTTAATATTTATTATTATTTTTAATAATTTAATATTTTTTAGTATTTATATTACGGGAATATATTTTGTGTGTAAAATGGGTGGAGTTATAGTACTGTATAATAAATAGTGCATTTTGTAGGCAAATAAATACAAGCATTTTAATACAATTAGTGTTAATATACATAATAAGTGAACACTTATTAATTGACACTTTAAGCGTAACTTATGATTGATTGTCTTTTTAAATAAGTTTTGATTTTATTAGCATTTATTTTGCAACAATTAAAACAAATACAAACACAACAATTTTGTTATTAATAAAACAAAAAATAAGTCTAAAATTATTATTAATAAAAATAATGTGATTTTATTAAATAAATGTTTGTCAAATTGTTAATATAATAAATTATTTTAGTTTTATCTCTTATTTATTTTTTATATTTGACAATCAAAAACTCAAATAATTAAGTAATTTTCTTATTAACAAAAACTAGTTTTATTTGTTTGTATATATAGTTTATTTATAAATTAAACTTTTGTTTGGTGACAATGGACTCGAAACCGATGCCTCCGGATCTGAATAAAAGTCATGAGCAAAACAATCAACAACTTTATGTCAGCTCACAGACAGATCCTATCATTAGTGAGAGCACCCGAAGTCAGAGACGGGGACTATCCGTCTCTTTTGCCGATAAGACCGATGTGATCGTCGATGAGACCAAACAGGCTATCACTGAATCCATGAAGGCTTTACAGAGTGCCAGCAAATTAGGGTATTTTATATTATAAATAATACTTAGATAACAATTTAGTGCAATATTTATTTTATTAAAGTAATTAAAATATTAGATTAAAAACAGTTATAAATATTTTTGATTATTAGGAGTATACATGAAGAATATTATGGGACACCTGAGGATATGGGCGCCGAAAGTACGGCACTACTCAAACAATACCGGGAACGACACCGAACAAAGTTGGGTTATGCGCGTAGAAACTCATACTTAGAGCAATCATTGGGAGGCGCCTCGTGGGTGACGGGAGGCTTTTTGCTGGTTAGTGCAGCACTGGGTGCTGGTATTCTCAACTATCCGGTTGCTTACGATAGATTAGGTGGTATATTCACGGCCACTGTTGTCCAGTTGGGCGTACTATTTATATTGTCGACCACAATGATGATACTTGTCTATTGTTCAAACATCAATCACGACAACTCATACCATGAGGTTCTCTACAGTATATGCGGGTCGACCGTCAAAAATATGGCAGCCGTTTCTATATTATTGTCTACATTTGGCATATGTGTCACCTATTATGTAATAATTGGTGACCAATTTGATAGGATATTTGCCACATTTTATGGATCACACTTTTGCTATAACTGGTATCTCAATCGACACTTTATTATACCTGTTATAGGAATTGGTTTCATATGGCCGATGTGTTACTTTAAAAATCTGGAGTTTCTCAAACATTTCAACATTTTAGGCAAGTTTATTGAAGTTTATTAATTTTACTTTTGATTTATAATATTAATAAATATATTTGGATTTTAATTTTGAAAAAACTAATTAAAATGTTTATAATTTTTAGGAATCATTGCAATGCTTTATGTGGTGTTTCTGAGTGTCTATGAATACGCTATGTTAGACAAAAAGCCCGGAGATATAAAGCCAGTTCCCGACAGTGCATTTGCTGTATTAGCTGCCATACCAGTGGTGAGTTTGGCCTATCAGACCCACGAACTGGTTGTACCGGTGAATGCGTGTCTAAAGGAGCGCACAATAACTAACTTTTCCAAATCTACGGGTCTGGCGCTGACATTACTGTTTTTCTTGTATTGTATTTGCGGTACTTTTGGATATTTGACGTTTGGCTCTACGGTTAGCGCTGACATTATGCAAATGTATAATGCTGAGGATCCCATTGTTGTAATCGGCATATTAGCACTAGTCGTTAAAATGATAACCACTTACCCGCAAATTGTTTTATGTGGACGGGATACTTTTTATAGGCTACTGGTGCCCACACAGGCATCATTGAATTTGCAAAATGAGGCGAACATACCTTTACCGACCAAAGAGTTTTGGCACCGAATCTCTATAACTACCGCATGGAATGTGTCGGCACTTATATTAGCGGTACTGACGCCTGACATCACGATTGCTATCGGATTTTTAGGTGCTATCGGCGCCTGTAATTCATTCATATTTCCCGGCATTTGTATGATATGTTTAGCCAAACGACAACTGAAAAACTCATTTAATCCGCAAAAAGTCTCAATGATTGCACTTTTTATTTACGGTGTGTTTATCACTACAATGGGCGCAACAATGTCTACAATTGTCATCATTAGAGCTATTTATGATTTATCTACAAATAGTGAAAGCATTGAATTATGTCAACTGTAACATACAGTTTATAAATAAAAATAACTACAATTAAATATTAAATATATTATAACTATATTTTTTTTTATCATTATACCAATATTATTTTATTGTAATATAAATTTACATTACAATTATTAATGTAATAATAATCATAATTATTTATACTTATATTGTAAATGTTAAATTTTAAAATTGACTATGTATAATAATTTTAAAAATTTATGTTTAACTATTTTAGTTTAGTATACACATTTGATAATTATATATGTTATAAATATCGTAATTACAAATAAAATCAATGAAAAAACAATTTATAAATTTATTTAAGTTTATAATAGTGCCGGTCTCTCAGTCCAACTCACAGTAAAAAATAAAACAAATATATATTTATTTAACGTTATGTTGATATGAGATCACATAATTTTGTTAACATTATTCAATTTATGTTTTTTCAATTTCCTATTTTTCTAAAAATTTTCTATCAATAGATTTAATTTGTTATCTATTTTTATGATTTTGAAAATCAAGATTATTATCAATTATTGCATGAACTGCAAGATTGCATTTTAATGTAGTAATAAATGCTTTTACGAACAATATATTTAATGTTTTTGTTAAATATAAAGATTATATAAAGAAAATAATAAAAAAAATCAGTTTATTTGAGTCAAACATTTGTCAATTACTGTTTGATTCAATCATTTAGTGATTTTATTATTGAAAAAAATAATTAAATAAAATGAATGTTCAAATAGACAGTCAGTCATACTTATCGATACTACTGTCCGCTTGACTATAAACAGTGCCAACAATAACAACATTATTAATATAATATTAATTATATAATCAAGTGATTCATTTTATTATAACATTTATAAATAAAAATAAATAAATCTTGTTTTTAATATATATTTATTTGAATTTTAAAAATAATTATAATGCATTATTATTAATATTGATATACTGTATATAATGTACAGTTCATAAAATTAATACCAGTATAAAGTTATTACAGTTATATTTATGATTTAATAATAATCGGATAATTATAGTTCATTTATGTTCGCACCCATATGTTTGAGGTGCCTGTCCTGTGCCATATAATCCATAATTGATTGCACGCAACATAGGATATGCAACTGAGCAACAATTAGGATGGTAATCATCCTGAGTAATTTCCCATATGATAACACCACCGAAACCATTATCTTTAACCCATTTACTTTTGCTATTATCACAAACAAACAAATTAATTAAAATAGTAAATATAGAGATAAAAAAATAAGAGATATACTCTAAGGCAGCGTATGGATCATCGTAACCAACCCATAGATAATCGTGATATGCAATTGGGTCGTGTCCATCATCAGGAGTCTCTTTAGTCCAGTGCTCTTTTTTGACCAATTCACACATCTCACTATACCATGCATTGTCTCCCTCTCCATGCGGTGTACGTCCCTCACCAGTAATCGGTGCTCCGATATAATGCTTGTTTTTGTCGGCCAATTTGAATGTATGTCCATAAAAGGGAATACCCATCAATACCTTTTCTTTAGGTATGCCTTTATTAACATAGTATTGAGAGGCACTAATGCAAAACGTAAACTTTGAATGATGACCAGTCATGTGCTCCCAAACACCCGCCTCATCGTAAGTCATAACACTTATATAATCTAATGCACTGAAAATGTTTTATTAGATTAGGAATTGAGTTATAATTTACATATCATAATATGAAAAATAATTTTTGTCAATTAGCATACCTGGCCATAGAAGCAAAATCATAAGCATGGTCAACTGTGCCACCCGGTACACCCGCTACTACTGCAGCTGAAAGTGAAAGTCGGGGACTCTGTTTGTCAAAGGCTGCTCTCAATTCCTGTAATATAAAATAATAATTAAATTCAACTAATATTAGCACAATATGTATGACTCAATTGAACCTTAAGAAATATACCAAAGTTTGGTTTATCAGATTTGGGACCTTTACTACAGTCACCGCTCCAACAAACCGGATATTCCCAGTCGACATCGAGACCGTCAAACTGATACTTATGTAAGTAAGCGATAGTATTGTTAATAAACTGTTGACGTCTTCCCTCATCACTTATGAGTCGTGAATAGGGGGCGTCTGGTTGTCCGCCACCTCCTAACGATATAATCACTTTGAGCTCTGGATTTCGTTTTTTCAGTTCATGTAGTCGTCGATAGATATCTGGTTGAGGACCGTCACTATCGCGAATCACATTATGATTTTCATCCAATACATGAAATGCGTGATGCAAATGAGTGCATAGAGTCGGGTCTATGTTTTCGGGTTTATGTGAATCGCCCCTCCAGTTGGGCCAATAACAGACCACTTTTTGTTTTGTGGCACTCAATTGAATGCTAATACAAAATAAAACAATTGCCAAAAGTATTTTCATTGTTATATATATACTGTATATATATTATTATAATATATAACTTATATTTGTTTAAAAACCGAAAGTAAATGAAAATTGTATTTCTGTTTTCTGAATTTATAATGGTTTCGATAGACAATAATTAATACTTTATTTTTATTGTTTTTTTATATTTTAATTGATTAGTTTATCAATTTCGGTACATTTGCTATAAGTAAAAAAGTTTTACATTACCGGTATTTGTTTCTAAGTGTTATTATCATTGTATTAAAACTGCGATTATATCCTCAAAATTATATTCTTATTATATAATATTTTTTAATTTATAATAACAAGAAAAATTATAATCACATATTGAATATTGATTTAGCATAATAACAATAATAGTAAAATAAAGTATTTATAGCACTTCAACTAATTGGGTTATAATACTATTGAAAATAGTTTATCATATTTTCTTTTATAAATGTATAAATTTAATCTAATAAAGGTATTATTTAGTATTCAACTTAAACATAAGATAAACAGTATTTAAAATGTTTTATTTGTTTCTAATTTCAAATTTACAACAAAAAACAATTTGAACAAAATTTAAAATTTTATTAATTAATAAATAAATTTATATATATTTAATAATTTGTTATAAATGTTTATTTATGTTCGCATCCATATGTGTCGGGTGATTGGCCGGTGCCGTAGAGGCCATAGTTGAGTGCGTGAAGCAATGGGTTTACTTGACTGCAACACTCCTTTTTGTAGTCGTCGTGACTGATCTCCCAAATAATAATACCTCCGTAACCATTATCCCGAACCCATTTGGCTTTTCTAATTTAACAGTTAAATCAAAATAATTAAATTAAACAAAAATCTAAATCTATTTATAGTTTAGTAATGCATACTCGTATGCAGCGTATGGATCATCATAACCGATCCACTCGTCTCCTTTGTAAGCAAACGGGTCGTGACCTTTATCTGACTGTTCTTTAATCCATCCCTGATTTTTTACTAATTGACAAACGTGTCGATAAACACCGTCCTCTTTACCTTCACCTATGATGGGCGCACCCGCTTCGTGACGACTTATGTCTTTCAGTTGAAACGAGTGTCCATAAAATGGTTGTCCCATAAGTACCTTATCCTTTGGAACTCCTTTATTGACATAATCCTCAACATCAGCGACACAGACATTATATTTGGAGTGGTGTGCAGTTTTACCATCGCTTAACGGGGCCAAGTCGTAGGTCATTACATTGACATAATCAAGTGCTCTGTAATATTAATTAATTTTTATGTAAAATAAATAAATTAAATTAAATTGTATTCAAATCACTGAAACCATACTCTCCAAGAGCTTTATAATCATAAGATTTGTCGGCAATATCAGCGCCGGCGACCACTGCCGCAGACAATGACAGACGAGGAGTCAATTTATCGAAAGCCTCTTTGATTTCCTTATATATTATAAAATAAGTTTCTAAATATTAAATAACATTAACACAAATAATAATTATAATAATTATAATTATTACCTTTATAAAAATACCAAAATTTGGTCGATCAGATGGAGGACCTGCTGAGCAATTACCTGTCCAGCAAACAGGGTATTCCCAGTCTAAGTCAAAGCCGTCAAACTTATATTTTTGTAAGTATGCGATCGTATTTTTAATGAAACCCTTGCGAAGTTCAACATTGTTGACCACTCGTGAAAATTTGATGTCTGGATGACCCCAACCGCCAACCGATGCAATGATTTTTATGTCTTTATTCTTTTGTTTCAATGCTTCTAAACGCCGATAGATATCCTCCTGAGGCCAACCCTTGGCATCAATGATAACATTGTGGACGTCGTCCATCACATGAAATGCATAGTGAATATGAGTGCATAGTGTCGGATCTATTTCCTCAGGTTGCATACCACCCCAATTGGCCCAATAGCACACTACACGAGGCCGGGAGGCGCCCACCTCAATGTACAACACAGTTAACAAAATTGAAAACAATAGAAATTTCATATTCAATAATATTTAATTGGGTGTATTAGTTTACGATTAAAACTATACACTGATTTGATTTACTAGATTTAACCTATTTTATTATAAAATAATTGTTTTAACCATATGTTAAATTCACAAACATATATCATATTCACATTATTTATTTTTTTAAATAATTAACCCGGATATATTGACGATTAGATAATTACTATATTATTTAACTTTTCGTAGTTATGATATATTAATTAATTATTGATATTATCAATGAAATAATATTTATTAAATAAAACTATGCTATTTAGGTGACAAACAAGTTTTATCACATTTTCATAATACAGTATATTACAAGAAATGTATTAATTTAATCATATTATAAATAGATTATTAAAAATTTTAACAACGTATTTAAAAAAAAATTATACTAAAATATTTTATTTTTAACAGTATATATATTTTATTTATTTTATAAAATCCTCTACCATTTGAATAATATATTTGAATTATATAAATATTAATAATATGAATAATTGTATTTATTCAGGTGAAATAGTTATATTTATAAAATATCAATTTAATTTTCAAAACAAAGTTCAACATCATATTCTATTATAAAATGTTATAAATTATTAAAAAAGTTAAAACAGCATAAATATTTACAATATACTTACAAATTTGTTGGAATTTATATATAATTTTATCATATAATTAAAATTGTAATGCCATCTAATGTTATGGTATATCCTATTTTATTGTTTTATCTAACTAAGATTTTAATTGATATAAATCACAAAAATACCAAAATTAAAAAAAATATTAAATCTAAATTTTTATATTTATTTTTATTGTTTTAATTAATGCAATGTTGTATTAATTGCTTACAGATAACAATTTCAAAGAGATTAAAAAATTATAATTATAACAAGTAAATAATATCTAAGAAGTTATTTATTTAAACTTTTGAATTTTAAGCTTTTTTATAACCACTTTTAATTGTGTTCAAACATTTTATTAAAAAACATTTTTTTTTAATTTGAGACAAATTATTTCAATTAACTTCTTGTATAAACTTGTAAACACTAGAAAAGTCTTTTTCGGCATAATTGTTATTTTTCATCAAACGAAACAACTGATGTGATAATGTTCCCAATGGTRTGGCACAGTTAGCTCGTRACGCCAGTGTCTGTGCTAAACACATATCTTTAGTCATAAGTCTACTTTGGAAACCTCCGTTATAGTCATTATTTGCCGGACGATCGCGACTAATACCGGGAACTGGACTATAATTTTCGGAACTCCACGACCGACCAGAACCAGCATTTAATACCTCTGTCATCAGTTTTGGGTCAATACCCAGTGTTTTGGCTAAATTGAGTCCTTCGCTTAGGCCAATCATAGAAATTGCTAAACACATATTATTGACTATTTTTGCTACCTGTGCCGATCCTAGTGGTCCACAATGGAAAACTCGTGCACCCATTGCTAGCAGTAGTGGTTCAACAACTTTAACATCATTTTCATTGCCACCAACTAAAAAATTGAGTGTCCCATCCCGGGCTGCAGGTACTGCACCGGTAACTGGTGTATCCAAAAATATAGCACCAGTAGATTGTGTTGCCTGTGCTACTTCTTTACATGTTTGCGGATCAATGGTCGACGAATCCATTAAATATGCACCCGATTTGGCTTTGCTTAGTATGCCATTTGGTCCACAATAGACTTGCAGTACGTGAGCACCTGTGGGAACCATTGTAATGATTCGGTCGCTTTTATCGGCCACTTCTGCCGGCGATGAGGCCGTTATCGCTCCCTTTTCAGCCAACGCTTTCATAGCATTGCTGTTTATATCGTAAACCACAAGACGATGTCCTTTTTCTAGCAAATGTCGGCTCATATGTGATCCCATATTTCCCAAACCAATGAACCCGACTGTCAGGCTCTGGGAGGCGTTGCGTACTATAAATATTACATAATTATTAATTTTAAATATTAAAAAACTTGAAAATACCTTTAATTTGATTTATGGCATTTGAAGAGACTTTAGTTTTTATATTTAACAATGATTTTAGCAACATTTTGAACAATTAACTAATAATTTTTATTATTACAAATATTTTAATTTAATTTATTAGTTTCTTTAAAAATGTTATTTAATCATTAGACAAAAAATATAAAACAAAAAATGAAATTATTTTATATATGGTTTAATTTTTAAAAAATTGATTATAAATTATTACAAATGACCTTGATGTAAAATATCTATATAACTGACTGTATATATTAGATAACAAAAATGATTTGTATTTAATAAAATAGCATATTATTAAAATTTATTTAAATAACTTAATTTCTCAAAATCAATAAACTAATCTAATATATAAACTATATTAAATTTTATAATAAAACTATATAGGATTAAATATTTTAAAAAATTAAATAATAACATTCAGTTATTTTAAAAATTATGATGCATTTTAAATATTAAAGCAATAACTTATTTTAGTGTATATTCATAGTACAGTATATTTTAATCTCAAATGAATTATCAAATGAGTAATCAAATGATAAATTTAATGTTTAATTAAACAAATAAAAACAAAAACTTTAGACTTCATCGAAACTGTCAAACAGTTCAATGAGTGGCAGAAAAAATGATTTTGTTCTGAGTTTTGGTTCCGATTTTGTCTTAAAATTGTTGAATTGATCGCATTTGTCGGAACTGTCATTATATTCAGCACAAACCAGATTTAGTGACGATCCGGATATGGATTCAATAAAACGTATGGCTATATCCACTTGTTTTTCACTACAAGTATTTACTTTATCCGATAGTTTGGACATACAATGATTTTTCTTATGATATGCACTGATAGGTTATAATAAAAAATTATATAAATATTATTATCATTTAAGAGGACAGTTAGTGTATGCCTTACCAACAGGCCATCGGTATCTTAACCTTATCGTCGACTGATTTCAGACTAAAGAAGTGATCAATAGTGATGTTATAACATCTCTGGATTTCATCGCTGGCTTTATTCAAACATTTGGCCGCTTCTAACATCTCTTGCATTCGCTTCGATGGTCCAGACTTTTGGCGACACAACTGTCCAAATGTTTTCTTTGCTGAATAAGTAGTGACCGAAAGCACTTGTTTGACCAAACCTTTCATACAGTTTTTATTTAATTTTTCTATTTTACTGATTGCTGTCTTTGTATCACTAAATTTTTTATTATTATATATATCAAAATTTAGTATATAATTAAATTAAATAAGTAATATATTTAATAAATAAAATTAATTACTCGCAATATTTGGACACATGAGTGGCCGATTCGGGAAACTTGCGGCCAGAATTGCCAAATGTTAACATCCGTGCAATCAAACCGTCCATCTCTTTGTAAGTCTTTTTGTTACATTTCATATTTTGTGTCAAATTAACGCCTCCACCACCACTACCGGCGCCGTTAGCATTATTTTGTTGACAATAACTATAGCCAATCAATACTAAAACACAAACTATTATAACATGAATTTTCATAACTGTATAATTTTAGTGAACAACAAAAAACAAAGTATCAAATATTTGAAATATTAAATGATATAAAATAAAGTTTTTATGTACAATATATATAAATATTTTTTTTCAAATTTCAAGACTGACTTCACAGACAAAATTGACGCAAATGTCTGTTAAGAGATATTTATTCAATATTTTATTTTACAATTGTTAATGAAGATGAGCTCACAATAAAGCATCAAAAACACAATAATATAATAAAATGTTAATAAAAAGATAAATATTGAGATAATAAGAGCACAACATATATTCAAATTTGTGTAAAATAAAAAAAATAATAAAACTTTTTAGTTGTGTAAAAAAGTCAATTCAATGTCAATAATTATTACTAATTATTAGACAATAATATATTTATATAATAATTTTCTTGAAGAGATTTCTTGAAAAAGTGAAAGATATTGAAACAATTTTACGTAAATCTCTTATTTCATTGATTTTATAACAATAATTGTTGTGAAATTTTAGTGAACTAAAAGTTGTATTACAAAAAAATGTTTAAAAAATGTTTCCATTGTATTAAATAAACATAAATTATTTATTTTATTTGTATTTAAACTTTTTATTTCACTTAAACTTGTAAGATTCCTGTTTGACACATGTGCTCAAGGTGGTTTAGCTATTTATTTAGTATTTGAATGATAATTTTAATAATAATAATAATAATAGATTTTAAAGAATCTTAAACTACTTATCTTTTTATTTATCTCAATTATTCAATTATAATTAAATTGGTGATTAAAAAAATTAATTATRTTATTAATGAAAATAGGAAATCCTGACCATCAACTATCATAAATAATTTATCCGTGAATTTAGGTTTTTATTATCATTATACTAAATAATACTTTTTTTTACTGAACATCAAGATTCAGAAAATAGGAACATTAATAGATATGTAAAAATTAACGGTTAAACAAAGTTTTTATTTATTTATTATTTATTTAATGATAATATTATAATCATAATTACATGATTTAAGTGATTTTTGAGTTCAAGGTAATAGTAAAGTTAGATGAATACACTTTTAATAAAAGTCTATAAATTTTAAGACTTCTAATCAATATTACAGCCGTGAGTATTGATGACATTGTTAATGTCCTCCTATTATAGCAATAATTAAAATTTTTATTTGACTAAAAGGATGTCCCCTGTTATTGACAATTTTATTTATGAGTTAACAAAAATAATAAATCTTATAGACAAAATTAATTATTATTTATTATAAAATATAAAATTTTAATTTAATTAATTTCAATATTTTAATGCACAGTATTAGTAATATTTGTAATTTTTTATTCTAAAATAAATTGAAATAAAATTTACATTATATATTGTTACATCAGAAAAAATTATTACAAATTATATACAGATAAATTCAAAAAAATATTTATTTTAAGCAACAAAAATATACTTAAGCTTAAACTAAAAAAGATTTCAATTCTATTTTTTAAAATTTATACAAAAGTCAAATATATTATATTTATATCTATCTTTATATATATACTATAATCAWTAGTTTATTTATTTTATATCTATAAAACAATAAAAAAAAATATTTACAAAAATGTCAATTACTGTTGTTGTGTGCCATTATTTTTATTGTTTTCGGGTATACTTTCGAAAAGTTGCAAAAATGCAATAATCATTGATTTGGTCCGTCTCTGACCCTTCCGTTTCTTTGGTGGATTCAATTGTAAGCACCGATCCGTATCAGCCGTGTATTCACCGCACGCGAAGCTCAATGAGTTACCAATAATAGAGTCAATGAATTGTGTGGTTAGCTCTGTGTGTGCATCCGTACAGATGTCCACTTTGTCAACAATACGTCGGATACAGTCCTTTAACTTTGGTATTTCACTAAATARAGACATCAATTATTGTCTATTTTTAATTAAATTTAATATTAAAAATATTTATAATTATATATATTATTAACATTATGYTAGTATTTTTATCTTAAAAATAATTAAGTATTTTTTGAGTCCAAGGACCTGTATATTAGCAATGATGCGATTATGAAATAATTCAAACATTTCCTTAAATATTATCAATAGTATATAAATTGAATTATGAAGAGTTGAAGATTAATTAAAATATAAAAACATTTAATTTTTGAAAAAATTGTTTAAAATATAAACATATAATGTAATAATAATTAAAATCAATAAAAAATAATAATAAATGATAAGTTAATAAGTTTAATAAACAAATAATAATAATAATAATAATAATTACCAACAGGCCATTGGTATACGTTTGGTTGTCTCCGCTGATTGTATGCCTAATAGGTTATCAATACCTGTAGTAAAACATTTATTGACGAAATGTTGTGCTTTATTAACACATTTTCCGGCGGAAAAGTTTATCTCTTTTACGTCTTCCGAGTGTTTACTGCAGGCCTTCTTCTGTCGTTTGGCTATAGTATACATACCGACTGATAGTATATTTTTGGCGAAACCTTTTACACAATTTTTGTTCAACTTTTCTAATGTGTCCACAATTTGTTTGGTATCACTTATAAATATTTATAATAAAATAAATTATATATATATTAGAAATTGATTTTAAAATATCTTTAACTTATTAATACAATTAAAGTTTTTGAAAATAATAAAATGTCAAAAAATATGAATTGTATATATACTTGCAATATTTTGGCATATCATCCAAACTCTCGGCAAATTTGCGGCCAGAGTTGCCATAAGTTGTCAATCGGGCGAACAAATCATCGATACGTCTGATAGTATTTTTATCACAATTCACGCTATCTTTTGCTGAGCTATCGGTGCTCTGAGACTCAGATAAATGACACAAAAGAAATAAAATTAAAACGAAAATATTTAACGCTAAAAATAAGCGCATTATTAATGATACAATGATATAACTGAAAACAAAAAAATATAAAAGTTGAAGATAAATAACAATATTAAACTAAATAAAAGTTTTTTTCAAAAGCAATTGGGACTATAGTTTGAAAAATTGTAAAAATAATATATTGTCGAACCAACACAAAAGTCTAATATTTATATCAATGTATTTCATCAATAAAATAATGTCTCATATCTTATTAAATCTGTGAAAATAATTGATAACTTAATGTTTTAAAACTTGTTCTGATTATTCCAATATAATCATAAATCTGATGCAAACATGAATATACTGATTAATTAACTTATAATTAAATGTCATAATACCGATTATTACCTAAAATATCAATTAAATAATAATAGTCATTGTATTTACACATCAATTGAGGTCTAAATAATTACAATAATAATAACAACAACACCAATGTTGTTTTTGTTGTGTTTATTTTAAAATAACTTATTAAAATATTTTTTAGACCAAGGATAAAATTTTAAAAATAATTTCAATAATATTGACAGATACTGTACATACAATAATAGATAATAATATAGTAATTTAAAAATTGTCATTGATCAATTATTGATTAGGAAATAATGGATCCACAAAATGATTATATAATTAGTATTGTCATATATTTTATTATTTTATTATAAAGATATTGTACATTAGATAAAAATATTGAAGCATTAATAATTTATTTTGATAAAATTTTATTTTCAGTTTTATTATTATTAATATTTAATTATTTTGATTTACTGATCCGCTGCAATAATCATGAGAATAAAATAGCAAGTTTTTAATTTGATTTTACAAAAAAGTTAATTTTTATTAATTAATAATATAATCGCCATTTAAATCTATGACATCTCTCCATTTGTTCGGCAACTCATAAATTCCTTTGGAATACCATTCCTCTGGTTGTGAATCGAAAAACTCTTGAACTGCCATTTTGACCTCTTCTCGATTTTTGAATTTTTTTCCATCAAGAAAGTGTCGCATTGATCGGAACAAATAATAATCTGAAGGAGCAATATCTGGTGAATATGGTGGGTGATCCACAACATCCCACCCAAACTCCTTCAATAGATCTTTGGTCTTCTTTGCAGTATGTGATGGGGCGTTATCCTGTTGAAACTTAACGCCCCAATATCTTATCAATGAACCACGCTTTTCGAAAAGCTTATCACGAAGTCTTGTTAATTGTTGACAATAGACTTCAGCTGTAATAGTGGCTCCGACTTCCAACAGTTCCCAGTGGATTATCCCACCAGACAACATTACTTTCTGTTGACGAAAATCTGGTCGTGGTGTCCCAACAGGTAGTTGTTCCGGACTTCTCCATTCACTCCTTTTATCAGCGTTGACATAGTATATCAACTTTTCATCACCGGTTATCATATGTCTTATAAAACCGTCAGAATTCTCTCGAGAAAGCAATTGTTGGCATACTTCTACACGTTTTGCCATTTGCTGAGGAGTGAGATCGTGTGGTACCAAAACAGATGACACATATCTCTTGCCAATGGCTTTCAAATGTCTTTGAATGGTAGTAGCATCAACTTCAAGTATATCACCGAGCTCTTTAGTTGAAAATTTTGGATTCATTTCAATCAGATCCGTCAATACTTCGTTGTCAATCTTCGATGGTTGTCCTGGTCTTTCTTTGTCTTCTACATTAACCCCTTCTTCTTTCCATCTCTTCCACCAACGATAACATGTGCTCTCACCAACGGCTTTCGGGTAGACCTCATTGATATTTGCTGCGGCTATTGATGGTGGAGTTCCGCGACGATATTCATATTCCATGGCATATCTCAAACGTCATGTGAGTTTTTCTAACGGTTCCATCACAAGATATCACAAATATTTAATAACACAATTGAAGACTAGTAATGACTGTTATATTTTGTCAACAAACAAAATTTGTAAATATTACAATGGGTCGCACAAATATAAAGTTACTTTTCAATACAGTATAATTCTCACTTTTATTGCAGCAGAACAGTATGTCTTTTATTTTAAAGCCATTGAACTTTTTTCATTTTATTTTTATTATTTAATTATGGTTTAAATGATTATTTTATTAAATATAAAATAAATAAAATCATTAGCATTATTAAGTCATAATATTGTATTATATTTCGTAACTTATGGTTTATACAAATTACAGTTAATGCAATGTCTTATTATTACACAACACTTTAGTGATTTAATTATGCTTATGATTCATATCAATTATATTTTATAATAATTGTAATTTTTATTTAAAGCGTGTTAACTATTTAGTTTCAATATTTACAATAATTTATTTTTGGTGATATTCAAATTAACTTTATGTAATAACAATTTACATTAGATATAATTAATTCAATATATCTATATATTTATATACGAGTAAATCATTTCTATAATAATAATAATAATATATTATTATTATTATTATTATTCTTGTTTTGTTTCGGGAAAAGTTTGTATGAGATGGAGAAACGCCATAATTAGCGAACGGGGCCTTCGCTGTGACTTTTTTTTGTTGGGCGCCGACAACTTGTCACACTTGTTGGTATTTTCCGCGTACTCCCCGCAGGCCAACAGGTTTACCGTATTACCTATGATTGAGTCTAGAAATCGATTGGTACTCTCTATGTTTTGATCGGTACAGCCATCGATGTTTCGCTGGACATCCTCTATACAAGTCCTTAATAATGGTATTTCACTGAAGTTGAATAAAATGTTTGGTATTAATTAATATTGATTATAAAAATAAATAGATATATATTTAATACCCACCAACAAGCCATTGGTATCTTTTTATTATGTTCTGCAAACTGCATACCAAGCAATTTATCGATACTTTTACTAAAACATTTGCCAACCTTTAGTAACAAATTATATTAATTATATATAACTTTATAAAATCTAAACATAGATACTGTATATAAAACACTATATTAATAATGTATAATATAATTAATGTATTACTTTATTTTGTACTCTGTTAATGCATTTTGCGGCATCAAAATATTGAGGTAACAGTTTATTGGATTTACGGCACAGTTGTCTTATGACTGATTTAACAGTAAATATACTGACAGTTAACACACGTTTGGGTAATCCATCGATACATTTCTTATTAAGAGACTCTATGTTTTCGACCAAACTTTTGCTCTCACTTTTTAATATAAAACAAAATTTTTATTTCAGATTAGCTATTAAGCATATTGTACTGTATAACCATTAATAGACAATATATTTTAATTATAAAAAAGCAAGTATTCAAACAAAATTTAAATGTAATAAAAATATAATAATAAAAGATTAATGTTTAATCTAAATTTTACACATTAAAAACATATTTATGGTTAGCTTAAAATATTTTTAAATTAATGCAATAAATTGCTTATAATTTACTTGCAATAAATTGGCAACTGATCGGTATTTTCGGGAAATTTTCGGCCGGAATTTCCATAAGTGGTCACTTTAGCCAACAGTTCATCGATCCGTTTCAATGAATTTTTATTACACGATATGTTGACTATAGATGTTGAGGTCGATGTGTCATCACTGCTGTCATCGCCGGTTGTTTGCCCGGATATACACCATATTATTGAACAGAAAATTAATATAAATGTTTGAAATTTAAAGTTTCCAATTATATTAAACATGTTTTCTCTCTTAAACTTACTATATCTTAACCGTTAAAAACCAATGACTTTATATAGCCCCCAAAAAAGTGACCACAAAAACAACATAAACATAACATCATTGATTTATTTTTATATTTTTCGATGTTATATATTTATATATATATACAGTATATGTACACATTATATGTATAAAAACTTATATAATAATCGATAACTTCAAGATTTATTAAATGCCCAAACAAATAGATTGAAGTAATTTATTATTTTATATTTTTTTAAACATATTAAAATACAGAAAATAAACAGTAAGTTATAATATTATTTCAAAATAAATATATTTTATACATTACCATATGAGCCAAGGGTAGTTTAGTTTTTAAAATTAATAAAATAAAAGCAATGTTTTTAAAGGTTACTTAAAATAAATCCTTCATAATATGTATTATTAAATAATAATAATCATATTTACTGTGATATAATAACAAAATTAAAAGTTCAAAACAAATTAATCATAATGTAATCACTTACTATGTTGAACAACAAATTATATTTAACAAATTAGTCTGAAAACATTTTTACGATATTGATTATTATAAAATAATGATTTATTATATTTAAATTACTTATTATTACAATAAAATTAGTTTTACATAAATTTTATATTTTATTTATAGCTATATTTATTATTAATAAATTGATTGTTTGTTAAATATAAGATGGCTATAATTATAAAATACAATTTTTAACATAATTTGATACAACTTTCATTGAACTACTTATTAAATTATAAATCAATATTTAATATGTTTTTTATTTTGTTTTTTGGATGATTTACATCTGATAAGGTCAAGGCTCACATACAGTCTACGATAACATGAAATGTTTTAAAGTTTTAATTATTTATAAAAATTTCATTTTTATTTCATTTCAATTTTATACATTTTTCATTTGACACAAATAATTTGAATTTTATATTAAATTATTAAATATATAAAATAATTTGATTGTGAAATTTTCTAAAATAATCATTTAAACAACTAATTTACTGAATTATTAATAGTTTTATTTTTATATATTATGACATTTTTATAATAATAATATTTCAAAATAAATTCTACCGGTATTGTACTCAAATTAGTTTCATTTAATAAATATTAATTAATTATATTTTAAATTCAATAATTTTATAAATTATTATATTACATAATATAAATATATAAAAGATAATTACGCAATAATTTGATATTTATACTTTATAAAATTAAATAAACTTTAGTTTAATATATTTTTTCATTATTTATGATTAATAAAAAACTAAATATTTTAGAAAATTTTTATAATTTATGTTAATATTAAATTATACTGTTTTCTAAACTTTAAAATATAATATACAGTAGTTTATAGTTCATTGATAATTGTTAAATAATGCATAACTCTTAATCAAATCAATAAAACWAATAATATTCAGTTATTTATATAATATTTAAATATGTGTTTTTGTCACTTATAAGTAATTAAAAGATTAAAAATTATTAAAAACCAATATTATTTGTTTTCATTAAAGCTATCAAAAATGTCGACTAAAGGCATTAAAAAGCTTTTAGGTATGGGTTCATCCTTTAGACGGTTAGGTATTTCAAGTTTTTCGCATTTATCAGTTTCTTCGTTATAGTCACCGCACGCCATATTCATTGGACCGTTGGATACCTGTTCCGAGCGACGGACCAATAAGTTGATGTGCTCTTCAGTGCACTGTTTGTTTTTGTGACCAATTGATATCAAACAAGATTTCAATTTAACAAAAGTACTGTTAATAAATACATAATTAACTATTAATATATAGAATTATGAACATCACATAAAATAAATATATTTGATATAACTATAACTAACCAACAAATAAATGGTATTTTCATGCGGTCATCGGTGGCGTGTTTGATGCCCACCACATGATTCATGGCCTCATCAATACATTTTTGAGCTTCGGGTCGTCCGGAGTTAATACATTTGCCGGCACTAATGAGTTCAACCATTTTCTTGTTTGGTTTTTTACGACACATACCTTTCCGTTGGCGTCTAATTGAGTACAACATTACAGACACTATACGCTTAAGCATACCATCCATACAATGGTTCTTCAAATCTTCTAATTTATTCAATACATGAGTTCGGTTCCTATAATTATTAGGTTTATAATTATAAATTAATTTTCAATTAACAATATTTTATTTTTATATAAATTAAATGAATAACTCGCTAAAATTATTTAAAACACAACTATTTAAATATTTTGATAAGTTTTACAAAGTTTCTACTTACGGTAATAATTAATTGTTTTTTTAATTTATTTAAAGATAATAATTGTGATAAATAATATTATAATATTGCAATATTGTAATATATGRCTATTTCTTACAATTATTTAAGTTTACAATAAAACAATTTAATTGTAAATTTAAATGAAATAAAAACWAATTAGAGGTTGTATTAAATTTGATGACTTACTCGCATCTAATGTGCAACTCTTGAATAGTTTCGGGGAAACGACTGGTCGGACTCGTAATGCGGGCAATCATATGATCCAACTCTTTGTATGAATCTTTGCCACACTTGGACTCAGTTATGTTATTAAAACTATTTCCATCAGTTGTGTTGTCGACAGTCAATCGGTTTTGAAACTGTTTTTTGGATTTTCTATTAGATTGTGTCCGTTGACTGTTGGCCAACGATAGGCTCAACATTAATATAATCATAAATAATAACATAAAACATATCTTTGATGACATTTTTTATCACTAAACTTTAATGTCAATATTATTTTAAGATAAACTATATTTATATTTGTAAAAAATCCTTTAAAATATTTAAATATTTGAATAAAATTGAAAAGATGTTCAATAATGTAAATATTTAATCAATAACATCTCAATAGTCACTGATAAAGATTTAAATAATTGTTCAATTTTGACGAAGTTTTTAAACAGTATTTCATAATAAAAATAAAATTATATAATAAAGTATATAATATTATAACAATAATAATTTAATATTTATTGTACGATGTTATGAATTTTATAATTTTTATTGACTATTGTCAATAAACGAATATTTTTATATATTGTGTAATTTTATAGCAAATAATATTAAATATTATATACTATTAGATATTTATTTTAGAATAGTTTTTTCAAAAACAATAAATTTTTAACAATATTTAAAATATAATATAAATCTACTAAAACTAGTTAGAAATTATCCAATTTATAAGCAAATTGCACTAAAGTTTTAAATATTGTACTATTATATCAATATTAAACGTATATATCATTAGTTGAAATGTACTATTATTTATTAATCTATCAGTCTTTTCCTTTAAACACTAGTCTTGTTTTTTGAAAAAAATTATTATTTAATGTTAAAATTTAGTTTTTATGCAATTTCTAAAATTATATATTGTGTAATAAAATAAAATGATTTCTTTGATGCAATTAGTTAATAATAATATGTTTCTATATATTTCTAATACTCAGTCTATATATATATACATGTATATATTMMATATATAAATATCTGTAATTGTCTAAAGTTGTAATTATAAATTGTCTGCAATAATATTATTATTTAATTATTTAAAGTAAAAATATTTTTATAACTCTATTTTTCGTAATAAACAACTTTTTGTTTATTTTCATAATTATCCATTTTTTACTATTTTTGTAATTAACTACTTATTTAACTATTTAATGAATATATCAAAATAATATTACTAATTATTAAAGTTACCTTTTTCCTTATATAAGTGCTTAATTTTTATGACATAATCATTTAGATTTACTTAATTGATTAAATATTTAAATAATTTTAAAAACTTTCCAAACGTATTATCAAGTACTTAACATTTTTATTGGTTTACAAAAGTATAAAAATACATAAAAAAATTACTTAAATTATTAAATAGTTTTGAAAACAATTTTCTTAGTTATGTATAATGTTTACATTGTAAACTTTACACTTAATTTTATTATTTATTCATAAAATCTACAAAAAATATAAAAACAATAAGTTATTTAAAATTTAAATTTAAATACTTGTCTTATTTGAATTCTTTCACTTGAATTATATGAATGCCTTGAAAATGTCTAAAATATTTTTTGTTTTTGTTGTTGTTTTATACAATATAACAAAATTTAAATATTTTTGACATAAATATCAATTTTTATCAATGCTTTCAAACAACTGTATAACCGCTAAAACCAATGACTTATACTTGTTTTGACCCGACCTTACATTGAGTTTAACGGACTGCAGTTTATGACATTTATCACTATCGTCTTGATAGTCATTACAGGCCAACTTAAGTGCACCACCACTTAGACCATTAAAATGGCCGACCAGTACCTCCTTGTGATGGTCGGTGCAAATGTCGACAGTACTCAAATGATCAAGCATACATTTTTTAGTTTTACCAATTTCACTGAAAAAAAATCATTATTATAGCTTTTAAATTTTATTATATTTCTATGTATTTAAATAATACGATAATACTAAATAGGTTATATAAAAAACAATACATACCAACAAACAAGTGGTATTTTGAGATCATTGTCTACATTTTTCATAGCCATAAATCTATCCAATGATTTATTGGCACACTTTTCGACACCTGATCTGCCTTTGTTAATGCATTTTGCGGAATCAGTTAACTCCCTGAGCTCAGCGGTCGGTGATTTCTTACACATGGATCGTCTCTTTTTTTTGACCGAATATAAGACAATTCCGACCACTTCTTTCATCATACCTTTCATACATCGTTTGTTAAGATCATCCAAAGTTGTTAATGGCTTCAGTAATTGTCTAATATTTTTTTATAACATAAAGTAATAATCAATATAAACAAAACATAAAAGTATTTCATAAACAAAATAACATTTAATTAGTTTATTAGGTATTATATTAATAGAGAAAATCCTATTACTTGCAGCTTTTCATAGCATCGGGTAGTGTCTCGGGAAAGGTATGGTCGGGATTCCCGATTGGATTAATTTTGTTAATAATGGCATCCACTTTGTTGATGGTATTATTGTTGCATGGTAATTGTTTAGCCGATTCATATTGATCAATTTCTATAAATAACAATATTATTATTGAATAAATCAAAATAATGCTATTATTAAAAAACATCAACAATTTCATATTGTATTATTTATTAATTTGTAATATTTCAATATTCAAAAAATATAAATAATTAGTTTTAATAATATCTAAATACAAATATTAAATTATTTAAAAAGCAAAAGTGTATTAAATATAACCCAAAAATTTCAAGTACACTGTGTCTATGTGTAAGTCAGTGATACTATTTTTAAAAGTAAATATTTTGTTTGATTTTATCGGAAAATCTCAAGAAAACTTGAAATTTATTTTTAAAAATTATTTAGCCATAAAATTATAATATTTTTTAATATAGTGACAGTCACACCTATTGTATAGTTTATTTTGTTATTGCAATCTGGGAATTACATATTTAATTTACATAAAAATAGCAAATAATAAAAATAAAATGATTATTTATTATAAAATTATTCCAATAATACCGTATTAACTATAATTATATATTATATCATATTATATCATATAATGGGAATATATTGTATAAATTTTTTGTTATTTGTGAAAGTCGTCGTCAAGAGGGAGATGAAAGATGAGAGACAAATGAAAGTTAAAAGACATATAAGACATATAACGTGATCGCAATATTAAACAGTGATATGTCGTACACAAAATTTAACCAAACTTTTCAAATAACATATAACTATATATTATATATTTTCTAGAAATCATTTTCTATCTATAATATAGTTTATTTATTGGTTTATTTTCCAAAAAAAGTTGATTACATATATTTATTATAAACTAGTGTAATATAATAAAAACAAAAATTAGTTTTTTAATCTTTATATTTAATCAATTATTTTATCACATTTATTGGCTGTATTTAGAAGTTTGACTACTTTTATATTAAATAGTATTATATATAAGAATATTGTATATGAATTATATGTGTAGTTCTATAAACAGTATTTAATAAAATGTGTGGAATTTGATTAAACCATAAAAGAGTTAATCGATAAAACCTAAAGCAATAATACAATACAGTACTATACTTTCTATTGTTATATTTTTGTTACATTGAATTATTTTTCATTACTTATACTATACTCTAAATAATATACACACAAAAAATTGAATAAGAAAGTGAGTGAATGAGTGAGTGAGTGAGAGAGAGAGAGAGAGAGAGAGAGAGAGAGAGAGAGAGAGAGAGAGAGAGAGGTGTTATATAATGTATGTTTGAAACACAAGTGTTAGATATTTGATACATACAGTAAAAATATATCTAATAATAAGTGTTATTTGAGTTTATTATCTCTCTCTCTCTCTCTCTCTCTCTCTCTCTCTCTCTCTCTCTCTCTCTCTCTCTCTCTCTCTCTCTCTCTCTCTATGTATTATAAACTATATATTGTTCGAACATTTTGTCTGTCAATTCAATCGCTTATGGCATTGATTTCATTATTATATAGTATTAATAGTGTTATTATTTTTGTGTATAATAATAATTTTGTTTTTAAGTCATTAATTTAAACGACATCACAAAGCATGCCTACAATTTTACAAACAAAAACTGAGATATTTTTGTTATACAAATAAACTAATATTTATCATATGATTTATAAGTTTTTATATAAAAATTTTATTTTTAAAACAATTTATTTTTGTGTAAAATATCCATTATATTAGTACTGTATAAAGTTTAGTATTATATCTTAAAATCTTGATGTTCATACAAAATAAATTATTTAATACTTTTTTAGTTTAATGAAAAACAAAAAAAAATACAATAATTATAATTTATATATACTATCTACTTTGTTAAAACATTAAAACGTTATAGTTATGCAATATATACTACAATACATATACAAAATATAGTTATGATATTTATATATTTACAGTATGTGTCATACATTATCTAATATACAATACGACTACTGTATATGTTTTTCCAATAATTTTATTATAATATATCTTTATTAATGACTAATTATATGTTATTATATATATATAGTGATATATATTATTGAATTTATTTATTTAAATCCTTATAAATTGACATAAAATTTTAATTTTTTTTTGCGAAAACTTTCAATTCAAATATTTTAAGAGTATTTATGTTTGTTTGTAAGCAATAAAATTTTTTATAGTTATTAGTAGAAAAATACGTTTCATATTTTACAATCATCGTAAATACAGCATATTATATAAATATATATATATATTAAAACTGTTTATTTTTATGAATAACAAAAAGTATATTAAAAATATTATTTGAATAATATTTTGCAAACATATTATATTTGTTTATATAATTATTATAAAAATATTATAAATAAAATAAAATATAAATCAAAAAATAAATAAATAAAATAATATTAGATTCAATAGGAAATACATTAAAATTTATCATCATTTAATTAATTATACTTAAATGTATATTATTATTAAACAATGATAAATAAATAAATTACAATATTATAAAGTAATATTAATCACAATTAAGTTTTATTGCATGTATTTAATAAAATATCATTATCGATATATACTCAAAAATAATAATATCAAAAATGTAAAAACCGTTTTATGTACTTATTATACGAAATAAAAACAACAAAAATATGACTAACTCAACAAATGTCTATATTATTTATTTGATGCAAACAAACAACAAAAACTAAAATATAAATTATTGTTAATCTTTTAAGGGATTACACAATAAACGAATTATACGTTAAGACGATTTCTATTGAAATACAGTAGATATTTAAAAAATATTGGAATCACATATTGTATAACATTTTTACGTATAAATAAAATAACATATATTTTATGAGAATTTAAAAAAATATTATTATTTTAATAACGATGACTTAAAATAATTTTTTTAAATTTAGAAATGCATAACAATAAAATTGTATTACTGTTTAATATATTTATATTACAAAGCAATAGTGTTTACATTATTTTCATAATTTTTTGTTATATTGGATTAAGGTTTGAGAAACAAAAATATTTATAAATTAGATATAAATTCTTGATTTATTATTTTTATATATTTGATACGTTTCTGGTTTTTAAGAAAACGGAAGATAACATGAAAAAAGTGAAAACACATATAAAATAAGTGGATATAAGTTAAAGATCACCACATGTTTCTGTCTTTTGGTATTTTTCACACTTTACATCAAAAATAAATTAGAAATCACATAATAAATGCGTTTTTTATCCACAGTTTGTAACATTTATATATAGTAATTGTCAATAAAAACTCATTAGGATTTATGAAAACATATTATTGTTATAAAAAATACATTTTTGTTATTTATATAGAATTATATAATCAATTCATATAATTTAATTAATATGAACTAAATGGCTATTTTATAAGAAACACATCTCATTGTCAAATAACAGATATATTACACAACATTTATTTTAATATAAAATAACTTTATGTTATGGCTTAAGGATAAATCCATTTTATGTTTTGAATTAGATTTTGTTGGATTTTCTGACATTATTTTAATTAGAGTGAATCATCTTTTTAAACATAAAAATATCTTTAATATATATTACTGTGGCTAATAAATTTCGAGACAGAATCTTTGTACTAAGTTTTTCTAAAATAATTCGAATATTAGAATGTTTTATATTTTTGTTTTAATGTACATATTTTCTATGATTATCACTTATCAAAATAATAGTAGTTTAATATCTAATGTCTAAAAAGTTTTCGGAATTATTTACAAAAATATTTGATAGATGACATTTTAAAACAGTAATCTTTTTTGATATTTTTATGTTTAAAATAAAAATAAATTTAAACAAAAAAATATTAATTTTAAAGAGTAATATTTGATGTTTATTTTTTAGTAAAAATCAGTAAGTTTATCAAATGCTTACAATTTTTAATAAATAATTTTATCTAAAATTAGGTCTAAATTTGTCTTCCAAAATAGCACAATTTTAATTTTTAATAATGTTTGGTATTTTCGTCAATAATAAAAAATTATTTTATTATTTTCTTAAAAGCAGGCAACATAATATAATATTTAATCATTTTAAAAAATTTATTAGAATAATCCAATTTTAATAAATAACAAAAACATTTTAAAATTTATATTCGTTTTTTAGAAATAAGTATAAATTGTATTTTTTTTGTAATTTTTCATAAATAATTCTTTAATTGTCAGAAATCTAATAAAATAAAAATACTTTTATTATTTTATCAGGATTAATAGTTTTTCTTAGATTTTATAAATTATACAATTCTAAAAATAGAGGTTACTAATTTTGTAGCATTATAAAACTTTAATTATTATACTATAAAATATTTTTATAAATTAACAATAATAATGAATATCTCTACTATTTAATACCATAAAAAAATAATTTTTAATTATTAAACCGAATGCAGAAAAATCTATTAAGTTTTCATATTACAATTTGTCTTGAAATATATTTGCCACAGTAATAATAATAATAATAAATTATGAAAAATATTATAATATTATTAAGGATTCAAATTAAATATTTATCTAAATTTGCACAAAAAAACCTTCATTTAAAAGTTTAGGCATTATATGAGAACATTAGATGACATATATAATGTCTAAAATTATAATAACAATGATTATATTTAAATCTATAAAAAGTCAACGTTTGACAAATAAATTAAAAATTTGAAAATAATTTTAGATTTTATTTTAGTTTCATTATATATATATATATATATATATATATATATATATATATATATATATATATATATATATATATATATTTGTTAAAATGACACAAAACAATAAAAGTTTACTATTAAAATTAATGTTTATTTTTATTTAAATGTTGTGAGAATTAAAAAAATATTCATTTATAATTTAAAAATATTTTTATTAATTAATAAATTTCTGACTAAATATAAGACAAAAACCAATTATATTTTTTATATTTGCTAAAATAAGCAAAATACACATTTTAATATAATATCTATTGTACAATATAATGTAAATTAATTAAAAAATACTGATTTAACACAAGATTATACTAAAAATATTTAAAATAAATTATATTTGTGAGACATTATAATTAATTTATATTATAAAAATAATTATTACTTCCAAAGATTAAGGTAATTATAATAACAAAAGTTATACAAACGTTTAGTTGTTTATACAAAATTATATATAACATAT